GATATCCACACGATTATTAGAAAGGGTGTGGAAAGGGTGATCGCTTGGCTTGCAACGGCCATAAGCATTCTGACGTTCCACGATGATACCGCTAATATTTCGCTGCGCGTGCAGAGAGCTGTTCCCCTTGATATGTTCCGAACAATTACCTTGGCTTGCGAGCACATTTTATTTATCAGCCTTAGGATTGCTTTAAGCCAGGATTGTATACTACTGAAATATCTAAACCACTTTAATAAGTTTAGTACCCTTGCGATGTTGCCGACCAAAAGGGTATATTCAAACTTCGATTCAGCATCGATGACCTACTGCTGAGTACTTTATCGACTTTGATTCGACCAACAGGGCTCTGGCAAGATATATAAAACGATGGTACTCCAGAGAAACCAATCAGTTTTGTCAAAGAATTTCATCTATGCGCTTGATTTATGAAAACTCAAAAGGTGTATAAATCAGTCCAGAGTAAATATTTCAGTTGAATACACTAATGATGTTGTCTTTTGTAGTTAAGAAGAACTGCAATGGATGCTGATTGATAACGAACACTGGTCTTCAAATTAATAAAAACCCATTCTCACACCCTGTGGTGGTAAGGATCATTTTCAATCTTGGGTTCTCTACCAGAGATTTGTGAAGTTTGGCTAATGAGAATGGAAGATATTTGGAATATGCATTTGACCACTCTTGCCTAAGATACTCACCCTTCTACATACCCACCAAGTGGCTATATTATTGCACCTTCGCTCGAATGTCATTTACATTAAGATTATCATCAAAAGCGTCTGCATTGGCTTGACCATATTCATCGTTGCTGGACTGGCAACTTGACGCTAATGATTTCGTCAAATGTTGGTACATCCACATTCAGGCTTTTCGGAGTACTGAGGTTTTATTCCTGGTAGGAATAACCTGTCTTTTAAAAATAGGTGATTCTGACTACCCATCTACATTTCTAGCATTGAGTGACTCTTTGGCAAATTTCGTTCCGACAACCAGCACAGAACCACCAACTACGAGTGCAAACGGAAATGGTTAGCGCTCTCCACTTATTTTCTGTGTTAAGAATGCGTATGAAATAACGAATTAAGCCTCGCTTAACTGTCGCTAATAAAGCACCCATTTTTGAGAATTGAAGAAGAATGGATGGCCACTGGGAAATGATGTCGAGACAGTCACAAAATAATAATCTTTTTCGCAGATATTTGCAGGAAAAGTATATTTACGCTGCCAAAATGAACAACGTTGAAGTTAGTCTCAACGATGCATTGTAACATGCAATCTGAGATATTGCTTCTAATTTTTGGTTACCATCCATATAGGTTGATCGGTTGTTCAGTAATCATAGCAGTAATAGGCAGTGCCATTATTTTCATTTGCGAAAGAAAAGGCTTAAATTAAATTAATTTATCAACTGATTTAATAAATTTAGCTGCCATTTTTAGCTAATTTCATGAAATGAATTTCCTAATTAACAATTCCAGTTTTTTCAAGAAAATAAAAAATCCCGAATAAAAATTCGCTGGCATCTAAATGTTCCTCAATTCTTAAAACAAGAAGAGCTTAAATGCAGAATGCAAATAAAATGAGGAATAATACCGTGCTTGCCCTGCTGGAACTCTTACGGTGGCATGCAAGGATGGAAATTTATTTCCTCATATTCGCGAACAAATACGGTTCCAAATTTTAACCACATGGGAATTCAATTAAAGAAATAAATTTGCATAATTTATGGACTGCGTTTTGGATTTACAAAATGAAATTTCTAAAATCCAGTTGGAATTTGAAGTTGGTTTCTCTTGGTCGTAAAAAAAATGGCTTATAACTAAAGTAACAAGTGTAGAAATAATATATAATACTAATGTTTAATAATTCTTTCTTTCTTATTTTTTGTTTTAGTGAATTAATATGTAATTGCATGATTAAATTTAAAAAATTTCGTTTGAAACCATGAAAACTAGAAGCTTATTACTTATTTTATTTAAGATCTAAGAAGTAATGAAGTCATTACTCAACATTCGCGGCGAAGTCTCTGCTCGAACTGGTTGTTAAGGACGCTCGACCTTGATCTTGGGCAACGCACCTAACTAGACCAACTTGTTGAAATGATCTTACGGGGTCTACCATAAGAAAATTATGACATAGACCAGCAAATCTGACTCAACAACCATTGTTGGGAATCCAATGGGAATGCACACGAATTCACGAATTTTTGCCTCGTAAATGTAGCCTACTGTTGATTATGTTATAGTTTTATGATTAAAAGATAATAGTTGATAATAGATTAATAGATAATAGTTGCTTTGCTGTGCTTTATAGCGCGAAGAACAGACCAAGTAAACATTCCATATTTTTGCACTTCATGGATTCTATTCCAACGTAACAGGCTTATAAGAAAAAGGCTTGCTTGCGTATAAATTAAATGTAAATCCAGAAATTCGGATCAATAATTTAACCTGGCTATTCCCCCATCCGTTCTTATTGATTCTTAGTCGTTACTTAGAATCCAACGCAATAAATTCTTTAATAGCATAGATCTTCTCGACATACATTCGTTCCTGTTTTGTAGGTTTAAAGGACAATTTAAATGTCGAAGACTGCATTTTCGACGAAACGCAAAACGTGCACCGTAACGCACGACAAGAGATTAATAAAATGCAAATCCGAACGAGTTCAACAGTTTATTTTTTGGCAAGATGAACATTCAGAGCATTGACTTTGGCCATATGAACCGTATGGGATCAGATCTAGTCACACTCCTCGAGCAACCAGCCAAGTCCAGTATTCGAATGATGAAACCTGCTGCAATAACGTTAAGATCCCACAGTTTCTTAATCTCATAGGAAACAGTTCATTCGTTCGAAAAAACGCCCCAATAAACCAGAAACCTATTGTTCTGGCAACCTTTCATACTACTTAACGCCTCACTCGGTTTTTTCAATATCAATGAATTTGAAATAGTTCTCGCAATTTATAAAATAATCAATGTATCTTAAAACAATTTCATCGAGCAGTTCGATCACAATCATTGCCCCGTTTCAATTCGATTCGATTTAAGTTGATCGGCATGGAAATTGAAGTTCCATCCACCAAATCCATCAAAATTTACGAAGTTTTGAGAAATTATTCAGATGGACGATGCAATACTAAGGGAAAGTTTGCGCATATTTCTTCCCCCCATCAAAAAAATTCTTTATTTTTAATTTTTTATCTCATTTAATTAAATTTATATTTATTTATCAAAAGATTATAAAATATAGAAATTCACAATCAAAATTATACCAAACATCTTCTTTTTATATATTTTTTTCTTAAAGATAAATAATAAAGCAAATAATTTCACCATAATTTTAAACATTCTGTCCTATTCAAGCTTTGCCGTTCCATTCTGTTCAATATTTTTATCAACGACCTATTTTTATATTATTCGATTGGCCTATTTGTTATCTTTCGGGTCGCTTCAGCAGTTTTATAGAAGTGATTGCTTTTAAGGAAGAAATTTTATTCGAAAAAGACACAAAGTATTGCATTACCAACTCTTTTCCCAGTTCCTCAGAAGTTTCCACGAAGGATATTAGCGATATTCGCTTTGTTTCGTTTATATTATATTAATTCATTTAACCAAAGATGAAGATGTTAAATCAGAAATCTATCCGTTTATAGTTCGTAACCACGGTAGTTTTCAATTTTCTTCTTTAGTTTTTATATTTGTGCTTATAAAATTCACATATCAATAAAAAAAACGAAAAAAAATTAGTTCATTCATTTGCTTCATTTGACCCCACAATAGGAGATAAAATCGTGAAAATTTAGGTAATCGGTAGTAGACTGAAATACTGTTCAGTTCAGTAATAACTGGCAACTTCAATAACTGAATCGCATGTTGCTTCAGTTGAAAAAAATCCGTATCTCCTTAATTTCCATCTTCCCACCAGAACCGTCGCCAAACGTCGAATGTTAAACACTACTGTGGGCTCATTTTCCATTTTTACGAGCCCATCACAGCTTTTGCTTTCGTCATTTGGTGAAAGCTCCACCAAACAAAATCGTGGTCGGATTCAAACTAGCAACCTTATCAATAAATAAGGACTGACCAATCAAGTAATAAGGACTGATGGAGAAGAGAAAGTTGATAAGGTAGCCTTATCATTAAAGAAGGATACTTCAATAGTTTAGTGGCGTGCTAGTTAACAAGGTAATATTAAGTAATATTAAATATATGGTAACGACGGACGACATCTATTCTATTAGAAGAAAGCCATTGCGGCTGTAGTCAATGTGCAAAAATGGCATGATGAAAGGTATAAAACACAAAAAGTGGCACTGTGGCATTTTACACCCATCGATTGGCGACAAGAGCAAATCTCATATTAAAAATAACCCGAGTGACTGCTCGGAGCATGCACCTTCTTCCATCATCAAATGATTCTCTGACTAAAGGATAAAGATTTCGCCTTTAATAAGTGGATGAAGGTAGAAATAGTTTTTGCTTTCAGAAGGAAGTGCAAAAGATAGCGGAAATGCCATGAAACTATTAGACATAGATTATTTACAACTATAATAGCTGAAGAATAATTTTGTTACTTCCAGTTTTTTGATTAATTTATCCATAATTATTAATAAGATTGAAATCTAATCTGAATTAAACACAATCATTAAATCGCCGTCCATTTTCAATTAGTCGTTTGAAAAAATATATATTATAAAATTGATGGATATGGAAATTAATTACATCGAAAATAAATTTTAATTATTATCCACGAAAAAAAGGAAAGATAAACAGAACATAAAAGAACATTTACAATTTTTTACAAGTAAAATTACAAATTTTATTTAGAAAATTGTTCCTAAATTTTTTGCAAAAAATAAAAGAAAAAATTTAATTACAAAACAGTTTAATTACAAAATAACAAAACAGCAGTTTTCCTATTGTTGTTTAGTTACCTAATACTTTCTTCACCATAAAAAATGAACAACTGTATCGCAAAATCGAGGCCAAGCTTTTATCGCTTTGGCAGATGATGAGACCAATCAGATATTTGTGGTCCTTTTGTAAGAGCACGACGAGATGAAGTACTATAGATAGGTAAAACTTCACTAGCTTCAACAGGTATTGCCTGAAAAAAATTTTTTCCATTTTATTGCTTTTTCAACATAAATTATTTTGTCGCCGATGCCTAAAAAATCAGTTTCCTAAATTAATTTTATTTGCTTAATTCGAATTAAAACAAAAATTAAGCATGAAACCTTCAGATAAATACAGGCATCAGTACCGTAACCTTCCATAGAAACTAGAAACAAATCACCGTGAAAATATCGAGCATAAAGACGTGATAAGGGAAGACCATAACCATAACCAGCCTGCAACGTTATTCAATTTAATTACTTTATTATTTTGATTAATAAGTTATTGGACAACTTTTTTACAATTATAAAATTCTAATTAAATGACTAACAAGTGGTGACTCACTGCCATCTGTAGGTGGCGGTGGTGCTGTGCTATACATATAATCGAACAATTTATCTAATATTGTCATTGAAACACCTCCGCCTTTATCACTTATCTGAAATAACCGAAATCAAATTCAAACTTTATCAGTAAGGTTGAGATAATTAATATTTATAAATCTTTAGAAAATTCGAATAGATTTAACTAATTAATCAAATTAATCGTAATAATAAATAATAGCCAATAGGATTGACTTTCATTGCTTTCAAATCAGTTTCCAGTTGCTTTCAGATTTTTACTAAAAATTGGAAGGCAATTTCAATTAAAGATTACTCTCATCAATGAAAAATCGATTAAGACTTAAAATAATACTTTTATGGATATGTCCTCATTTCCTTGAACAACCATAACATTAATATTTGGTAGATCCTCGTCAACACCGTGATGCTCGACTGTCGCACGCATTGCATTCTAAATAACTTAAAATCAAATCAATTTGTAAATACAACCCTTCCGGGTAGGTTGTTGAATACCTCATGAAATGAGACCTTAAGAAGCTCGAAAGTAATATGATAAAGATGAGATGGAACAGCGACTATAACAATTCGTCGTCCCTTATTTACAGCATTATGCATTTCAAGTTTCATGACGGGTGAAGTAAGATAATACCTAGAACCATTATTCAAATTTAAACTTAATAAAATGCTTATATTTAGACCGTTCATTCAATCAATGCTTTATCGTTTTTCAGAAAAACATAATCCACATGAAAATGAATAAGATAAGCATATTTAAAAAATAAATAAATAATGGCTAACCTTTCACATAGAAATTGTGCATTCTCATAGGCATCATTTATTACAGTTTCGACATCACAGGCTGGATCTATACAACCGACATGACGAGAACTCTCTGGTAATATTGAACCAAATACAATCACTATAATATTTAATATTTAAAAAACTTTAAACTTTTCATATTGCTATTATTGTTGTTGCTACTCACTGATTTACAAAGAATAAAAAACCAATTACATATACATTTGAATCTTTTTTTTTAAATAGTCCTCACCATTACTGGTTAAGCTCGCTCAGCTGGCTTGTCGCATTGGACAAATATGCCAGGTCCCTTGGCGATAGTAAGAAAAGGACTCGTTTTTTGAATATAATGGCAGATTAGGCCATTTAATATTAAACAGAAAAAAGTATTCTTCAGCTGGCAATTAATCAAAATAAAAAAAAAATTACAATGCTGATTTTGAAGCATTCTTATCGAAATCCGATTCAAATAAAATCGATCAAGGAAATACTGAATATTGCGCTCCGAGCTAATATCTATACCAGCTTCTCTTAATTCTAATAAACCTTCAGCCATAGTTTGCACGACATTTGCGTGCCGTTTGAGAACTGATTGAAGAGTTTCATTAAATCTAAAAAATTGGCAACTATTAGCAACTGATAAGATCTATATTTCCTTCAAAAAACAGATTTTCACCAAATTTTTTGACCAACATTCTTCATCCAATATTAATTTTACACCACTTTTGGCTTGGCTGACTTCACTAATTACTAGGTGGGGTTAGAAGCCAAATCTCCCGACCTGGCAGTAACTAATATTTCGATGGTTTTTCTCTAACAAATAATAAGTATATTTATTTTTATTCATTTTTTAACATGCCTTTCGATTAATTATTCCATATGAAAACAGCTGAATAAGCAATAAATACAAAAATCGTTAACAAATCTTTTTTTGCGGCTAAACTATAATTCTGCATTGTGCTTTGAACGTCCTTTAAACAGCCTCTTTAAACTTTTGACAAAGTAATTCTGCCAAATGAACGACAACATAAACATTGCCTGTCAATTATTGCAAATCGTTATTGCAAACATAATTCGAACTCTACAGATGATTTATAATATGATTTGGGAAGACGACAACAGTAACATTAGAAAGAGATGATTTAATATTTGCCCAGCCTTAATCGAAAATTCTATCAGTTCGTTCGAAATATTCGAAGAAATCAAGTTCAAAAGAGAAAGTCGTTGAAAAACTAATGTTGAGGAAAACCCTTCTTTCCCAGCGCGAAATACTCCTCACAGTCAGTATTGCTGCATAAATAACCTAAAAAAACCAAACGAATTGGCATAAATAAATAAAATATGAATAAATAAATGAATGCAAATACAAAATACAAAAGGAAATATAAAAAATAAATAATCTGTATGAATGGACGAATTTTGCAGTTAAAAAAAGATTAGCAATTAATCCAACTGATTGCCATTCATAACAAACTTAACAATAAAATTGACATTAAAGTTAAGCAGAAAATTCAGAAAATTCTTATGCCATTTAAGTTTAATAATCAATGATCGAAATTTAAATCAACAAATCTTAAATTTATTAAAGCCGAATTTCGAATCAAAAATCAAATACAGGATTCAGTGGAATAAATGACCAAATGACCAAAACTGACCAATGCAAGGAAATTTGAGAGACTAATAATAGTAATAAAATTGAATAAGCAAAAATCCTTTCGGAACAAAAGAAACAGTGAAAAAAAGAAAGAAAAATCTTTATGATAGATGATACGAAAAGAAAAGAGGCGCCTGTTTGAATTTTTTATGAGATCAGAAAACATTCCGAATTCAGTTATTCAGTTGATTTTAGTAAACATGCGGGTTAGAAAGAATTGGAAATGTCTCACACTAGTAGTGAAAGGAACGAACCAAACCAGAGACAGCCTGTGCTGTCGAAGCCAAAAAAAGAAAAAAATTAACAATAGAGAAATATTAAGAGATTTCATTCTTGTTTCTCTTAATTATATAGAAAATAGTATAAAGACGACACTTAAAAAAGCATCAAAAGTTCAAAAAAGTGTTTCAACAAAGTCTCCACCGACTCATATAATTATTGGCATTTTTTAGCGAGTTTCTAGTAAAAACTTTACTTATAGATTGTGAGCGCCGATTGTGAGGTTTGATTCTCCGCAGGATTAAACCTGTACAAAAATCCAGGTGATGCTGGCGACTCACCTGTATTTCTATAGCCAAGGGACTCCCTAGCATATCGCTCAGTGTGACAAGCCAGTGGAAAAAGTTTAGCCAGTAATGGTAAGCACTCTTAATTTACTTATTTAATTTCTTTACATAATTTATCATCTCAATTCGTGTTTCTTTTAATTTTGACAATGCTTCATTTACTATCGACCAATTACGAATGAAGCCAAAGTTATCGCAGTGAAGGTTGTGAAGGTTATAATTATTCACGAATGTATTATATATTCCTTACATACCAAAGAATAAATATGAAATACATTGTATGGTTGTTGATATCCACAAACTATTCTATTTAACTGGAAATTTAAAATCGAATAGAAGAAAAAATTTTGGCATAATGCTATAAAGATAAATAAAACAAAAGGAATGAAGAGAACTTACTGATAAAGATGTCTGACCAAGGAAAGTACCCTATTCATTTATTTAACCACTAAATTGGAATTTCACTTATCACTTATTGTCTCCATTTGTGGAATATCAAATAATAAAAAAGCCATTTAAGAAAATCACTACATTAACGTGTGATATATATATATATATATATATATATATGACTGATTGATTGCAGTGGCGCTAACAAAATTTCAAAGATCCACAAATATGAGACAATCCTATAGACATTTATCAAAAATAAAAACCTGGAAAATTGAAAATCGAAAAAGATCATTTGATCCGCTTCGCTGCTCTTACTAGATGAAATGAAATAATATAATTAACACAAAAAGTATATGTGTGCAGTAACAAAAGTGTTGTTATATATGTGTTGTTTCTTACGAAAAAACTCATTTAAAAAAATGCCAATTTCTTACACTAATTTTATGATGAACTATCAAAAGAAATATTCTCATTTGTTCTAAGTGAGGACAGTTCGAACAGTGTTTGCCTCGTGTCATGAGTGTAACTAAAATTTTTAGCGAAGGTACTATGAACTCATCAATACATCCATCTGTGATCCATCTTAAGTGGATTTTTGACGAAAGGACTAAAGACGTTTTCCACTGCCTCCACTGTAAAAATCAATGGAGCCAACGGAACCAGAAAATATGCGTGCTATTTAGAAAAAAATTGCAACATTTTGACTAACTTGTCGATAACTTCACTACTGGTATCTGCATTCTCAAATTTAACAATGTCTTGAAAACTTTCATAATAATAATCACTGACAATTTTCACTGATCGTGTTGACAGTAGTTCATCAGGTAATAAACTAATTTCCTGCAATTATTGCTTCTTTTTGCCGAAGCTAAATTAGTAAAATTTTTGCATCCTATTAAAATTTTTGCATCCTAAATTTTGAAATTTAAATATCATCCATTAATATGCCTCAAAAGCTGCAAAGATTAAAGGAATTTTGAGGGGGCATCAGAAGGACTAAAAGCTATATGTCTCGTTCCTCGTTTAGGCTAAAAAATGAGCGACAATGAACGACAAACAATATAAAACAAGAGTGGTCTTATGATAGCTCATTAAAAGAACTCTTGGATTAATTAATTTGTGATTCCTTTTAATGGCAATGAACCTGCCAATAAAAGAGAAATTTGGGTGGTGCTATAGATCTGCAAATTTATTATATTCTAAGTGGTTCTCTGGCAAAAATGTTTCGGATCAGTAGTACGTTGGGTCAACAAAACTAGAAATGTTGCGTTTTTTTTATAAGCACAATATTCCCCAAATATATGTTTTTGCGGCGGGTTATTTATCATTTTAAATACCACTTCAATACATTCTACGCTTACATAATCCTTTTGCCTTTTCATAATCACTGTTGACCTTATGACTTTCACTTTTATCCATCGAATATCGAGAATTTCGTGAATATAAAGCGAACCGCATTAAACTAATGGTATAAAAAGCGTATTGATGCTAAATATTCTACGGGAACAATTCACCTAAGGTGAATATGAGATGAAATAGAAACCTGCATAATATTTGCGAGTCGAACCAAAAGCTCTTTTCTTATAAATAAATATGATGTTTGCGGAGTTCCTTTGCGTCCAAAATCCAAAAATTGTTGAATAGTAAGCGAAGATGGATGAAACTGTCCATAATATTCAACTTTTTTACCAAATGATTTTAAAAATGGCACCAAAATCCTCCGCGTAAAAAACATCTGCAATAAATGAATCATCATTGATTGTTAGAAATTAATTTATATGCCAGTTTTTGTACAATTGGCGAATAGAAAGCTGCGATTCGCAGAGCTTATTAGAATTCCTCGAATGAACATAAAGCAGTTTTATGTTGAATGAGATTCAAAAAGAACGAAAAGCCGACCCATGAGACAAGTAAATCATTAAAGTCGTCAAACGCGCTGGAAACTCACCTGAATCCCCTAAATAACTCTCTGGCGGAGGGATTCACTCAGTGGAACCAATCGAAAATGGAAAATGTATCAAATTCGCAAATAAAAATAAATAAATTTAAATATATTCTCTGGCCATTTAATTCCCAATTTTTAATGTAATCGCATAAGAAAGTGAGCAATATCAAATCAAATTTTTCAGGGGTTAAAGGCCACGCTTTAAATACACTTATTTCGCAGCAAACTATTACCAAATAACTTGAAAATATTCGACTTTTATTAGCTAAAATAAAATACTTTTTACGAATAGGCAAACAATGAAGTGATGAACGTTCGTCGAAAAATTAATCGAACCGTATAAACCAGTTTACTGGTTTCAGGTCACCTCAAATTTAAAGCCAACCCAATTAGTTGGAACCAAGTCTGATCTTCTAAATTTTCCCATTTAATCGAACATCGAAATAAAACTGGCAATGTGAAAAAACAATAAAATTGCGGTTGTAACCGAAAGGAGGGAAACCAAGCCCATCGGAATTACTCATGCACAAGCAAGGGAGGAATATAGGTAGGCGGGGTTTACGGCCGAGAAAAGGTAATCCTCGTGTAACTCAGGAATGTACATCCTTTTGACTTTCCTAGGCCGCACTGAGCCAGGATATCGGTCACACATAAAATGCAAAGTATTCAAAAATAAAAAATAAAATAAAAACTTTTGTATTAAACAAAAAAAAAGAGAATAATTCATTTGTCAACCTAAAATCGAATCGCACAAATATATAAAAATAAAGAGAAACTTGAGGATATTTTTGTGGAACTACTCACAAATGTTTGCTTCGAAGGAAACTGTTGCAGCTCTCAGTTTAAGTTGTTCTCAAGATGGGACGGTCGTCAAAAAGTTTTGTCCCAATTATTTCGCTTGCTTCATTCGTCCAGTTTGATAGCACTGATAAGTCAGTTTACACCTCGGAGATGCATGTAAATGAACGGTCAAATGCAAGAAAAGTGCTAAACCTATGAGCCATTTTTTATCTAAAAATTTTAAATTTTCCTTCTGAATCTGTAAATGATTTGATTTCATATCGCAAATCATGAAATCTTTTCAGCAATTTGCCATGATTATAGCCATCTTATTTCAGAAAAACAACTTTTACGATGAGGAACTCCCACGATTCCTTTGTTAGGATTGCTAGCTTTCCAGAAACGTGCCCGTAAATTGTAGATGCAATTGCAACAGTAAACTATTCATAGAACAAATTTTAAAACAGATAAAGCTCGATTTCCGACCCCGCGAGAGATGGTACCATAACGTTTAACGACCAGTCGACAGAACAATGCCGCCTCCTTCTTTAAAGACGAAATGAATTTTACAAATACATTGATAAATACAACTATGAACAAAACCGATTGACGATATAATATAGAAAGGACAGAAGGAGGGTTTTTTCGTTATAACTGTTCCTTAATCTTTTAACGTGCGCTTGTCTCGCTCACTAATCAGACTACAGGGAAGTCCCAACCATTTCCCTGCCTTACGAGAACATTATGCTATGTCACATGGATACTAGTACCATTTGATGGTACAGGAGCAAGAAAACATGCCAGATGAAGAAGATTCTGTTTAGGACTCACCCACCTCCAACCGCGCCAGCCAGCCTTTGACATTATATATCGAACAACTCTTGGCAAACCTCTCGTAATGAACCTCCCTTTCGAAACTTACGAATTTCTCTTTATTCTGAAGACGAGCGACTCCCCTTAGAGGCAGCCTGGATTTCCTCCCTTGCAACCTGCGACGCAGTCCCAAATACTTTCAAAAGAAGAAAATACAAAACATAACAACAAGATGTGATGTGATACGATATGATAATATTTGTCGGCAAATTAACACTGAATTCTAAAACGACTGTAGTTAACGAATCAGATTATAAAAAATCATGTTTCAGCCGTTCATCACAAAATTTTTAAGCTGTAAACTTGCTTCGTGCTTAAGGCTTCAGGGCATGACGGCCGAGTGGCTGTTACTCATATCGTCGCCCGAACACAGGGCCAAGAAATCCAAGCAATGTTGCGACCCATCCATCCATAAGAAGGATGGAGGATTGCCTCTTCGGAGGAAATTTTAGGCTTTCAAGACCTGTGAGTAAACTATAAGCATCAAAAGTCATATAGGCACTCCTTCCGATCGATATGTATGCTACCAGAGAGAGGAAGGCAATGAAGCAGAAAACCCCGCTGAATTCGAGTAGTCTCTGGTAAGAACTGCTCGCCGTACCAATATCGAACCAGCAAGAGCAGCGAATCAAACCAGAAAAACACTTTATGACGCATAGATTTTAAAGGCGAGTGCTCGGCTGTATACGATTCCATGCTTAATTTAAGTACGTTAATTTTGAGCAAATAAAAGCTCTCAAACTTCAAAATATTCAAGCAGATCCATTTTTTATTTAAACTTTCTTAATTATTTACGCTTTATAAGAAACATTTTAATAGGACGAGAAATGCCAAAATGCTTTTCTAAAATTACTCGCATATTTACATTTCTCTAAGCATAAAAAAATTTTTGTTTCAAAATATGATTTTAAATTTTTATTTCGAAAATGAGGAAATCAAAATTTTATATTTCCATGAAAAAAACGTCTTCGAAAAAAATGAAAAATTTAATTTGTTGGCCAATTTTTGTAAACGAAAATCACTAATAAATTAATTTATAAATAAACATTGAATATGAAAAGTGAAATAAGAAAACTTAGAAAATGATCTTTCGATATCAAAAATTTTCCTAATTTCTCTCTCTCTCCTAACCGCTTTTAGTTTGGCTTTCTATTTTTATCCGCCAAAGAATCGTTTGTAAATATAAAAATATTAGCGAATCTCTATTAAATGACTCGAAATAATTTCGAAATTTATATCAAATATTTAAAAAATCTTAAAAAAACAGACCGAGTGGAAGCGAAGAAAATATTAAAAATGGTCAATAATTGATTTGATAAATTGAACAGCATCGACCGATTGATTTCGCTATTTATTTAACAGGAAAAGTTTTAAAAAAGCAGAAAAATTTTTTTAAATTAAAATTAAAAATTAAATATATTTTAAAATTTCGTGCTATTTTCAAGAGAATTATTTATAATAATAAAATCTTGTGGAAAACATTTCAGCAAAAATTTAAAAATAAAAAAAATTTTTTTTTCATATTTTTACAATCGTGGAATTCACATGATTGCAATATAGAAAAACTATTTTCTTTTCCATAAAATATTTAAAAAACTTTTATAGATTTTTAATGGATATTAGAAGTTATCATAAATGCTGGCACCAAACTGAAAATAATCAATGAGAAGACTACAAAAAAAAGAAGAAATCATCAAGATAAATCGAAAATATATGACAATCGATCCACAACTATTTTTTATTTATTAGACAAAACTTGCATAAAATTTCTTTTCCTTTAAACAGCACGCAGTATTTCTGGTTTAGATAGCTTTTCTGAAGAACTACTAACATGGAGATGATTTCGCCAAAGCATCACTTGTGTTCAGAGGTATAGATGGATTCGACTGCCTGTATTTATAAAATTTTTATATAATGTAAACTTCTGCTGCATATAAAATTCGATATACAGCTTGCTTTTACCTAATTTTTTATACGAGGCTTCTTGTAGCAATTTTCCATTTAATTTGATTCATTACAATACGCCATTTGCTTTTGCGCTGATCGCTTCGTATCATCTGATCTATTCGTTGAACGAATACTATCGATCTAAATAAACAAAAATTTTCTACATTATTTTGCAGCGAGTGAAATAATCGATAAGAAAAAAAAGACAAAAAAAACAAGACTACTTTGAAATTAAAAGTAAACTTTACAATCTGTCTGAAAACAAAGTTCCACTAATAAATCAAATCAAACAATTGGCAGAAAGGAAAAAAAAACTGTTCGTTGAATAAAATAATGATACTTCGATAGTCTCAGCATTCTCTTCTTCTTGTGGTTCGATATTGCTGAAATCTTTATTCCCCTCATCATAATCATCGTCCTCGTTTTCAGCAACAAAATCTACTTCACAAACATCTATTTTACGCTTAAGTGATGTTTTCTTATTCTTATCATCAGCAGAAATCTTAGATCGCCTAATATTTAGCAATCGGTTTAATGATACTGTTGATATCGAACTAGACGGACATTCCTTGTCCTGCAAAAAAAATAACTTTAAATTTGATCAATCAACTATTTTTTAATTCTTAAGATGTTTTCAAATTGCGAATGAAATTGGCGAAACATACTGAGTGCCTTTTAAGTTCGGGTAATTGAACAGGTTTTGCAATTTTCGCCAATGTTTCCAATCTCTGTTTTTCATGTTTCATTCGAACAAGTTGTTGACGAAGGATAGATTTTTCTGTTTTAGTCTGAAGAAAAATGGATTCAAATTTTCAATTTTGTATGTAAAAATATTTTTTTGCTATAAAGAAAGAAATTACTTTTTGATCATCCCTCCTATCATCATTTATTTCTGTAATTTCTTCCAATATTTCATCGCCATCATGGATTATTTTTAAATCCTGCTGCCTAACGCATGAAAAATTTTCAATTTTTCCTTCCAATTCAGCAATTTTTTTGTCGATATTTTCAATTTTTAACAAAAGTGATTCATAAGTTTCCCTTATTTCTTTCAAGCCCGTTTTCGTTTCCTGAAAAACCAAGAACTACTGAACGAAGGGAAAATATTGAACAAGCTATCAGAAAATATATCACTTCGGCTCGTCTTTTTCGTAACTCTCTATTTTTTTCGATTTGCCCAGTCCGATCTAAATATGTATCATCATCCGAATCATAATAATCATTTTCCGCAAGTATATCTGTTCGTTTCTTGTGCTCGTTCCTTATTTTGTACAATTCTCCAATCATATCTGAAACCAAAAAATGTAATTGTAATTTATAAATGTAATTTAAACATTTTTTAATAGTATTAAAAAAAGCAACCCTAGTCGAGTAGAATGTTACAACATATGCACTCGAAGCTAATGTTTTTTTGATTTTAAATTTTATCAACAATGCGGAATTTACGTATCAAATATTTTTTATGTGTGAATTGGCTCGTCCACAATTGACAACTGAGAAATATTTCCATGGAATCAAATTCAAAAAAAAAAAAAGATATATGGAATATGTTTGTGTTTGCATTCCGAAAGGTAAGATTCCAGCTTTTTTAGTCAAAATTGTTGCACTTTGATTGATTTGGGATACTTTTAAAAGCGAATGAAATGATGAAATGAAGATGGAGACGATATAAGAAACTAGAGCGCAAATACAGAAAACAGAAAGACGTTACTTAAGCACATATCTACATACGATCCGGAAGCTAAATCCGAATTTTTTGCATAGAGATATTAAAAATGGAAAATCATTCATAAATTTTAATCATTACTATTAAATTACTATTAAATGTGAGTGAGTTGATTTCTATATTCTATTTTACGGTTTCAATCTTGATTGTAAAAAATTATGTTTATCGCATCTCTATCACCTACTCGAAACCAATAAAATGCACCATTTTTGAAGATAAACAAAAATCGTGGATCCAATGGAAAAGTGGAACAGTGGATTGTTGCTATTCCTAGCAGGAATAAATCTGTTCAAAATTCGGGTGATGCTGGCGACTCTCCTATCGTATTTCTATCGCCAAGGGACTCCCTGGCATATTGCCCAATGTGACAAGCCAGTGGAATTTAACCAGTAATGGTGAGGACTCTTAAAAAAAAATTGGAAAATAAGCAAAATTTCCATCTAAAGAAATATGTATCTACTGGAATCCTTACTGATAAATTCAGATGAAAAACAATTTTTCTGGATGAAACAACGGTCCAGAAAAACAATAGGTTTATGAAGCAAAAAAAAGAAAAAGAAAATGCCACGATTCTTTGCAGCAAAAACAATACGGTTGTGGGTCATCCAATAAATTTCCATTAAATTCACCAAATAAATAAAGTTTGAACTTATTTACGTATTCATTAGAAACAAAAAAATTTAAATTCAAAGACTTCACATAAAAAAGAATGTGCAAGAAAATAAACTGAACCTAATGTACGACACGCGTCCATGGCACATTTAATTTGAGCGTCCTTTTTACTCCCACTGCAGATCGCTGATATATGAGAACCTCCAGATGCTCGATTAATTGGAAGACTGAAAATAAACTACGATTTAAATTAATTAATGAACTGAACTGACAATGAACTTGAGTCCTGCAATAGAAAAAATTGGCAATACTTATAAATTGGTAGAAGACATTTAAATGAAAAGCAAACTCAATTGAACATGTCCATTTATGATTGTAACCCGTTCCCGATTCAGAATAAATAAATTCCATTTCAAAACCTTCGCGATCAAAATAATTTGATAGCACTTTTACCGGATCATTTCTGTATTTTTCATTTCCACCATCGAAGTCGCTATTGCTCGATAAGTTCAGTAAAGGTTCATCCTCGGGAAAATCTTTAAAGTTTTAAAGTAAAAAAAATTAGTTCTCCGACGAAAAATTTTTTGTATTTCAAAATATTTGCTTAATCAAAAAATATATTACCCATTCCCCAAGAAATTCCTTCCTCTTTATTCTCTTCGTTAAACTGTTTTTCATTGTCTTTTTGATTTTTTTTGAGAAGATTCGCTCGTGCTATCCGTTGCATCTCCGTTGGAGAGCACTCCCATTCCTTTTCCATATCAGTTTTTGGACCATCAAAAATAAAAATGCGACTGCTATCTAAAACCAAATGAATTAATTATAAGAAACCTTGAAGAAAAAAATTTTAATTCAAAGATTTTTTCTGAATGAAAATAGAGAGAATCTGGGTGCTTAAAAAATAATCAAAAAATAAAAATTTGCAAAAATTTAAAAAAATGCTAACATCCGAATTGCAGAAGATGGCCTACTCTCAATCGTTTATAAATTTTTGGCTCAATTTCTTTTTTGTTAAGTTTAGTTTTATGTGAACTCGCTAAATCGTACAGATACCATCCATTATCACCCGAATCCATGGAATTGTTGCCATATTGAATAATACAATGATATCTGCAACATTCAAGGATCATTTCCAAGAATAAAATCCCAAAATACAACATAAATACATAACGAATCTTTTCTATTCATCTACATACAACCTTAATTAATTTGTTTGAAAAAACCAGAATTTTTTTTTAAGCACACCTTGAAACTGAAGGATGATACAACTTGATATCGCTGTCATCGGCTCGTCCAATAACGACGAACGATTTATTATTTCTTTCATCAAATTTTATTTTTTCGATAATACAACCATTTTTAATAACATCAAATCCATAATCAAGATCTGAGGAGGGCTCAACAGCCCACACCGGCGAGGCATAATTTAATCCATCTTTTTCCATGGCTCTTACCAAATCTGAAATGAAAAATTAAAAAATAATGGTGAAACCCACACAAAAACCGACTTTAAATACCAGCAGTAAAATCTCGCATTCGAAAGATTTAAATGAATTTCAAATCAGTTACTAAGCTAAATAAATCAAAATCTACAATTAGATTTAAACCACCAAATGGAACCGTATGAAACACCAGAGAAAAGCAAAATTTTGAACTACGATGCTTCGATCGAAGAATAAGACTTCTCTTCTTTTTCAAACTAGAAAAAGAATGAAGATTTATCCTGGATGGAGATCGCATAAGGAAGCCGCGGGTCCTGGAAAAAGAAGTGATATTTCGGACAAAAAAAGGGAGCAAAACAGCGCCATAGGCCTCATTTAGTATGCATCGTCAGTTACATTGTTTCAATTACTATTAATAAAAAAATTTATTTTGCGCTTTCTTTCTGGACTTTTTTTTACGCATATATCTTTAGTTTTCCAAAATATCCAAATTTTGTGTTCCGAGATGTTCCGAGAAACGGTTCTGTTGCTCAGAAATTCTGATACACACGCAATTCTGAAATTTTATGACACAAATATTAAAATTCGCACAGAACACGCGAACCTTGGAAATCAGTGGAATAACTCAGAACAGTTCATTCAAATATTCTATACACTCCTCATCCTAAAAAAAGAATCTTTATTATCCTAAAAACCCTAAATCCTAAAAAGAATCCTAAAAATTACTAAAACAAAAAAATTAAAAAGTAAAAACTTTACAAAAAATTTTATTTTTGAAAATTTTGGCAACATAACTAAAATTAATAATAACTAACGAAAATAACTAAAATTGAAAATAGAAGAGAAACGAAGTAAATTCGGTGTTTTTTTCGCGGAATTAGAAATTAAAATTATAAAATAATTTGTTATTAAACAAATAACATAAAAACAAAGAATACTACAATAATCGAACTTATATTGGACTCTGATTATTGCACCGTGGGACGAATGCAATATGAACGGCAATAAACACACACTTTGCTGCGGAACGGAACCAAATTCACACTTCTAATCTCTACTGCCATTGTTAATCTAAAAATTTATTTAAGCGAAATGGAAAACATTTAAATCTCTGTCATCAGTGCAAATATTTCATAACTGATATATAACTGATCAAAATATCATTTATTTTCTCCTCAATATTTTAGAAAAACAGAAAAATTTCAAAATTTGAAAAATTCAAAAAAGATTTCAAACAAGAAATACTGAGAACCTAAGAAGCTCACGAATTTTTAAAGGAAAGCGCGAAACATGCAGATGCTCAATCAATCGGGTGAGACTTTGGAGAGTGGCGATTCAACAATATATGGGCATAATACACAGATTCAACAGTTAATTTCAATTATTCTAATCCTACGGTTTTGCGAAATAACATCGCCTTGAAAATCTGAGCAACCAGAAACACCAAAAATAAGGAATGCTTTTATAAGAAGAAAAAGCGATAGAATTTTATAAAAGAATAAAATTTTATGGAATCCATTATGCGATTTTCTCGATTCTCACGAATCATCGATGCAAACGAACCTGCAAATTCATTATTGATAATATAAATTATGGAACGAATTATACGAAAATTCAGAAAATCCAATTTTCTAATGATTTGAAAAAAAGGAAGAAAAAACTCAGATTGTCGTTATAGCAATAAAGAAAACGAATATAACTGTCATTCGATTAATACATCAAAGGTCTTCTAATTACTTCTAACGGCACGGTCGTTTGGCTTCACTGACCATTAGAATGAGGCGTTTTCAAAACGACTCCCTCAAAGACCGATATTTGATGAAAAGTGCGAGGAAAAAGAAGCATATTAATCGAAGCATAACAAAAATTATTATATTATTACAAAAACAAATATTAAAATAAATATAAAAAAATTATATTAAATAAATGATTGTATTTAATTTCAAAACCAGACGACCGTGGAAGTAAAACTTATAAAGCTGATCCCCGTTCATTCCAAGAACTGAGACTACGGATGGAAAAAATCTGCGATATTGATTTGGCATTATAAATAGGATTATTCTGCTATTCGTTACTTTTAAAGGTACCAAATTATAAAAATTTAGAAATTAGTCAGAAAAAATATATTTTGCTTCAAATTCTTCTAATTTCTGATGAATATGTTGTACATTTTAAATTCAAACAAGAAAATTAAGAATGAATCTGGATTTGAAGCGATGTTGAAGACTCCGCGTTTTATAAACATTAGATTAAATTAGCTGAAATCCAGGAAGGAAATGTACCGTTTTAGACTAAAAATGCAGACGCAGGAACGTCAAGCATACTTTTTGTGGTACTTGTCTGGTCTGCAACGATATCTTTCATGAATGTTTTCCTCTTTCTTCAGCTCCGCCCGTTCAGTTCGTATCTTCCTCCATCACTGAATTCCATTCCTCCACAAATAAGTAACACCACATGTATGATTAGTAGTTTACATCGATAGGCCAATGCGGTGGACATTTCTCAACTGTAAAAAAGAGACAATATGCGAGAAAGGTCAGAGGTCAAAGGTTAAACGATTAAAATTCCTCTTCCAGTCAAAATGATTCGATAAATATTGAATTAAACAGATGGACAACACAAATGCAGACTTCACTAACAATTCGCGTTAAAAAAATCCCGCAGAAACCTCCCCAACCGAAGACTCCCTCCCATTCAATCAACAAACCCACGAATATGTGCTACAAGCCAAAGGGCCACGCGGCCCATTGAACATTTCTTTTTATCTTATAGTCCCGTGGAACCATTATATTTCTAAATCATTTACTTCTCTTACCTCTCATCAAATTTCTCTGTTACATTATATCATGTCCTCTCCATTTTCCACTTCACTTTCCTTGAGTTCGTAGAAAAACTTGATTTTTGAATTTTGAGTTGTGCCAATTCGATGGACAAAACTGTCGCCCTAAAGACAAAAGTGTTGCTCAGATATGTGTCGTCCCAGTTGACAAATGTCGCCTCCAAACGAGAATATAATGGTCAAGAACAACACTATCTTTCCGATGTAAAACGCGCAAAAAATGAACAAAAATTTCAATTTAAATATATCATTGCGTAAAAATGGCCGGGCCGTATTTTTTCTGAGAAGGGCCATGGCTGTGAATATTTTTACATAGGCAATTAATGAAAAATCGCTCTATCATTTCGCTTGATTTTTTTGATGAGGTGCGGGGAGGGGGGTTTTCTCATAGCAAAAGTTTACAATAAATTTTGCGTAATTGGCGTGAAAATTTGGGAGTTGAAAATTGAGAGTTGGATTAGTTTTTATTTTAAACCATCTTTCATATGCAATATGTGATTGGCGTAATTGACTTTTATTTCATTTATTTTAAAGTTCGATTTTCATTTTTGAATTTTTATGTCTTTTCAGAGAAGTTTTTCCATTTGAAAAAAGCAAAAAAGGAAAAATGAGGAAATGTTAAATGAATTTTGCAAGCATTAATTATTGAAATCAAATATGAAATATGGTTCGTTTAATTTATTTTTTCTTCGTAGAATAAAAAAATAAAAATAATAGATTTGCTATAAAAATAATTGAATTTGCTCAAATTGTTTCTTGCAACAAATTAAATTAAAATAAATTGAAATTTATTGGGAAAATTTGTAGTACTATCTATTGCTAACTCATATCGACTTTATCGTGGCACATTATTATTCCATTATAAAACAGAGAGAAGTCATTTCTCTCATTGAACCCACTCAGTTTTGTTGTTTTCATCTAAAATATATACATTTATATGTATTTAAATATTTTTTTATATTTATATAGTATATTTTTTTTCAGAGATACGCAGTTTCTTTCTTTTTCACTCATTGTCATCAAATTTGTTTATCTTTATATTGCCATTTAAATAACTATTGCCATTCCTGAAGTAAAATTCCATCGCTTCGCTATATTCCATCGACATAATATTCACATCATCTGAGACATAATAAAATTAATAAAAAATTTCTATCGAAATTTATAAAATTTTTTATAAAATTATAGTAAAGTACTTTTAAAGAGAATTTGTATTTTACTTCATTTTTTATTGTTTTTCATTGCTGAAAACCACGTTATTTTTGTTTCATTTCCATTATTTAAATAAAACAAATGGCTATTAGTTTTTCTGTACGCTTAAAAATTTAAAATAAATTTAAGGGTGCAAATGCATCATCGCAATTGGAAAAAGAAATCAATTCCGATCATCTTTTAAGCAATGAACACTTTTATGGATTAGTCAACGTAAACCATTGTTCTTTTATTATATTATATTATTAAAATGATTAATAATTAAGTACTGTTGTGTTGGGACAGAATGGCTGAATGCATTTTATTTTGATTGAGGTCGAAACATAATTATGGGTATAATTCCTGTCTTTTGACGGAATCTGAAAGAATTTGTTCTCAAGTTCTGTGCAACGTTTTTCTAATTTTTCATCCTATTAAGAGGAATAAACTATGATTTTGATTTTATTGGGATTTTTTTAAAAGGCTGTAAATTGAGTTCAAAAACCCAACGAAAATATGGGCTATCATTTTCTCATTTTTATTTAAATCTCTTTTGTGTGAACAAAAATTCTATCATATTAACTACATATGGAAAAAAGAATTATTTTACTGTTTTCTTCTATTGGTTTTGTGGGAGATTTTGGTGAATAATTGTAAAATTTTCATAGAATACAGTTTTTTCAGTTTGGTAATACGTGCTATTGTAATTCGGTTATTCAAGCCTTGTATTTCTGTAAACCTTTTCGGGAAAAAATTCTTCAGTATAAGCAACAATTAAAAAAGTCAGGTATGCTGTTCTTTTGATTTGATAATTGGCTATTGTAATAAATAATTATTGATGGAAAATATGACCAGTCCTAAACCACTTGCTCAACAGTGGCAAGAAAAGACTCATGCTAGGACTCATGTCCGCTACTTATGAATTTACTCAGACTTCTTATGACTACTTATGAAGAAGGCAGATTCGAAGTTTAAAGATTAAGTTAAGTTTTAAGATTAAGTTTATTTAAGAAGTTTAAAGATTTTTTCAGTCTGATTTTTTTGCTTGAGTGAATTAGTGCTATTTATAGTCTCCTTTAATTCCTTTGACTAGTCACTTGAGTTAATCAACCATTGGCCTTTTTTTAATAGTACCATTGGATTTTTTCCCTTTTGTTCTTATCTACAGAAGATGCTTCAGAAAGTATTTTTTGACACTTTTCCATTTATTATTTATTTCGTATACCACACCCTTTTTGAATTTATTTATTTCACGCTTTCTTCTCTAGCTTTTTAATTTTATTTTCATCTTATTAGTCCTGTAATAGTTATGACTTTTGAGTGAATTCGAAAGCTCAACGAAAGTATGTTCTGGCTTATCATTTTCTCCTTTTTGTTTAATCATTCATATATCTGTTATTTAATGATATATCTGCGTGAGCAAAAATTTTACCATATTGACTACAAATGGAAAAAAGAGTTATTTGGCAGTTTTCTTCTATTGGTTTTTTATTTGTTATCCTTTTTAGGAAATCAAAAAGAAAATTTGCTCACTTGTTTAGCTGATCTCTTTCACAATATTGCAACACAAAAACGGCGAGTTGGAACAATCGCTCCAAAACGTTTCATAACAAAACTGAAAAAAGAAAATGGTACTTATATTTTGAATTTTATTTTAAATTTTCGATTTTTTTAATGCCTTATATTTTCAATTTTGCTAATATTTTAATGCCGAATGCTTTAGTGGTTTTTTCCCATTATTTCTTTTTCAGGATTTGATTTTCCAAAAGTATCTAAAAGCGAAAGCGTGCTTTCTATTTATAATGAAACATACAATTTAATTTAATTATTGCAGTTTTTATTATAAATTTTTTTGTATTTGTAGATATTTTCGATAATTATATGCAACAAGATGCACATGAATTTCTCAATTACCTATTAAATACGATATCTGAAACCCTTTCTGAAGAAAAGAAGAATGAAAAATTATCTCGAGCCAATGGTACAATTAAAAAAGGCTTAGCTGCGGTTAATCCCACGACTAATCAAGATAATCGTCCACACTGTCAGCCAAGGTATTGTTTTAAATTTTGGAACCATTTAACTATCATTTCTACCTTTTTTTCTTAACTTCACAGTTTTAATAGAGTCATTTTAATCATTTTAATTTTCTTGTTTGTTATAATTCGTAAATTATGCTGTTTTTTTGGAAATCAGAGAAAATGTCGATAAATAAAGTTCTACCAGTTTTAGTGGATCAAAATGTGAATCAACTTGGATACATGATATATTCCAAGGAACTTTGACAAATGAAACTCGTTGTCTAAACTGTGAAACTGTTAGCTTTTTTATTTGTAATTGTGATCTCCATTATTCTGAAGGAAGATCCATTGCAAACCTGCAATAAATGAAATACTAAAAGCGGATTATTTATATTAAGGTTTCGAGTAAGGATGAAGATTTTTTGGATCTAAGTGTTGATGTTGAACAAAATGTTTCTATTACGCATTGCTTACGTGTATTTTCGAACATGGAAACTCTTAAAGGCGATCAGAAATATTATTGTGAAAATTGTTGCTCAAAACAAGAGGTACCTCTTTATCTTCAAATTTTTTTCTTTTGCTATATTTTCCTCTATTTCTTTCTGTAACTGGCAATTCAACCAGATATGATCTTAAATTAATAAAGGGGTGCTAAAAGGTTTGAAAAAAGAGTTCATTCAAAATATAGTTAGATATTATCGAAATAATATGTAAATTTCTTAATGAAAACTTTAGTTTCTATCAACAGTCATTTCGAATCCCTGAAATTATTTTAAAAACTAGAAATCGATTTTTGATGTTTGTCGAAAATAAAGCATTTGTAGGCACAAAAGCGGATGCGGATTAAAAAATTACCACAAATGCTTGCTCTTCATCTCAAACGGTTTAAATATGTTGAACAATTAAATCGATATACGAAACTTTCTTATCGAGTGCTATTTCCTCTTGAATTACGTCTTTTCAATGTGGTAAATTCATTTTTATATCTTTATTTCTTCAACGATTTATAGGCGACTCCTAATTTTTATTGAAAGGTTTAATTTTTACTGCTTTTTAGTTTTTTAAAAAAGAGAATTCGTAAAATGGAGTTTAATTTTTAAAAAGAATTTTGCACTTTTACAGGTCAAAAATCGTTTTGTAATGATTTTTCACCCTATTTTTACAAGGAATTATTTCTTAATATAGAAAAAATTTTGAAAGTTAACGGTTTCACATAACCTTTTTTCCTAGAGTGATGATGCAGTGAATAGGGATCGGTTATATGACTTATGTGCAGTTGTTGTACATTGTGGATCGACTCCAAATAGAGGACATTATATTACTGTTGTTAAATCAAATGCATTTTGGTTGCTTTTTGATGATGATATCGTTGATGTGAGTTAACGATTTTTTTCCCAAATTATATAGAGTATATAAATGTTTGGATAAATTTTTGGATAAATTAATTTTTATTAATTTCGTTTATATGGACATTATATTACAAGTATATATAGGAATATAAATGAATAATAAGAGAATAATAATAGAGCCAAAGTATGATTTACAAATGAAAAACAAGAATGCTTGGCTGTGCAGTTTTAAAGCCTTAAAGATATACAATGGGCTTTGAAAATTTTTGGTGTTTGGTGAGCTCAGCGAGTTGTCAAGAGTTACATTAGCATCAAAAATTACTGGAAATTATTTCATGAACATGGAACAAAAGTGTTTTTCAGAAGATTGATCCCGTTACAATGGAGGACTTTTTTGGTCTTTCTGAATGTGGAGTTCAAAAAAATAGTGAATCTGCGTATATATTGTTCTATGAAGCTCAAGATGTTGCCATTTCAAATGACGCGAAAGCTCATACAACTGCTTCACTTTGAGGTTGGGAAAGGTTCATCAGTCTCATTTATCTTCACTCGATCTATCATGGTTAAAAGCCACTGTCCTGCTTTTTACCACTTATTATTCGATAAAATTAGGTTCATTATTCAACAGTTATTTAAAAACAATATTTGTTAAACAGTATGTAATATTATAATTTTGTTATCATTATATGCTGTGCCATATTTTAACCGTATTTTAGCCATGTAGCATAGTTTTTTCATTGTTTTTTCATTATTGTTTTCATTATTTTTCAGCATATATTATTATTGTCTTTATTATTATTATTGTTATTATTATTATCACTATTATCAATTGTTAATTATTTTTTCAAATTTTGTGGATGAGCAGACTGGTGATTAATTTATTTTTTATTCGGGTTATCAAATGAAATTATTTTTTAGGACGTTAATTTTTTAGGTAATAATGAAGAAAGTTGGCTTAACAAGGATCTAATGATTCGATGCTAAATCGATATATAATTTTGAAAATATGGTTCATTATATCGCTGTCCCACATTGTCCTAATTGTTCATATTTTGAGAACAATTGTCCATGGAAAATGTCTCTTTAAATAAAAAACTGATTGGCAATTTTTATAAAAACACCAGAATTTTTACAATATGAAACCAGAATCGAATGAAAAATTGAGAAAAAACGAGCAAATTATAATAAAATAATGTGGCCCAAAGACAATATGACAGCGAAAAACTATAAAACTGAATTAAATTTATTTTGTGAATAATCGTTATGATGCCAAAATAACCAAGTCCGCAGTAAAAATGAAACAACCAGCAACTAACAATAAAAAATTTAAATTAAAAACGACCTGTATAATAGGTGGGAGGGAAATGAAGTATATGCTGACCTTCTCCTTGTGCGAGTGCTAAATAACCAGCATTTGGCACAACATTCCACCTCAGCACAAGCGTTACGTTTGGATGATTGAGCAAATTAGTGCCATCATCTGTGAAATAATATTTTGGACTGATTCGTTGTTCATTTATCACCGTCAAATCATTTCGTCTTACTATTTTATCCCACAAAACGACCTAAAAAACTTCCAGATTTGTTTTTGGAAAAAAAGGAAGGAAGAAAAGTAGTGAAAGAAGTTAAGCATAAAGTTTTGTTTTTCTTCTAGCACCACATGCCATTGTTGAGGATGATTAAGCTGGCTCCGCTGGCGATTCCAAGCGTTCCGATTCTGATCAAAAATCATTTCTGAAATTGCTAGAAGCTGCACTTTTTCCACCATGTAAGCCAGATCACCTATGTGTTAAAAAGTCCTTTTGGCCATTTCATTCCAAGTTTTGACTGGGCCTCTTCTCTCCTCATCCGCCAAGAAACTCGTATATTTCAAGTAATAAGCGATAAAAAAATGATCCAAGCAGCCGACACTAAAGTAATTAACCAGGATGTTTAAAAATTACAATTTTTTAACCAGCAAACATGAACATAGGTACTTTACTAGCATGTCTCCTATAAAAATTTCATCGACCATGCAATTTTCATAATCCAGCATATAAAAAAGCAGAATAATGCAGTGGAAAGAACACAAGCCATTCTTATTCCGAAAGATTATGCCAGCTTCCGAAACAAATTTGCAGATAAAATCTTCTAAATATAGCATTGCATTCTCTGCAAATAATGCTAAACAATGTGTCAACAATTGCATAGGTAGGCAAAGGATGAAATTGTGTAATCCGAACAATTAGAAATGACACCTAAAAATTCCGGTTGATGAAACCATTATGAAATCGTTGCTAAATCACCATAAAGGTGAAAATCCGCGTCCATATGGCTGTAATTCGCTCGATATTGCTATATGGTTGCCAGTGAAAGTGGAAAATATTAAAAGACCATCAGCCTTTGACCACTCATGTCTAAGATATAACTTATACAGATATAACTTAACATTTTACGAATACGTCAAGCGGATAAAATCATACGCTGCATCCATTATCCATCTTCATTCAAATACCACCTGTATAAATATTATCACAGAATATCGCCTTCGGTGGTTAGAGTATATTCTCCGTCGTCCACCAAAGGAGTTAAAGTATATACCGCTACTTACCGAATCGTGTGGCGATTGGCGTCAATAGCGAGGAGAGCCAATCAAGAACATGGAGACCAACGATATGTGTGCTTATACGATGGAAAAAAAATAATGACTTCTATTATTACTAGTGATAGCGGACCAAGCAGCTTGGAAACATCATATCATATCATTGTAGTCAGCGGAGCCAGTACCAGTGAGAACTGTTAGAAGAAGAAGACTGCATTCTCTACAATGCCACTATAATCCTTAAACCGAAATAAATGCATGAAATATTTAATAATGGGTAATAGAAAATTTAGATAATAGATATAGATAATAGATAATAGATATAATAATAGATCATAATAATAGATTGGTCATAATAGATACCTTGTATTAAAACTAGCTTAATTAATGTACCACCGCTATGCACTGTTATAAGACTGTTCAACAAAAGAAAGGAGAATAGAATCTTTCGAAACAATTAAGCTCTGGGCAGTCCCATCTCTAGGGATTGACCGAAAATCTTAAATCCTAGAAATGTAAAATATAAAAAATAAAATCTGTAATCCAAGAGATATAATTGCGTTACATCTTTATTTGGTAATGAATATAAAAATTTATTAATTATTAATTAGTTAAATCTATAATCATTTTCTTATCATCTTACAAATGCTTTTATGAAATATGTGCTTAATAATTTTATAATTATATTCATTCAATTCAATTATATTCATTTAATTATATTCATTCTTCTTCTTCTAATAGCTCTCACCATTACTGGTCAGGCTGGCTCCAATGGCTACAAGGCAAGAGTAAGACGTTTCTAAGTGGCGCGGTCTGATGCCATCGTCGACAGTAATGGAAACCATTCCTTTTTCCATCGTCTAAGTCCATATATTGTTGGTCCACCTATACGTTCAAAATCTTTTTTCACCATATCAGTCCAGGTCTTGATTGGCCCACCTCGCTTTTGACGCCAACCGTCACACGGTTTAGCAAATAACGAAATATGCGTCAACTCCTGTGGTGGACGACGCAGAATGTGCTCTAACCAGCAAATGCGGCGCTCTGTGATAACATTATTTATGCAAGTGGTATTTGAACGAAGGTGGATGCGATCTTGTGAGATTTTATCACTTGGCGAACCCGTAAAATATGCCTTAGACAAGAGCGGTCAAAGGTAAATAACTTCTTAATATCCTTCACTCTCATTGGCCATGTCTCAGAACCATATAGTAAGATCGAACGGATCACGGCAATACAGATGCGGAATTTTCGTGTTTATGGTGATTTCACGACAATTCCATAAAGGTTTCGTCAACCGGAAGAACGCATTTCTAGCTGCCGTGATCCGAGTTATAATATCATCTTTTGCCTATCCATTTTGTATTAGAGTGGATGTACGGTATTTAAAATCGGGCACTTCCTCAACCAGCAATGAATTTACAAAAAGATGCATTTTATCAGCTTCTTGTACATAAGACGAAAAGAATTTCGTTTTATTTGCATTGATCCTGAATCCGATTCTTGCTGCAGTTTCTGACACGTTATTTAGTATTACTTGCATTTCGTTATAACTGTCAGCAAAAAGGACTACATCATCAGCGTATTCAAGATCTGTAATACGATGCTCTGGACTAATTCGGACACCTCTTGAGTGCCGAAAAGCAGTGATCACCTGACATTCGTGCTTTGGCAGCCTTTTCAGACAATTGGACAGTTGCTTCCGATACCCAACTAGCGCACTTCCTAATAGTATGCCCTAGTGTGGAAGTGGCTGATTTTCGGAGACATTACTTTAGTTTGCACCAGTATTCATTTTCCGCTCCAGAAAAATCATTGATATTTGTACCACTGAGATGCTTCAATAATTCGGTTTGAAATGCGCTCACTGTCTCCGAATTTTTTAGTTTGAGATAGTTGAACTTGGGGGATGCTGTTTTCTGCGAGTTGTCAATTTTATGCGGATCTTGGCTCGAACCATAACATGGTCAGATCCATAAAGATTGCCCGTTTCAGCTCCGCGATAGGAACGACTATCTAGTACGGAACTCTTCCAACGGCAACTGACTAAGAATAATCAATCTGGTTGAAGTGTTGGTTTTCTGGGGAGTTTCACGTGACTAGATGTTTTTTATGATGCCAAAAACAAGTATTAGTAATAAAAAGTTCATGCTCTTCGGCATAACGAAGAAGACGTTCCCCATTGGCACACCGGTCTCCGAAGCCATATTTGCCAACTGTTGAGGTCACTGCAGCTGTATTATGACCTACGCGAGTATTTCAGTCCCCCCCGATTATGATCATGTCATCTTTCGGTAGAGACTTCGTTAGCAGTTGAAGTTCCGCATAGAACTTGTCTTTATAATTATATTTATTCAATTCATTCATATAACCTTGTTATGAGATTAATTTTATGGTTCTTTTGGCTCTTTTTACTGTCGATGAGTCATGAAAAATTCCTTATTTGTTACTTGTTTATTGCTGTGAACTTGTTTGTATAAATTAAAAATTATATAATATATTATACATAAGGATTATTTAATTAATTATTTACTAATTAACAATTAGCTTAAAATTCAACAATGGCAAATACTTCTGGTTATTACTGGTTATTACTCCCATTTAATCACTGCGAATAGATGCAGAACCATCGTTGGGACTTTTTTAAATGATGGGCATACGTCTGCCAGAGGCAGATTTTTCCATAATGTTTGAAATGGGAATCCAAGGAAAACAATATTCTATTATGCTGTTCCCATATTAAATACATTCAACAGAAAAGAATTTTTTAGTTGAAAAATTAAACTGAACTTGTGTTTCAACTTAAGTTTAGAAATGGAAAAAAAAGAATCAGACAAAGCGTCAAATAAAGGCATGGATAAAATTCAAAAAGAATTAAAAAGCACGAACTTGATTGACAGCATTTTTAGAAGTCGAATATTCAGCTACTAACAATAAGAAAATCTGTTTAACATTCCAATTAAATATAGGAGTTAAATCAACGTCGATACTTAATTCTGCCATTGCAACATCGCTACGTGCGCCAACTTGATCAGCTGCATAATCTACAACATTTTTCCTGAAAAAAAAATTCTTCGATATATTCAAAATAACAAACTTTGTTTGAGATTTTTTAGAATAAAATTTAAAAAATAAAAATAAAAAAGATAAAAACAAAAAACAAACTAAAATAAACTAACACTCGGACATTATTTCCGGAAATTACAACTGATGTTGAATTTTTAAGAAAGACGGTTGAAATAAAAACACAGAAAGTCATCGCAGAAAGTACAGTTAACATACAAGCGAATACTGCATTCGCTCGAGACCAAATTGTATGCATTATTCCCAGCGATTTCTTTCAAGTAACGAAATTTTGCAAATGAAAGAAATAAATTTTGTAAATTAAACTGCACTCTGAAAAAATTTTAATTATTACTCTCCGACTATCTGAAAAAATGGATTTGCTCACGCAACCACTCGGACAACGAAATCTTTTTGATAAAAAATGATAAAAAGACGAAAAGATGTGTTAAAATCAGACAAAATCTAGCGAAAAAACGTATGGCAAAAGTTGGGGTGCGACAAATCATAGATGAATAACACTAATAGTGGATAAATAATAAAAGGGAATTTTTCCAATATAAACAATAAATCTCGAAAACTTCCCTATTAATTAATTGATTTTGCCAATTTTGCACAAACTTGACCAATCAATTAATTAAAAATTTACTAATTACTAATGATGATTGCTTTAAATATAAAGTTAGGTTATTTAAGAAATTTAGCAATGAACACTGAAAATATGCGGAAAATATTAAACTGTGATGCATTTCAGATGGGCGTGAAGAAACTGACAAATATTACTTATACGATGACTTTCTTTTCGTACTATTCATATTCAACTGACTGATGAAAATGGCCGCAAATTTCATCAGAATCTCAAAGAAATCTACAACTTCCATCTCAAAGACTTAACAGCCCTCACCAAGCTTAATATGACAATGACTGGGAGTGTCAAGCGAGCATAAAGTTGAAGGAGAGAATGGGCGACAGGTTGCGAAAACAGTCCAACAGCATCCGAAGCGGTGGAAATAACGAAATGAAACTTTGATTGAATCTTGAGGGATTAAAAATTAGGCTTAAATTTGGACCTATACGCCGCGAAGTTCGCTTTTTGTACCAGTACAACCAATCGCTGTTCTTTGATTTGAACAATGAACACAACCTCCGCACCCAACACTGAACCCCCCTTTCCCCCTCAACCCTCGAAAAAGTACGCTTTAAATTTTTTTCCTTCATAGACAACAACGAAGCATTTGACTAATCTATGGTGAAAATCGTCCGATTCCAAAAAAATTCAGCTTATCGACCCTCACTGCGAACATTCCACCCAAATATGTAATTGTAATTAAACAAAGCAAAGAATTTCATGCGAATTGCTAATGTTTTATCGAAAATAAAGTAAAAATGTGATTCATAAAAGAATTTCAGGCTTAAAACATAGGAGAACTTAAGTTTTACGATAATCGATGGAAAAAAGGAAATGGACGGAGGGGATTCCGATGACTGGAATCGAAGTTGCCGGAAAACCACCTCTTTCAGTACAAATATCCTCCACTACTTCCACGCCAAAATAGTGTTAATAATAAGTTGAACCAGGCAGAACGGAACGGAATCAGGAAATAAAATAAATTGTAGTGAGAAAACAATTTGGATATAAGACGGTACAAAAATGCTTTCAAATATATCAAATTTCTCTCTGGCGCTGTTTCACTGTGGGCCAAAGAACCGAAAACTTCAGCATTTTAAATGTGAGTTGAAACAGGGGAATTCGCTTGGATGACAAATTTAATCTGCAAACGCTAAAACAAAGTTCCTTGCAACCATTTAAAATTAAGTCTTCATATCAAAAACACATTAATTCAACTATCAGAACTTAACAAAAACCAGAAAATTAACAAATAGATTTATATTTTTAATTATCTATTTTATCTATATTTTTTAATCCATATTTTTCAAAAACTGATCATAAAAAAACCATTTTGACAAGAAAATCGATCAAAAAAGCATTACAATACAATCGTATTACAAGAAACGACATGAATGGAAATAATAAAATAAAACAAAAATACCCGACTTACCAGTCTTGCAGTAAATTTATAATCAATCATCAATAATTCATAACTCAATTTAACTGAGATTTTTTAAAAACGTTCTTGAAGGCTATAAATAACTATATAAATAACGATCAATCATCATTTCAAATTTTTTATAGTCAAATCTATAAATTGATCCAAATCATTTAGATTTTCCCACCATGTAGCCAAATACTTATATTGTAGAAATTTGTTAAACCACGGCGAGAATTTTACACCATCTGGAAAAAAATTTACATTCACCAAGCAAAATTTTTTGCATTTATTTGCAAAACGCTCGAGTTCCTTTTTTATATCCTTATCCTTTTATATCCTTTTTATCCTTATTTTATATCCTATAAATTTTATATCCTTATTTCCTTATTTATCCTTCCTTATTATCCTTATCCTTATTTTTATCCTTATCCTTATCCTTATTTTGGAGAAGAAATCATAATCTACTGCGCAAAAACAATAAGTAGTATTTGGACTGTAAATAATAAGATTAAAATAATAAGATTATGTACCTTGAACCATTTTTCTTAATTTAGACTGATTAACAATGGAAATTTGTTCAATTTCTTCCGGGTTTGGAGTTATTGCAACTGGATCAAAATCAAGAATGATTATTGCATAGTCTAATTCATACTCACCCCAATTACCATCGCTATCAGCTTTGTAAATATAACGCCCCATAACCTAAAATAATATTGTTGAAATCCTTGGTCAACTAAATGATAATGGAAGATTATATATTATAAGAAGTAATGAAATTTCGAGATAGAAAACAAAAAAAAAAAACCACTGGAATCAATTTTAGCATAACAAGCAAATTTAAAGCAAATTTATAATTTATAATTTATCAAATGTACTATTTTCTAAATGCAGTATATTTTCTAACAATTTGAAAAGCAATATAAACCTTCATTCGATCAAGCGGAAGAGCCTTTATTCCAAGTTCATGTTCCAATTTCCGCTGTGCTGCTCGTCGAATACCAACTGAATCGTTTTCCTCACACATTTCATATTCATTCCACAACGGATGACTACAACAACTATTCGTCCAAAGTAGTGGAAAAGTTACCTTAGTAGCAGAACGCCTTTGAAGTATTAGAGATCCATCTTTAGTAAACAGGAACACACTGAATGCTCGATGTAGTACCACTGAAATTTATTTTTAACTAGTGTTTTCTTCAACAAATCTGTCTTATATATATATGTATATATAGACAGGTTAAGCTGGTTACGAGGATAAGGCATTTCCAAACTGCTCCAATACCATCACAGCCATTCCTTTTTCCATAGTTTAAGTCCATATATCGCTGGTCCATTCATTTTTCATTTTCATTTTTTATTCATTTTTGCTTGCATCAATTCATTTTTAGTCCATTACAGGGTTTAGGAAGTAATGAAATATCTATCAACTTCTGTAGTGGGCTAAAAATCAGGACTCTATAATCATTTTTAATGTAATGCATGAGGTAATTGAGCAAAAGTGGATACATTCATGTGGGAAATATCGCTTGGCGAATCCGTAAAATATATTTTAAAGTGGTCAAAGATAGATAAAGATAAATAATTTCTTAATATCCTCCACTCTCATTTGCATGTCTTAGTAATAATAAGATAACCAGATAATAAGATCGAGCGAACTGTAGCCACAGCGATGTCGACTTTCATTTTGATGAAATGACTGCTGTCGCAAACACGGGTTTAGTCGGGACCAGTATTCATAATCATTCTGCAGATGTTGACACTTATATTACAGAGTGGAGGATATTAAGGGTACTTATATTATTTGAAATGCTCTTACTATCCCCAAATCTTTGAGATAACTGAAAAATCTGGCGTTGTTCTTTATATTAGTTTTGTACGGATCTTAGCTCGAACCATAACATGGTTTGGTCCATGAAGATTATAAGTTTCAGCGCTACAATTAGGACTATTATCTGTGGCACTCCAACGACGACTGATTAAGGTATAATAATCCTGGTTGGAGCATTGGTTATCCGGGAAGTTCTGTGTGACCTTCTACGATGTCTTGAGCATGTATTAATAACAAAAAGTTCAAGCTGTTCGGTGAAGCAAAGAAGGTATTTTCCACTGGCGCACTGGACCTCGAAACCATATTTATCAAACCAATTTATCATTGTGGTACCGTAATCTCTACTAATCCCTCTCGATTACGATCATTTCACTTTTCGGTAGAGATGTATCGTCTGTGCAGAAAGTTGAATACACTAATATACACTGATGACCGAAACATTTCATAACAATAAAAAAAATACCGAAACTTTTCTTTGAAATGGCCATAAGTCATATTCTCATTTATAAACTTCCACTCAATCATGGCAGACCGAATTTTTCAGACACGACAATCGCTATGCCATTTCGCCTCGAATTATACGAAACGCAACGCCAGTATCTTTGTTGGAAGCCATGTTTTAACAATTGTTCACGATTGGTACATTTTCAGCACATTGGTCCGAAGTGAAAAAGACGGACCTAAGACGCATGATATTTCGAAAAAATGTGGATAATGATCGCTTGACTTGTAGTAACTCACGGGCGTACTAACGTTCCACGTTACTACAACTAACACCTCGCTGCTACAGAAAGCCGATGGACGATAGTTACTTTCGAGATAGCTTTCGAGACCTTTGATCGACAGCACATTTTCAGCATATTGTCTTGGGATCCTTTGATTACGCCCAGTTTGTATAGAACACTTATCGCGTGCATCGGGCTGGGCCTATCATCAAGACCAGACTTTTTCACCATAGACTCACTTGGAAATAGAGTTACAGGTGAGTAACCACCCAGGTTTTTGACATCACAACAAGCTTACACCTATAAAAGAGAAAGAAAATAAAATTAAGGAAAATAAAATAGAAAGCAAAAAGAAAAATATTGAAAAAAACAAAACTTATCTTCAAAAAAAATTAAATTTTAGTTTTATTTATTACTATTATTTTATTTTTTAGCTTTATTTTATTTCTATTACTTAAATATATATTATTTTCAATCTTTTGTTTTGGAATTTAAAAAGAAATGTTCCAGAAATAGCTCAAGAAAGTGGCAAAATGGAACAGAAACAATCGCCCACAAATCGGTCGGAGTAAGAAATGGACAAATCAAAGCTAAAACGATATACAATAGGACAGTGGGAGAAGAGTTCACCGGATCACCGAAAATCGGCAGAAAATTTTAAATTTAAAAAGCAAAAGCAAAATGAACTTGTTTCAAGCCAATGACAATCCTTTTTGCTCACTGGTCGCAGCGGCTTGTCTAATTCATCAACGGCGATACACATTTCGTCCATATACTTCAGCTGCTTCTGACAAATTTCTCGCACCATATTTTGCCTTGAACATTCAAAATATTAAAAGTGGAGAATTTCACTTGATTTCACCGCTGTGCTACTTGTTTTCCACTTTCGTTCCTTCGATCCTCGGCGACGATTTATAAAACACCGTTTGATTGTAAGAAAACGTTAAAACATTGTCTAATCTCGAAAAGATTGAATGAATCGACAAATAAGAAATGTAAGGGCTGCAAATGACCAAAAAGCGAGATTCTTCGGCATTTCGCTATATTTGCAAATTTAAAAATCAAACCGAAATTACGAAACTTATTAGTGGAAGACGAATATTAAATAAAAAGATATTTAGTAGAAGTCATACGAATAAAATGGATGCGAATGGTTTGAACAAAGAATCTCTGAATTTGTGCTAAATTTTCAACTGACTGGATGAATCGTTAACTTTTGAAGTTTCATGTTATTCCAAAAATTTGTAAAAATTTTCATCCGAAACTTTTTTTCCTTTTTTTAAATTGAATCAATCACTATTTGTAAGTTAGAAAATCAGAAAAGACCGCAAGTGGAACGAATATCGTAAATCAAATTATATAAAGATCATAAACATAAAGATAAAGATCATTAAACTGGACGGCTTAAAATATTCCTGCTCCTGTCGTTTCCAGAGTTTTTTGATGAGTTTCCATTAGCTACCCCAACCTCATTTTAACAAAAAGTTTTAAGTCTACTTCCGTTTTCTCTTGCCAAGAAATATAAGCAGAATCCTTCAGCCGAAAGTGAATGAAACCGTATAATTAAATATCTTTTGAAAATATTTCATACATCGAATGGTACTCCAAAAACAAATATTAATTATTTTCTAATCATACAATCCTTTCAATGTATTAAATTCTTGGTAGAATACCAAAGAAACTCTTTTGAGGTTTTCCAGCAGAAATGAAAAAAAAAGTTCAGCAATTTATTTCTTCATTTTTGCAAGAAATGATGCGTAATAAAGTAATATAGAGAAATAAAATTAAATGTTTGATAAATAATAGAAAAAATAAATAATTGTTGCAGACATTTACAACTGTTGTAGTAACTGTGAAGAATGGACGATTGACTTCATTTTCTTCTTATATTTTTTGGCCTTTTTCTTTTCAAGTTTCTTTTGATCAGAATGGATCAATGAAATGTCTTCCTCAGAAAATTTATTCGACATTTTTATGCAATAATTCAATAACAACTGGCGCACTGAAGAATCGGACGTGAGCTAAAAATAAAAATAAAATGCAAAACAATGGACAATGGAAACTTAAATAATCATTTCTTCAACTAGAAAAGTAGTAACTGCGCTTTCCTAAAAAAAATCACTTTGATGCTCTAATATTAGCAAAATTATTTTTCAAAGATTGAATTACAACTTAATAATTGCAATTATTTTACTTGATAGGACAATCTGCCTTTGTTGTCTTTCACGGATGGATCACAATGTAAATCAATAAGTTTCTGCAAAAAATTTTCGCAACTCTTAGGAAAAGACAAGTTTTTTTTTTGAAAAGATAAGACAAGTTTTCTATAAATAAATTTTGTCAGATTCACATATTCAATTGTTTGCCACGAAATAATTCTCAGAATAAACGCGATATATTAGACCAAATCTTCTGAAAAAAATATAAAAACTTGTAATTTAAATCGATAATCACTTAAAATATATTAATCTAACCGAGCTTTTAATCTCTAAATCTCTAAATCTGCAACATAATCTAAAATAACATAAACCATACCTGCAGAACATCTTTTGACATCCAATGAACTGCAACATGGAGGAGACTTTGACCATCCGGAGGAAAAGTTATTTGAAGAATTTGCTGGGGCGATATATTTTCAAGAACTGCATTCAACTGATCAACGGAATTAAAACGAACAGCAGTGTAGAGCAGCTTCATTTCTATTTCCGAAATCTTTGGTGAATCATCTGGCATGGATGATTTATTTTTATCGATTATTATTATACCCAAATCAGAAGTCTTATGTCTCTAAAATGACAGCCATAGGTGAAAGAGAAAAAAAAAAGAATTTCAGAAATTCAATGAAGTTTGTAAATTTCAAAAATACAGGAAATTTTAAAACAACTAACTTCAGATGATGATACTGAATGAATATCAGCAACCAAATCCATATCATCATGGCTGATAGAAAGATTTTTACTTATTTTAGATAATTTTGATATCCTTTCTTCAGATATCCTTTCTTCAGAAACATTTTGCATGGAGAAATTATTGTAAAAATCAGAGAAGGTTCCATGATGATAAACCCTTTCTAAACATAATCCAAAGAATTAGAATTATGAAATAATTAACGAAAATTTTATTTATTAAAGCACGCAAGCAAGGCATATAAGTATATACCTGAATTAGAAACAAAAAACAAAAAAAATTTTCTCGTATTCTATGATCTTAATTGCATAGCAGAACATTTAAATGATTCCGTGAATAATGTCAAATCAACAAAAAATTAAATTATATTTCTGTAAGTCGTGAACTTTTAGTAGATGAAATTCATTAATTGCAAAAATTGAATCTTTTTACGGTAGAATTTACGATGAAACTAGAATATAAACAATCCTATTAAACCATACCAAATTTTATAAATGAATAAATTTATCCCTTTATAACTGTTTTAAAATGAGAATTTTAATGAGAATTGAAAATGAGAATCTAACGGAGTTGTCGCCATATTCTGCGAACTTCATGAAGATCAGCTCGATATGTAACAAAAGGTATAGTTCGAATTCGTTGATCAGACTTTAGAAAAAGAGAGCCGTTCGAATGATCGGATGTAAAGAAAGACCTGGAAAATTTGGAAAATTACATTATCCAAATAAAATTAGTTTAATATGGCACAGTAAAATTAAATTTTTCAAATTAATCCATATATTTAAAAAAAGAAAAGTGGTAATCTACTTATCAGATTCGGCACATCTTATGAATATTAATGGAGTTTCGTCAATTAAATCCGACCATTTTGTAACCGTTTTTTTAATTTCTTCTTTTAGTAACTTTTCATTTGACCTGTAAAAATACAACTATTAACAAATAAATGATTATGATTACTCATTAGTCAATTGAAATAAACCAATGCATCCATACCTCCTCAGTTGAGCGCCAACACTTCTTGCAGAACTTTGCCTTGAATCAGCCTTGCTTTGACGAGCACCCTGCTTAGCTCTAACAACATAACGGTGGAATGTTTTATGCTCGATCATTTCTGAACTATAAAGAAGAAAAAAACAAGAAAAACAAGTTAAATACCAAAAATTACGTGATAAAAAACAGGAAAACTAAACTGAAAAGAGAAGGAAATAAAACAAACTGACCATTTAAAGATAGCACCAGCAAAATGGCCCGCTGTTAACATAATTATAGCACAATCCAATGGTCTTCTAAACACGGAATCAGATATTTGTTCATTCGGATGAAGAATGCATCTATAGATGGAATACACGTGTTTTTCATGCAAAAAATACACATTTTTCTTACTTGATAAGACCTTAAGTAATGGCGCATCGCTGATATCATAAAATTCACCTGTAATTTAAAAATAAAATAAGATCGGACTAATCAGACAGATTCTAATGAAGAAATTATTCAACTGATTATTTATTCAATTAAAAATATGATTATAAAATATAAAATTGTTTAAAAAAGAAGTTAAAATTGATTGTCACTACCCTTACTTTTTCTAAAACATAGAATTCGAACACAGAATTCGAAAAATCACTTTAAGAATTCCAAAAACATTTAACAACAAAAAATTGCAGATATGCGAAAGAATAGAATGAAATGAATGAAAACTAACTAAATTGTAGATTATCTCCAATTTTGTCCTCTGACAATGGAGCGCAACCATTAAAAGCCCGCAATGAATTAAGCTGATGCCAGTCAGACTGGTAGTGAGCGAGTAATTCTGCGCGATTCCCATTAAGTACTGTGGCACATGACGAACACCGTATACACCACGCTTTAAATAGTACATGAACACACAAAATAATTTAAAAGGATAAATGAATTCAAAATGAATGAATAAATGAATCCAAAATAATTTAAAAGGATAAATGTAGATTCAATAAGCCCAAAGAACAACAGGATATAACTGAAAATTGAATAGCGGAAATCATCAAAATTAAAAAACTCGAGAAAAGTGATATAAGAAATAAGCTCACCTGGTAATTCATCGAAAACCTCGACAGTATCTGCTTTCACAATACGATAAGGTTCGATGCTTGCATTCCGCCATCTAATATCAGTCAATAAGGAAAATCGCGAATGAGTTAAACTGTTTCGCCCATTTTCATCCGTATTCAATGAAATCCTCGACTGATTATCAGTCGAATGTGAAAATCCTTCAGAATCCTCATCTTGGCTCTCTTCCCTAACAAGTTCTTCGATTACATGAGTGAGCTTCTCAACTGAAAGTCTATCTCTTTGCGCCATTTCATTAACACAGCCAACCAACCCACTACTACCATTTTCATTAGAATATGGGCCAAATTCCGACATTTCACTGAAATGACCTTTAGTAATCTTAAATTAACCGAGAACTTGGCTTTAAATCTAATCAATTAAATTTAAATCTCAAAAGAATTTTACCAAAGCCAAAGCATTTCACATTGTTTATAAATATATGATCGTACAAAAGCGTTGTTTGCTCACTCCTTATAGAACTAACACAGCCACTCAGCGGGTGGATAGCCCCAGGAGAGATTCCACTCAATACTTTGAAAATGGAGTATTATAAATGACCACTGAATGAATGACTTTCATCAAGCGATGGATATTACGATTATAAACGACGTAAACGAAATTTCATCTAACCCAGTGAATAAATTATCTATCAATTTTGGGCGAAATCAAAAAAAAGAACTATAGAATTTCCGTTTAGCTATATGTCGCAGTTATAAAAATATTCATGAAAGCGATGCAATGATATAAAATATAATACAATGTTTGTTCAATATAACACAAACATGCTGGATAAACTGTGGTTAAAAAAATATAAACGCGATGTAACGCAATTCATTCATAAATATATAGAACATAGAAAAAAATTGTCGACTTACAACCTGAAAACCAAATATTCCATAAATGAAACTTTAAAATATATACACAAAAATGAAATAAATAAGAAAGAAAAAATACAAAAGGATATGCCAAATCTTAATTTATTGATGAAAATTAAGAATACATGGAAAAAAATATAGGAAAAAATTAAATTATATACAGGAATAAATATTCTTTTCAGAGAGAAAAAACTTACAATATTTTATTAAAAAATCTTCAAATCTTCATAAATCAGCACGAAAATAATAAAACATGGTATAAAAATATAAAGAAATATTTATAATATAAAAAAGAAATATAAAGAGAGAATGAGATTCTATGTTAATCTTTTACAACTTTATAAAGACCATTAACGCAACTTAGCAAGTTCAACTTGACCTTTCTCTGCAGAAAAGAAATGACTATCTCTAAACTTGGACCCTGTTGACCTGGACTGGCAAGCATTCTGAAAAATTTTTTGCATGAGAAGTTCCGATAAATCAAAAAAATAAAAATCAATTTTTTAATTTAATGATGATTAATAAATGAAACTTAAGAATGAACTTAAGAATAAATGAAACTTTCTCTGCGAGATATAAGATTAGAACTTTTTATGCGTTTTACTCAGATACTCAAAAAAGAATTTTTATTTAAAATAATGGGAGAGGAACTTGAAACTGTTTTATTTCCTTATCAATTACATAATCAATTACTGATCGAAAATTTTCTCACTTGAATATCGAATGCAACCGCTCAGCTTTGATGGGCTCTTGACTAGCAATAAAACTCCTGGTGTACGTCCAATATTGCTCTAAAGCATCAACAGCTACCGAATCCTCAAGCTTTTCATCTTCTGACTCATCGGATTCAACATCAATTTCGCCACGTAAACGATCCATTTTGGAATTCCAAGTTGCAAGACACCATTTTTCACGTTCACCATTACTCTACAAATAAAGCTGAATTTTATGCGATTTTGAAAAACAGATAATTTTAAAAAAAACCACACCCTGATACAATATCTCATACAAAGAAATAGAAAAAGAGATACCTGCTTCGCAGAATAAACAATAATTCCACTATTTTGCCACCATTCCAACCTTTTTTTAGTGCTTCTTTTCTCCATACCCAAAGTAACAGATAATTCATCCAAAGACCATTGCTCTAAATTCACTTATTTTAATCTACAAATTACAAAATAATCTAAAAACACAATAAAAATAGAAATCCGAAAACCTTTTTTGGTGAACTGAGCAAGAACCGCAGTATGAGCTGGCGATACATTTATGGTCGTGATAAGGCCATCTAAGTGAATCTCCATTTCAACGCTGCCAACGCCAGTCATCCAATCCAATTTCCGCGATCCTTTTTGAGCTTCATAGGCACGTCCATATGATGCCAAACCCGAAATCATCTCTATCGGTAACTAAATAAAATCTCATTATATCAACGTCAAAGATTTAAAACTTTCAAAAAAATAAAAATGAGATAGAAATGTAGTTAAAATTTAGAACGAAGCTCAAAAAAAATAACGAAAATTCGAGATAATCATACTCCGAGATGGAAAATATTAAAGTAAAAAGAATGAAAAAATGTGGATGAAATATTAAAATGATGGAAAACATAACCACTGTTCTAGATTTTGCCTGGATTAAAAATATTAAAGAACCATTCAGCAGTTTAAGAAAATATGCCAAAATAAAAAAAGGACCTCGAATTGCTCATTATCGATTTTTGGCCAGAAAAAAGTAGAAATTATTCGCGCACTAATAGGAAAATTCTGAAATGTATCCATTTTTATTTATTATTCGCGCACTAATAGGAAAATTCTGAAATGTATCCATTTTTATTTATAATTGCAACCGATGAATTTTGATGAATTTGAAAACTGAAAATAAGTAAAATGTTGAAATTATCTACCGATATTGTGTTTGAATATATTAAGAATGAGAAAAAATTAGAGAAATTAATAAAACGAACCAATTTATTGAAAACGATATAATCCATTCTTTCAGAATCTCGCATATCTTTTAACATCACATCGCAATGTTGCAATTCACCTTCACTGAACCGTAATTTGAGTAAATCAAGATATCGCATCTCGAAAATAGGCTGAAATTCGTGCAGTTTGTGCAATTCAAAATAACAGAAATAAGATGGGCCATTCAGTCCTCTCAACATTTAAATTTAAAAAAATTTAAACTTTTACATCACGATTCCAGGATTTAGTTAATCGTTCTGCAAGAGTATGCCTGTATTCTTTAACAAACAGCTCTTTGCTCCCATAAACAGAAACAAGCATGTTGAAAACATCAGCATTTTGCCTAAACCGACGACTTTGGTTTATAATCGCATCCGGCGGATCGGGAAGCCAGTTCATCCATTGTTCTTCTAAATCAATATTAATTTAACGCTTATTTAATCGCATTGTTATTGGATTAGGATTTTTCAATGAATCGATGAATAGAACCATTAATCACCCTCAGATTCTTCCTCATTAGCGATAAGTTCGTCATTTATGCCTTGAAGATTTTCTTCGTCTATAAAAGCAGTTCGTTTTCGAGTCAACTGTTGACTTAACTCTTCTCTCATTTCACCAGTTATGTATGTGATTATGCAACGCACAGTATCTGGACGCTGTCTTTAATAATAATTGCTTTGCACTCTGGTGGTTATGAAAATTCTTATTAAAATAAATTATTTCATCAATTATTATAGTAATGTTATATAATAATTACCGAAATATAATAAAAATTATCATTTATTGTAATTGAAATCAAACTTTATATAAGTGCGAATAATTGAACAAATTTTCTGCATAATCACACAAGTTGGATCAAGGCGTCGCAAGCATTCTACAGCATTCGCATAGCCTTGTAATATATCAACTGTACTTACTCCTGAAAAAACCATTTTATTGTTCAAAGAAGTCTTCTATTCCTTAATAAATAATTTTTTCGCCATAAAGAGAAATGTAAAGCTCAAATATATATTATAAAATTTTTTTCGAAAATCTTACCAATATGCAAAAGATATGTCTTTACATCATTAGAAAGCTTCTCGACTAAATTTTCCCTGCCATATCCTCCATTACTTTCCATACAAAAACGCATATCATCGATAATGTTTCCTGATGCAGGATAACTTTTAATCACCAGTTCGTACGCCTGCAATCGGCAATATTGTATTCTAATCTGAATATTCCGATTCTCGCAGGAAATCACCCAAAAATAGTTGATGTCACCGTAATAGCAATGGTAAGAAAAAAAAGGAAAAAACAAACTCTTTCGTTAAGTTGATCGACGATTTTCTTTTCTAAAAATACTTTTAAACTTGGGAAAAGAGAATTGAAATATTTGTCCAAGCCAATAATTTTTGCCCATTTTTGCATACAGTTTATCTTCTAAAACTTATTTTTATCAAACAAGAAAAATTTTTTTTAAATGAAAAAATGTTTTCAAAAAAAGCTATTTTATTAGATTAATTAATTTAAAAAATTTTAATTAAAAAAAAGCTCACATCGATATTTTATTATATTATATTTAAATTATAGTAAATACGACATTCTTAAAAATGAACAAAAACTAACTTTTTTTAACGATTTAAGAAGATTTGATTTTGAAGGATCAGTGCATAATCTTTCAGTAAAATCAGAAATAATGGAGAAAGATGCATGCTTCAGAGAAATATTTACGATTTTCAAACTAACATTGAAAGCTTGCGAATCAGTTCTAGAAAAATGAATTTGAAAAAAGAAAATGAATAAAGATAATATAAGATTTAGTTCATATTTCCAGACTTGGAATTCTCTTTGATAAACAATATAAGAAAACAACAAAGGAAATCAAAAACAACGTACAACAAATTATTAATGCCTAGAGCTTTATCCAAAAGATCAGCTTTATGCCTCAAACTTTCCGAAATACGTTTGTCTTTTAAAATTGATTCAAAGATCGAATAAGTGAATTTAAAGCATTCATTCAACAAAAAAGTCATTTTTAGTGTGACCTAAAAATAATTACAAGAATACTTCAAATCACAAATACTTAAAGAAAAAACAAAACGTGAAATATTCTCCGTGTGGTACTATAGACCTGCATTCCCACCCCACCCTCAGTTAACTATTTAGCCAGCTGGAAATAGCGAGGAATATGAAATATTTTATAAGGAAAAAAAATTTTCCAATGATAACGTAATTTAATTTAAATATAATTTAAATATAATATATGTAATGTATCTTTTCACCCAGTGATTATTAATGACTAACTTCTGAGCAAAAAAGTGAATATGGAACAAAGTGCCAAGAGACTGCAAACGGACTATTTTCATCAACTTGTCCAGATCTATCTGATTTAATTTCCTTAAAATCAAAAAAAATTAATCAAACGATATTAATAAAATTGGTAATAAAATTATATGACCAATGATAATTTAAAAAAACCTGATTAACTGCTCTATATGTTGAATTAATTAAGACAAACATTGCTTCTAACAGATTAGCTGATTTCTCTGACTTCATTTTGTCTAAAAGATGGACAAATCGCGGACGTATTACATTGACAATATGTTCCCTAAAAATATTTTATTATTATTCACATTATTTATTATTCTTTAAATAGCGTAAAAAAATTTTTTTTCGACCTTAGTCAACAAAACTAAGAAGTTTTGATAGTGTTTGAATTGAAAAAAAAACAGTAAAACATTAAATTTACTGAAAATTATAGTGTTCCATTGTATTGGTATAGATCACAATATCACTGGAAACATTCAAGTCATAAACCTTTGACTTCATTTCTAAAATTTCTAATAAATCACGATCTAATCATAATCGAAATATAATGAATGGGGTTTCAACAAATATCGTTAAGTACTTTTTCAGCCAACTTTATTCAAAGTTAAAATATGGGAAATATTCATATTTCAATCGAGAGAACCGTAGATTCATAATACTTGAAAAAAAATAAATTTATTATATTCAATTGGCAAAATATCCAGAAAGAAAACATGTTAAGATATTATCTTAACCTAATTCCTAAAAAACAGCAATTAAGACTGAATTTAAAAAATTATGTTTTCAATCTAATATTTCCAATTCTGATAAGTTCTCGACCAAATTTCTCGTATAGCTCTCCACCTTCCTGAAAAAAAATTGGTAGTAGATAAAATAAATATATAATATTGATATAATATAGATTAGCACAATAACGCTGCAATTAGGAAAACTCATTCACTCAAACAAAATAATTATTGATTAAACAGATACATCAGAAATCAGGCATAATTCCAAATTAAGAAAAAAATTTGACTTGGAACAGTGGACTAGGCTCTCGCATCGTTAAGGCAATCCGCCTACCACGAATATGTTCACTAAATACAGCATGTCTCCATTCGTGGCGTACTTTGCCAGCCATGCAAACCAATGATCTAGAGATTAATGAATTTTGCGACTAAGAAAATACAAATCAGCAAAAAAATACTTTTAAAAATAAAATAAAAATAAAATTAAATAAAATAAAATAAAATAAAAATAAATAAAATAAAATTAAAAAATTCCTATTGTTAATAATCAAATAATCAAATGCAATTAATTTAATTAAAAAATTAATGTTCAAGTTAAATAAAAAGATTACAAACAGAAACCTCCTTGGCAAATAAACATAGACAAGTAGCTGCCTTTCGTCATTGGCGTACGACAAAACACAGGGATTTAATAAGTTCAAGCTGCAAAAAAATGATGAAATCGGATGGCAAAGAAAGAATAAAATAGCAGAAAATTTAAATAATTTGAGGAAAATTTGAAAATTCAAGTAAAGCGACTGAATAATCTTATATTTTTTATTTAATAGTTTGCCGATAGCGACTAAAATTTAAATCGATGATTTCAAATTTATTATAGTTTCTTCAATTAAAAATTTAAAAGAAATTGAACTATATTCGGTTTTCGACACCATCGTTTGGAGCTGTCGAAACAGTCCTCATTATTGGCGATCATAGAAAACCTGTTTCATTGTTTTGTTTATCTTTTATTTTTTATGATCAATAGATCTTTTGAGTCTCTTAAGTTTTTAATTGTTTTTTATCTTCTTTTAACTATTGCACACTATAAACTTTATTAGATCAGCCAATGAATGATTTCATTGTTTTGCATGATCAGTGGGATCTGTTTGCTGAATAGAAAACTTGTGGAAATTACGATCTTGTAACTGGTATTGAACAAAAAGAATTTCATCTTATTTTGATTTGGAAGCCAATTTTAGCTGATGTTATCGATACCAGGTCTAATGACTGCTTCAATCCCTTTTCACTGTATCACTGTATTCAAAACCTCTGATGCTTTAGAGTGATATATATTTTTCTCCTTCTCACTCCTTATAAGTGATATGGGACACCTTTAACTTCGAGTGCTTTACTAGAGACCTGGGAGATAAGGTAGATGCTTTTCTCGCTCAAAGATTCTCATCAGAAAAATAGAAAGATTTAGATACATATATATTCGGAATAGCGTGATGTTAAAATATTCGATTAATATAACAACTGTTCGAGTGACAAACATTCCTCTCTATCTTTCCGATTAAGGGTCCTTTATACACCAGCAAACGGTATCCATAACCGAGTCTATCTCATAATTAAAGATTTAAGGAGAGACAATGCAATCTTAACGCAAATGGCTTCGAAAAATTGTGTCAAATTACCATATACATATATATAGAATGTGTGTGAAAAGCGCTCACCGGTTAAGCTCGCTTTTTTTCGCCGTTAAACCATATAAATTTTGCTAGGAAGTCATCTGGCAATAAGCAATGGTTACCGGCACCACTCGAAGGCACAAATTCAATCCTGGATTTATCAATGTGCACTCTGAGATGAGAGCAACAGCCAACCCAGTCATTCTATCTCTTTTATTTGAGTCTAGGTCGTACCGTCGATCGACTTAAAAGCAGTGCAAAATAAATAATGGTAAATTGCCAATTGTTGCAACGATGTTCCGTTGTTTTTCTCAAATTTGATTAACACAACCGCTCCCTGACCACTGTCTAAATCCAGCTTATGGAGCATTACCTGCTATTAAGCAGTGCTCAAGTCTACTCACAAGAAGAGAGACAATAATCTTCTAGAATATCTAGTAAGATAATTTAAGATAATTTTGATGATTGCTTCCATGAGAATATTTTCACAAAAATTTTTAACTAAAATTGGTTTTAAAAACCAATTTCATAAAACTAAAAAATTGCTAATAATACAAATATTTGGCAATTTTTAAAATTATTTTTCAATCATTTTTTATTTATAGATAAAATGGTTTAGAAAATTAGAAAATTAAAATGATAGCATAAAAATGAATGTTAGGTCTTATATTATATAGGTTATCTGACGAAATTTAAATTAAATACATTAAAAGAAATACCATATAAGGCGATTGCCCCAAATCCAAGAATCGTCGAAATGCATTTCTATGGCTGATAGCCTTTCATCAACATATTCCAAATTGCACAGTTCGAATGGTTGGTATTCTCCAAGGCGATTAGGCGAAACTTCTTTCATTCTATTAAGAATTATATCAATATAATCTGGCATGCCAGAAAAACGATCAACTTTAATTTTTTTATGCTTGAAGTTAACTTGAGGACCATAATCCTGAAAAAAAGGTTAATTATTGAAAAAGTCGAGAAATTCACGATTAACGACTTTAGAAACGATTTAACGATAAACAACCTAAAAGAAGAATATGTGAACAACAATATTAAAAGTTAGATAGGTTCGATTTCGGCTTTATTACAGTAGTAAACCTGCAATACAATTGAAGAAGCTAACAACCCACTTAAAGAAAACGCATCCATACGCATCTATTTCTATTATCCACAAATTATGACACATAGATAATTTCTTTTTCCGTTAGGAACAGTTTAGTGCAAAAATCTATACAAAAGAAGACATCTATTGATGCTATTGTGGTTGTTACTAACTTCTATTTGGTGATATTACACTCGAACTGAGAAATTTTTATATTTTATAATATATCAATTACTATGTCGCCATATTTTTATTAACCATCATGCGTCGCATAAACGTTCGTATTATGCTTTCGTCTATAACATTACGTCTCACGACATAATATTCTTGAGGAAATCTTTAGCTCTCAACCTGTCGTTAAGTAAGCACCATTCCGAATGATACGAAGAAACCAAAATTGAATAAATAAAACCGAAATCAAATCAATTATCTCCTTCAAAAATATTTAAAAAAAAATAAACCTGCTTTCTTCTGCCTGATTGTGATAACGTCCATTCCTTACGATCAATTTTTTTTATCAGAAATTCTTCGACCTCCTTATTTAAGAAATCTTTCACAAGAAGCAATCCTTCTAACTCCACATAATTTTCCTGAAATAACAAACACAAAATAAATGATTTAATTAACCAGTAAGCTATAAGTAAACCAAAAGACCTCATTTAAAAATTCTAATTCGTCCGCATTTCGAGTTAATCGTGCAATTTCCTCAATATCTGAACTTTTTCCAAGTGTTTTATCAAATACTGCCTTTTCATGTCGACTTGAATAAATATATTTCTTGTAATTTCGATAAGATTCCGCATTTTCCAACGATAAATTCTTTACTCTAAAAATCAAAAAATCAAAAATCAAAATCAAATCAAAAGTTGGAAAAAATTTCGCGAAGTACTCAATTTTTCCTCATTATTTCTGGCAAAACCAATGAATACCAATAAATTCACTATTTTTTGAATTTGAATGGATAATTAACGAATATTAATTAAATGAATTAGGTGCTAACACCTTAATTTTTTTACATAGGCAAATCTACCAAATAATTTTGCATTTTGAAACACTTGATTCAATAATAAACGGTTTTATGTAAAACCAAAATTGAATAAACAAAACCGAAACCAAAGACCTTTTAATTATGAAAATTAACTTCTCATATTCTCTACTACGATTTTTTTGAAAATCATAGTCATCATTATTACTGGTTAAACTCTCTCTGCTTGCTTGTTGCTGGAAAAATATGACACGGAATCCCTTGGCGATAAAAATACAGGTGGGTCACCAGGATTTTTGGACAGGTTTACTCCTGTGGGGAATAGAACCTCAGCACCGGCATTGTTGTTCCGAACTGAGCAACAATACACTAAGCCATTCTATCTCTCTTCTATGATTAATAAAAATATTCCTTTGTATGTCATAACAAAGACTATAATAATAAAGATTACAAAATATTCCTATTAACAACGGACGGCGTTGCCCGAAACAAATTTTATACGTAGTCGAAATACATAAAAATTTTGAAGACTAAATGTGAAGGTTTAATTATAAAATATTTTACGAAGAAAATGAATTAAGTCATAACAAAGCAAAGTTAAGACAGAATATGTTTTAACTTCATGTTATTAATATTTCTGCATTTTTCTGCAATAAACATGCTTTATAAAAGATATATTCTCAGATGGCACATTTATTGCAGATGCTGCCCAAATACTTTTATTCCTAGTTGATATAGAATACTGAGCACTGTCTTGTTTCCACTAACGGAATGAATAATCCTCTCGTTCAATAACTGGCTTATTCAAAAATGTGGCCAATGAAATGTTCATCATGAAGTCCATAATATTTTCTTCTTCAAAAGAGCAATAAGCGAAACATTTTTAGTGAAAAATTTGAAATAACCGGAACAACTCAATAGTGGAACTAACAGCGTAAAATTCAATTGAATTCCGGCACATCAAACTGTCTTAAACGAGAATCCATTCAGCAATTGAGAATTGAGGAATAACGTAAAGGCATCGAATTTTCATTTCTCATATAACGTATTATCAAAAAGAGCTAATACTGAAATGATACCTTCAGATTTTTGAGTTAGAAAACTTTCCAAACTCTGACTTTTTAACATAAAACAAAATAAGTGATGATTTAATTCGTAGGAAATCTGCCACGTTATACTTTTATTATTGTTTCCAGCTCATCGCAAAGAAACTACTCATTACAATAGATGGATCCTCGGCTTCGGCTGCAATTTTTGACTGAACTCGAATATAAATATTGGACCAAAATCTACATCATGGCTTTTCACATAGAAAACTTTCCAAACTTTGATTAAATAACATCTAATATAAAATTAAATTCATCATTATTATAATAAAGAAAAAATACAAAAACCGTTCAGAATTTCTGCAGAGAGCGCAGAATCGAATTCCTTTACATCCGCAAGTTTCGTTCATAGAAAATTCTTTTCTGAAAAACAAAAAATTCTATCAATTTAGTAAAATTTTTAAGGGACATGATGAGTTAAAAATCAATAAGTTCGGCATAAAAATAAAAAATGCAGGTAGGAAGAAAAATGCAAATTATTATGAATGAGCATGAGCATAGTAGGAGGTGGTGAAAAAGAACTTTGCCAAAGGTACTACCAGCAGATTTTACGAGAAATTCTTCCCGTCGTAATCGTTTCCAATTAAATAGAGATAACAGTAAAATAACAATTAAAAACATCTTCACAATGACGGAAGGTTTGCATTAGGTGTTTGGCAATTCCAGGAATTTGGAGAGAATACACAATAGGCAGTAGGTTCTCTAAACCCCAAACCCGAATCCCAAAACCCCGAGAGATCCTCCCGTTGTATTCCATGAATGCTTTTCCGTACCTCGTTATACCGCTTTCGCATTCATCCCTGCATCGCACAGGTTGGAAACTGAAATCCACACAAAAATGTACACTAAAAAGATGCGAATATGCTGCTCTATCGAATGGCGAACCGACTGGTGAGAGGGCGAATTCTTCATAAAACCTGCTGCAACATTCCTGGCAGCCGCTAACTCCTTGTCACTGATTCGCAACAACTGAATTCCTTCCCTCCGCATAGCGCACTGAACAACTCTCAGAAGCGAAAGCACTCGACCTTTGACCTTGTCGAACTTAACGTTCGCATTTCACTACAATTCCTAAATTACTAATCGTCGCATTCAATTAATAATAAATCCTTGAAAAAATCAGATTTAAAGGAAAATGCAAAATTTGAAATTTTATTAAAATTCTTCAAATTTATTTTGACTAATTTTTTGAGGCGAAAAAAGGTCGAAAGTCGTCCCACAATTTTTGAATTGAAAAACGAGAAAAGTTAAAAAAAATACAACTGAAAAATCAATAAATAAGAAATAAAACATAAAAAAACATTAAAACATAATGAATAGAATCGCTACTAATCGGCGGCCGCAGATTTTATAATCGAATTTTTCAATTATTTTCGCCACGTGAATGTTGTGAGAGGGTGTTTCTTGTTTTTCGCTTGTTGCTTGTTATGTTTTTTCATGGGTCGTTATTTGACTGAAACACATCGGATGATAAATGGTGTGAAACTGTTTTTGGCACGGTCTTTCTGTGGGGCTGTGGATGGCCTGGAAAGTCTGACGGACTCTTTCTGTGGGGCTGTGGATGGCCTGGAAAGTCTGACGGACTCTTTCTGTGAGGCTGTGGATGGCCTGGAAAGTCTGACGGGATCTTTCTGTGGGGCTGTGGATGGCCTGGAAAATCTGACGGGATCTTTCTGTGGGGCTGTGGATGGCCTGGAAAATCTGACGGACTCTTTCTGTGAGGCTGTGGATGGCCTGGAAAGTCTGACGGACTCTTTCTGTGAGGCTGTGGATGGCCTGGAAAGTCTGACGGCGTCTTTCGTTGAATATTTGCGTGAAATTGATGAGAAAATCTTGATTATCACGTTGAAAACATTTAAAATTCAGAATCCGAAATTTTTATTCACTTTCTCTTCCCAATTCAATGAAAAATGCAAATATGTGTAAGCGCATTATAAGACAGCGCATCAGATGGAACCCTACACTTTAGTCGTTGTTTTCAGCTTTCAAAATTAATATTCTTTGGAATGGCCGTAAATTACGCAAACGCTTTATCGCCTTATGACAACAAAGGTAACTTGGGATTGCCTGAGGTTCCATTTATTTGCTTCTGTTTTTATACGTTTCAGTTCTTTATTATGGTCGTAATTTTCGCACAAGTTTTCTCCTTCGTTGAATATCTTGCCATTTATCATTTCCTTCTCCTTTACTGTATTCAGGGTTTGTTCAAGGTTTTATGAAAAAGTATTTCAGTTGTTTGATGACGATGCTACGCTTGAACGAAAAATATTGGAACTGTCTGATTTGATTAAACAAAGCCGTTGCTGCGTATTTCACACAGGAGCTGGAATAAGCACTTCGGCCGGGATTCCGGATTTTCGTGGGCCAAAAGGTGTTTGGACTCTTGAAGCAAAGAACGAGAAGCCAGAAAGTGTCGAGTTTACAAACGCACGACCAACGTTCACTCATTATGCAATCAATGCTCTGGAACGACGGAATATTATAAAGTGAGAGGTATATATATCTCTTTAAACAAAAGCTGTTTCTTTTACTCATCGTGTCAATTTTTCATTTAGTTAGTTTTATAGAATGATAACACGCTTGCACAAAGTTGCATGCACATCTTCATGAAAGCATTCAAGAATCCTTAATTATAACCAGTAATTTGAAAATGTCAGATTTATTTTTGATATTTGAGATAGGAATATTTTTGTTTCCCTAACTGAAAATATTGATGATTCTTAGTGCACTCTTTGTTATGTAACTGACAAATATTTGGAATAATTCTTCATTAGCTGCAAAATAAAAGAACTGAAAAAGAGCATGAATTATGTGAAAAAAAATGGTTGGCATGTAAATGAAGACGATAAAATAAAAAAGTGAGCGGATAAGGTAACGTTTTGAGTAGATAGTTTATTGGCATGATTGATGTTTGATCGAATGTTTGATTGATGTTTGATCAAAGTTTGATCGAATTGTACAGTTTTTCCTTATATAAGCGTGACATTGGTGTTTATATGAAGATCTCTTTCTTTCTGAAAGTGGCTTTGAATATTTTGACCTTTTTATGAGCCATAGATTAATATTCATATTTTCAAAAAAATGATGGTTGAAAAAGATAAATGGTTGCATTTTGCATTTTAGATTTTTGGTTACACAAAACGTGGACGGACTTCATGTTCGCTCGGGTTTCCCTCTGAACCGTTTAGCTGAAATTCATGGAAACGTTTTTCTCGAAATTTGCAATAAATGTGGAAGGTCTGTTTTTCTAAAGCATATCATTATTTGCAATAAAGGACTGATCTCCTTTTTTGTTTATTCATCCTTTTTATGGTCTTACTATACTTGATTTGTATTTCTCTTAGTCGAAGAATGCTCATTTACTATTTCGTCTGTCTTAAAATTCTTAATCTACTAATTATGAATGATATATCGAAATATTTAGGGAAGCGTTCATCTGTTTGTTTTTCATTTGCTTTAGAGAATGATTCACTTCATGTTTTGTCGTTGTTTTATTACAACTGATTTATAGAATTAAATAAGTAATGGGAAAATGAGGATTTAAGATTTTTAGACGGTATTATCGAAAAGAACCAGTGGGAAGTATTGGTAGAAAACCAACAGGAAGAGATTGCGAGGGTACTTTGAAAGGTAGAAGTTGTCGAGGTAGGTTACATGATATGTGTTTGGATTGGGAAGATGCCTTGCCTGAAGATGACTTCTCGATGGCTATCAAGTTTTGCAAGTTAGTTATTCAATTTTTTACTTATATCCGCAAAGAACAAGGGATTTGTCGTTTTAAACTGCATATTTTCACTTTGATTTTGCTAGAATGTTTAATTTAAGTTTATTTTCTAATAATTCAGTCATATTATTGTGTTTATTATATTACTGTAACATGGTATAATTTTTAGAAAAGCGGATTTAAGTGTCTGTTTGGGTACGACTCTACAAATAGCTCCAGCAGGTGATTTGCCTCTTTTGGCTAAGAAAAACGGAAAAATGGCTACCATTAATCTTCAAAAAACCAAACATGTTAGTTTTGGTAGTTATCATGATAGTTTTAATAGTTAAAATTGATAAAATTTCTTAACCATCATTTTTTTGATAATCGCTTTTTTTGATATTCCAGAAATTTTAACCCTCTTGAAATCCAAAATCTATTATCACATAAATATTAATTCTTTTTCTTATAAGGTTTAGTACAAGAGAACAGACTTAATAATAAATTCACGTTGCGATGATGTTATGCGACGATTAATGGAAATTTTGCAAATTGAAGTAGTTGAAGATTATAAAGAAGACAATGTTATACCTTTCTCAATATATCCATTGGAAAATTTTGTATAAAAATGAATAGAAATTAATTTCTATGTCGTGAATAAAAATAATTTAAACATTAAATATGCATATCAAAATGAAAATATGAACTTTTCGGTTTTTTTTCTTGCAGAAAATATAAGATTTATACCGGTAATTCGTGTTCGTTCTTGACATTGTTAATTTCAATTTTTGATTCACAGATACGTGAATTTCCAATAAAATGATGTACAAAATCTCGAGCATTTACCAAAGAAAGTACTAAGTGGAAATATTAAATGTTGAAATAACGTTAAAAATATTTTTAATGTTACCAAAATTGCATAAAATAAATGTCACTGAATTTCATTTCTATTATCATAAATTATTTCCAGTGCATTAATTCAGTGATTTAATTAATTTGTATGCAGTAATAAATAAACAGAAGAAAAGTTTAAAATCAAAATAATCTTATCAATTATGGAATTTAAAAATCAAGAAGAAAAACAAGCTAAGTGTAAATCCAAGAAGATCAATAAAAATCAATAAGCAACGAATCAAAATCGTAAGCTAATTTAAGAAACAAAGCATATTTACATTAAACATCACCATTATAGGCATAATCTGCTTTATTGTGCATTATTAGGCGATCTTCAACAAAGTAAAAACTGTCTGATCGTGTTTCGTATGGGCAAGCAATCATTTCATTGACTGCAACAGTGGTATTTAAAAAACGAACATAAAGAATAAACATTAATATCTACATGATTGCCATTTCGCTTCATGAAACTATGGCTAAGTATTAGCAGACCAAGCAACATGGGTTCCATTCTCTCTCTTAAACTAGAGAGGTTGAAATATAAAATTCGAGTGCTGAGGATGTAAGATACGCTACATTTATTCTCAAATAACTCTACCATCTAAGTGTCTCAGAGTAATCAATGAGTAGAGTGCGCGTTATAACGAAAAGATAAAAAAATTTAAAGGTGCAAAAAATAGAAAAATAGTCGTCGATTCATGAAAAATATGAAAAAAGATTACTTAGAGTTTCGGATAGCTGCGGGAAGTCATAAATGTGTTCACATGTATTTCTGCTATTCGGAACGCAAAATCCAAATTCAAAATCAAAACTTTTTAAAAGACGATCACGGAAAAAATGCCGTTCAATCATACGAAATTTATTTACAGGTTGGTTTCCAACGTTGAATTCCACACTATAAAGGAAAATAAAAATCACTGGGTATTCCATAAATTTATCTTTTATCTTTTCCCTAAAATTAAAACTTGCAAAAAAATGACGAAGTTTTAATTTACAATTAAAAAACGCAAATTACTCAACACGTTCTGAAGAATAACACATATGCACTTGGTGAGAAAAAAGTATTACGTTGCGCCGACACGTTTAAGTCTCAGAAAAGCAGGAGTAAATTGGTAACGAACAAATCGAGTAGCGCTTGCTTCATCTATTGCCAACTGCACACTCGCCACCGGATATTCATTGTCTTCATATTCTAAATTTTGCGATGAATTAGAATATATAAAGCATAAAAAATTATAAAATAACAAGCCCTTTAATTGAAAATAATATAATATAGAGAAACAATTAAGTTGGACTGAGAATAGTCTAAAATTTAAAAAAATTTAAAAAAATTAAAATTTAAAATTAAAATTTGTCTAAAATTTTCCAAATGAATTAATGAATTTAAGGACTTGAAAAATAATTCAATAAAAGATAGATTAAATGCAAAAAAATTAAATAAGCTGTCACGAAATGTGATGTTTTTTCTATTGCTTCAAGATTATTGCTTCAAACAGGTGACCCCGACCCTCCAAAAGAAAATTTTCATTAACTTAATCGATTCTTTGCTCATTCCATTTTCATATGTCAATAAAAGATTGAGGTCAATTTGCAGCTGTATATACTTCTCAAGAAGATTGCTCTTTTTTTCTTATTGTGGATCCATCAAGAGACCCAAGCAGTTGAGTCCCAATAATTCAATATTTTACTTTCGTTATTCAATACCCCTTATTGTTTAATCGTTTCTTACTTGTTTTAAAATACCTTTTCAGTCTCTGGATTTTATTTGTATCGAATATTTTTTTATCAATATATTGCTGAGGTTTAATTGCCCAAGTTTGAGGTGTGAAATGAAGAATAAAGTTTTTATTACTTTAATTTCTTGAAGCAGCCAGAACAAGGTTCTTCTAAAATTTTAACCCTTGGCAGAGGAGCATCATTCCACTGCCTTCAATTATTATTCTACTTTTTACACTAACCATTTGTAGGTTTAGCGATTTCGAAAAGCACTTGGTCTGTTTCAAGATCTCGAATTTTGAAACGAGTAAATTCAATATCGAAAATATTCGCCTCTGGTTTGCACAAATAATCTGAAAATGATTTTTTTCAATTTTTTCTTTATATTATATAAAAATATTATATAATAAAGACAAATCAAAGAAACAAAGTTTTCCTAGAAAATATAGAATTTATTTCAAATAATTTTTTCAATTTTTTTAAATAAATTTACTTAACAATCAATTATTAAATGTGATCAAGAAAAAAAATTGAGGGCAACTGTACCATCGGTGATTTTGTCCAAACGTAATACATCTTCAGGCGTAATGACAGAAAGTGAGCGCAATTCTTCTTCACTTAATGGTTCATGAATGCAGTTTTCAGTCATTGTCGACGAAGAGCCTCGATGTATTTGTGGCATTCTACTTTATAAAACTTCAGCAATTCCAAAATCTGAAAATTTCTAAGATAATTATCAACTCATTCTCCGAACCAATTTTAAATTTTCATGGAGTCTACTATTCCACTAGACTATAAGTTTCAAAGCTTAGTGTTTGATGAAAATAAAATTAACAAAAATAGATCTCGAACTATTAATGATGGCCACTGATGGATGAACAAAATCTGTCTGTTTTTTAATCACAATGAAATCAAATTTTAAAATTTTCTTCCCTTCCGAACCATTTTAATCTATATATATATATATATATATATACTTTAATTCTGTAATTAAATAGCAAAAACTGCCAGTTTTTTATCTCAACAAACTAAAAAACTGCCGAAATTTTCGAAAAGGAAAGTACTAATTCCAAGAGAGTGATGGACTTATCATTACCTTTTACCTTTTACCTCTACCTCTACCTTTGTTTCTTTTCTGTTTTATATGAGACATTTCTGGTTTAGTCTGCTCCAATTAACAAATAATAGGATAAGGTTACAGGTTAAACTTTAGTCAAATATTCATTTGACTGGTCTCAATAGAATTGAAATTAGATGTTAAAAGATTTATACCTTTATTTTCACTTATCTTTAATTTAACTTCAGCATTTCTGCCATTTATGAATATAGACAACAAGCTAATACCTGCCATTTATGAATATAGACAACAAGCTAATACTATATTGGCAGTGCCTATAACATGTCATGTCCTCGTACGGATCCAGCAATTAATGGTGCCACCTGTGAAGAAGAAGATGAAGAATTCGCCACCAACAAGAACCAGAGGTATTTCCGTCTCATATTATTCTTATGATCTCAAAAATCCCACAGGCTTGACTGAATTGTCAAAGAGAATAATAGCAAAAAAAGGAAACGGCACAGGTGGCCCTCCTCTCCATGCGCATTATCTTTACCCAAGGAAAAGAAATAGAAAAATGCTCCTCCTTCCCTCTTCTCCCATGAATAATAGTAAGTGCTGGTAATAAGCGGACTAAAACTTATTTTTGATATCAGTTAGTTCTCATCACATTTGTTACGTGCAAAATCTGATAACAACTATGCACTTATTCATCGCCGACTTCTCTTATTTTTTTCTATAGTTTACTCATTTTTAATAATTTAAAGTAAGAAAATCCGTCGGCGATCGACAAATCGCCGATGAGTTAAAATCTCAACGAAGGAAGCCATCGAAAGGATGAAAATGAAATGACCAACTCGCTGGATGAGCCGAATGAGGAGCTCGGATAATTGCTGCTTGAAAGCAACCTAAAGAAAAGAAAAGACGCGTAAAAGGAATCCGCTAACCTCGCAGATTCGCTTTGAAAATTATAGAAAGAAAAGTGAGACTGGAATAATTAGAAAAGGAACAAACTTTCCGAGGAAAACTTCCTTTGTTTGACGCAAATAAATTTTCAGATAAGCCGCAAATATTTTCCTTCGTTCATCATTCGCCGGCATTTATATAATTCACGTAATATGTTGTCGTCAATCAGTGGAAATTACTATGCAAATATCTAAAATCAATATTAAAATATTAAATTAGCAATTTTCTTTTTTTGAAATATAAATAATATCAACGAATCTAATCGAAGTGAACGAATCGGCTTATTCCTCGTTTTGCAAAAATTTATCGACATTCTTATCACTCCGCTGATAAGGCAATTACGAATTAACTGATACTTGAAGATTTTTTCAAATGTTAAGAAAAATGCTAGTCGTAGACATCTAATAATTTTCTCCTTACAGTTCCCGTTGAAATTTTTTTATTCCCGAAGATTCTGCTTGTGCATTATGTGCGTTAATTAAAAAATGAAGATGTCTGCATTAAGTACACTTTGAAATGAAAAAAATTTACGGGATTTCTGTTCAAGAAAACATATAAGGGAAAATTTTGGGTGCTCGAAACCAGTCTTTTATTTATTCATTTATTTGGCAATAGTTACCACTTTTTTAAAATTGGAAACTCGCAAATGAAATGGCTCTTCCCGGCATATTAGAGCAATCGTATAAATTTGTACGCTTCAATGCGCTTTTGTAAAAACACCGTGAATTTTTCATCGCAGTTGAATATGCGGAACACCGTTTGAGAAGGAAGCACATTGCTAAGGCGCACCAGAAAACCGCGATATTTCCCAAATACCGCCGGTGCATCGCCGCATGAAGCCGCACTGCATTTCACCGGATATAGGAACTGCAAAATTTAAAACAATCGCTCCTTTATTCCTTCTTCTCCTCTCCGGAACTGCAATGATGAACATTGGTCAGCAACACGCTCAATCATTCGATTCATTCAACTGAACAGGAAATTTATTTTTCGCAATTCAGACGCAAACGAATTTCAAACGTCTTCACCACCGATTTCGTCCCCACGGCGTTCTTGTTTGTGGAATATTTCTTAGAAGCGCCTCTGGGTGCATTTCCTTTTAATCATCTCGCGTTGCTGGTAATATTAACTTCGCCGGTTCGGCTGAATAAGGAAATTACAATTTAAAGTGAAAGAAAATTTTCGTCCTTCTCTACATTTCTTTATATAAAATCGATCCCATTTTAGAAAGACAAGCACTCAGCATCTGCACTTGCACACATCGGCAACCACGCACAAAGCACACTCCATTCGGCGAGGATGACAACGATTCCAGAGGTGAGCTAAGAATACTCGTGTGAACCCGATCCGTGCGATTTTTCACTAGGAAATGAAATTTTCGAAATGAAATTTTAAAAAATGAGAACAATTATTTGATTTGTCCGCCGAACTGAATTGATTCCGACTGAGGAAGCTCGCTTCAGACTGAAACGCGATGAATATTGGTTGATCTCATGGAAGACATTCATGATTTCAATCCCTTGATGCAAAACTACTAATGGATTGAAATGCTGGCGCTGCTCGAGACCCACCAACTCCTTGGCGAGAAACCTCACCTCAACTGTCGATGGAATCGGCCAAAGAGCGAATGCGATTATCTGAAAGAAAAGATCGCATCAACTCAGTTCACATTCAGTCCATAGGATAATTGATGGCTGACGAGCTGCAATCTCATCTCATTTCGCCGTCTCATTTCAACAAAAGAGTCTTAAAAAAACACTCAAACTTAGCTCACAAAAGCCCTTCAAATTTATTGCCAAAACATAGAATACTTTCGAAATCGCAATTTCTACATTTCTATATTTATCTCTTTTAAAATAACAAACAATGTAGCAATGACAATGTGTGCGAAAGCCTTCAGCATTCTCTTTCCAAAATCGAGAGAACGGTAACCGAAATCGGAAATGAAACTCCTCACTCGCAATTTTTCCCATCCCTTATTATGCAAATTAAAAGCATTCAAAATGCTAAAAAAATTAGAATAAATGAATGGACAGGAAACAAATTCATTCATCTTTCACCTAAAATAAATAAGCCATAAATAGGCCAAATAATTAAGCAACTACTCCACTATATATGCCAAAAATGATGAATAAAGAAAAATAATGGACGAAATTCAATGAATATTTGATTAAAACGAGCGATATTCAAAAGCCGAATGCAAATTTGTTTAATTTACATAGAATGAATGAACGAATGACGATGAAACGAGCGAAAATATTTAATATAAAATTATTTTACAACTTTTTAAATAAAATTAAAAGGCATTTTTAGGGAAATTTAACAATAATGAAAATTATTTAATTAAGTAAATAATTGAAAAGACGAAAATGTTCCTTATAACGAATAAGATTATCACAAATGAAAATTATTTTTAAATGAAAATAAAGTTGAGAGAAAAAAATCCTCTTAAATAGCTATTAATCATTGCAATACGTTTTTTTGCCCACAGCAGTTTATATGAAAAGATTTTCAGGAATGAGAAATTTGCCGATAAGCCGCATGCTACTTGCGCTAAAACTAAGGAGAATGGGCTCCATTCATGCCCACTCTCATTTAGGCTAAAACGTCTAAAACCAATCTAACCAGTAACTTATAACTGAGGCTGAAGGTTGACAAGCGAAACCTAAAAAATCAGAAAATTATATCGTAATTTATTAACTTTAAATTGGATTAAATTTTATTTAAATGTTAGAATATTTCATAAAATCAGCCGAAAACTGCGGATCACTGACTTATTTTAACGCGCTGATGCGTGGATTCTATTTTCAGCCAGAAGCAAATTTTTCTTTAAAAAATCCCAATGATACTGGCAAACCAAGCGACTCATTGGCCGAATTTCTCCGACCCGACAAGTCGGCGAAGCGCTGCTAACAAATAAATGGTGAGAGCTATAGAAAAAATAAATGATCAATTGAGAAAATTTAATAAAAGAAAGCATCTTTGCTTTTCAAAAATTTTTTTATGAAAAGATAATAGGAACGCATAAAAAATTTTTATAGAATGCGGAAACTAAAAAACTTTCTCAACTGAAAAAATCATAAAAAAAGAAAAAAACCATCGAAAAAACCTAAAAATTTTAGTAATAAGACGTATGCACTTCTATTTTTTCATAATTATTCAATTCTTATTAATCAAAATCGCTTTTAATACCTGCAAATTGCAAAAATTATAATAAAAAATTTGTTGAAAAAGGAAAAGTTTCATCACACAAACAAAATAATCACAAATAAATAAAAAAGATTTTCTACAAAATAGAATTTGCGGCAACATTTGTTGATAAAAATCCGTTTTGAAGTTCATTATGAAATGAAAGTGATAACGCTTAAATAAAATGAACGATTTCACGAGAATAAATGATTAAGGTGTAGACGGTTTACCAGGAACCACTCAAAATCTGACAATTAAAAGAAAAATGATGCTAGAAGAAACTCATCATGAAACTTTATTCACTTTATTTCACTGATCCTTACTTGATCTTTACTTTCCAATGATTTCGGTACTTAGATAAATGTTCCCGATACTAATTAAATTGGCGACCGAAGTTTCCCTCATCATATATTTGCCAACCAACAACATGTCGAACACCACAGGAGACTACCATTTAAAACTTTGTTATGAATGGAATTTAAAATAAAGCATAATCTATGGCCATTTTTACGAAAACAATCATTTTTTTCATTCTTCAATCCATTCTTTTTTTCCAAATTGCGGATTTAAACTAATTTTTATAAGAACTGATACCATTAGCCGATATGCTGACTCAAATATTTGGAGGAACCAAAATAATGGTTTGACTGAATGAATTAGTCCCTTTCAAATTGAGCAGATTAAAGTTATGATTTATTGCCATAGTAACAATTTCTTAACCCAGATTTCATCCAATATGTCGCTATGGTGATAGAAATTCGAAATGAAAATTTCTACGATGGAAATTTATACGGTTCACTGAACTTGTACAGCAAGCAAAGCAACAAAAAAAAATAACAAATGCTATCAAATTATAATTAATTAAAAGTACTATCTATTGCACGCGAAAATTGACTGAATTTAAGTATTCAAAAATGATAGATAATTTTCCAACAATTTCTGCAAAATTATGAAAAAAAAATTTATGCAAAATATTTTTTTTTCATCTACAAACATACCAGTAGCAAAGTTCTTCAATAGTAAAAAGAAAAAAAAATTTCAGAAAAATTGTATTCATATAAAATTCTTCAAATAAAAATATGATATAAATACTAAATAAAATGTCTGATGACCAATTAGACCAGTGGTGAATGCTGTCTCCGCCAGAAATGCAAAATAATATTGAGAACTCACATATACTAATTTCAAGTAACTCTCCGGCAAAAATTTCTCAGTATTGATAGCAAATCGAACCAGAAATAATGAGCGTAAACCACTTATTTCACTAATGTTTACTAATATACGACAGTGAAATAAATCCAATATCTATATAAAAATATAATTGAAAATTATTTTAAAAAATGAATGATGGAATTAGTAACATAATCAAAAATAAAAAAATAATGCATTATAATATAAATTTCGGATAAATATAAATTATCCATATCTATCATAGAAAACAGATAGTAATAATGATCAAAAGAACGAATAAAATAATAAAAATTTAACTAAAAAATGAAGCAAATATAAGCCGGCAACAACCAATATCAATAATACTCCCATGTCTTAATGCAACTGAACCTCTCATCATTTCTTGCATATCAGCAGCACATAAAATGCAAGGATTAGGCGCTGGTCGTCCATTTATCGAATAATAAATTCCATCAACACGAGCCAAAGCTCCATGTTTTAATATTAATTCAAATTTTTGTGTTGCCTGCAATAAATTATTTATTTTTATTATTTATTATTTATTTGCTTATTTTTACCGAAAAATATCGTAAAAGTTACAAAATAAAATATAAAACATATTTTTCCACTTTTTATAGCATCTCAAATATAAAATTGGACCAGTAACTCTGTATTATTCCAGCATGATTGTTTTTAACAAATTTTCGATTCTTTAAATTCTAAAAATCTTCAATTTTTTGCAGATATTGCATTACAGAACCAATAGCAAACTGGGAAAATCCAATTTATATAGAAATATAAAAATTTTTTTAAAAATCCCATTTAGATAATGATACAACAGACCCTATCGAACATCAAATTAGCATGATAGCTAAGTATCCCAGTGCATGACGAGGGAAACCTTTGCAAATCGATATCACATTCTGAACTATTTCCCATCGTTACAGAAGTCTTTTGTATCGGAATCGCGTCGACTTTATCACCTTTTAAAACTGCTAACACCGGATATCTACTGCGAAAAGTACCTAAATAATAAATTTATTCATTTAAATATTATTACAACATTTAATGACAAGCAAACATTTTCTTACAATAATTCCATTAATGTAAAAATGCCTGAATTTTATAAGTCTAATAAGATTAAAAAAAATAAAAAAATTACATTCATCGAATTTTAATTTTTTTGGTCTTGACATTTCATAAAAATTTGACTTAATTAATTCATCAATGCGTTGCAATGCAAATGCGGCAATAACACAATCGTCCTTATTCTTGGTAGCATCGCTTAATAAATCGATACAACGGTCACGAATACGCTTTAATTTTACTTTGATAGGATCATTCTGAAGAATGGAAAATACTTAAAATATTTTAAATAATTTTAAAATTTACATCGAATGAGACAAAAATTATTGAACTTTAAATCATTTACTTATTAAATTTACCTACTCATTCTGAAAAAATTGAAATTGAAATGCGAATATATCGGAAAAATTTATACAAATTTATTAAATTATCATACCACAGCACTGTCAAAAAAACGAGAGATATAGAACGCATTGCCAGGGAGAGTCTGTGAAAGCCATTTATCAGACTCATAAGTGATTTCTTCAGAATTTACGTTTTGTATCTTTCCGAAGCTTCTTTGATCTGATTTTGTAGAATCAATTTCTGAATTTGCATTTTGCTCGAATTCCAATTTATCCACAACTTTTGAAGTACAACTTTTGGCAACACCACATTTAAGTTGTTCACAAATTTGTTTAACATTTTTGTGCATTCGCAAAATGCTTTCAACCCATTCTTCTTGGTCAGCCAAAGTTGGGTGATCAGGATTCCGATAGCTTCTCCATCGTTTTTCATACAATTCCTTAACAGCTCTTGGCACAACTAATCGTCCTTCGGTTATCTGAAATTGCCAAATAATGAAATAAAAATATGAATAAATGATTTTAATTCACACTAAGGCTGATTAATTTCATAATATTCTAAACAAATCAAAAAATGAAATAAATACATCTGAAGGTGAACTTGTTCCACGTTCTCGATGTTCGTCTGAAATTTTTTTCAAAAAAGTCATTTTTACAATATATTCATCAACTGGCTGGCGGGCATATTTTTTCCACAAATATTTTCTTTCTGATAGCGACAAAGAAGATAAAAGTTTTCTATCCTGAAAGGAAATGCGAACATTATAAAATGAATGATACAACAGTATAAATAAAGATTTCAAAAAACAAAAAATTTACAATAAAGTTCTCTAGATGAGCAGAACACATCCACTTATCTTTTGGAGGCACAGTGAGCGGTGGAGTTAAACAATCAAGGTGATAAAGAAGCGGACAAAAATCACACTGTATTAGTGGACAACTATCCTTACTGCTGAAAATTTAATTAAAATAAAATAAAATTAATATAAAATAACAAAATTAATAAAATAAAATTAAAATAAGAATTAGGAAAAAAAGAGCATTAAAAAAAGCCATTAAAAAATACTCAAAAATACATTTCTAACTATAGATACAGTTAAAAAAAATAAACTGATTATTTAGAATAAGAGTCAATCTGGAATCAACAAATCTCTTGGAAGAGCTCATGCTTAGTTCGGAAAAAATATTTTTACTTTAACACCAATTGAAATTTACCGTTTACCGTTCCCTCCAGTCATGAAGAAAAGACAATGAATGACAGATAAAAATCACATCAATATATTAGCAATTTATTAGTCAATGTCACCAAGAGAAATTGCCAATTTTCAAACTGTTTCTACTTTTTTCGCAATATTTGAAGTAAAAATCAGAAAGTCAAATCAAATCATAAAACCATCTAAATCGTTTTGAATACCTAAAGGATATATGGAACTTCTTCTTCTAACAGCTCTCACCATTACTGGTTAGGCTGGCTCCAACGGCTATAAGGGTAAGGATGTCTGATGCCATCGTCGATTTGTCGCTATCAGAAAGAAAATATTTGTGGAAAAAGTATGCACGCCAGCCAGTTGATGAATATATTGTAAAAATGACTTTTTTGAAAAAAATTTCAGACGAACATCGAGAACGTGAAACAAGTTCACCTTCAGATGTATTTATTTCTAATGGAAGCCATTGCTTTTTCCATCGTCTAAGTCCATATATTGCTGGTCCACCTATACGTTCAAAATCTTTTCTCACCCTATCAGTCCAGGTCTTGACTAACCTTCCTCGCTTTTGACGCCAATCATCAAAGGGTTTAGCAAATAACGAAATATGCGTCACCTCCTGTGGTGAACGACGAAGAATATGCCCTAATCAACGAAGGCGATGCTCTGTGATAACATTATTAATACAGGTGGTATTTGAGCGAAGGTGGATACAATTATGTGCGAGTCCGCTCGACGGACTCGTAAAATGTATCTTGTATGTAGATATGAGTGGTCAAGGATTGATAGCTTATTATCTTCTTCCACTCTCATTGGCCATATAGCAAGATCGAACGAACTGCAGCGAATGGATATATGGAACAAGAAAAACTATCTTAAACTATCGATTCAAAATAATATAATCTCAAAATTTTATAATCCTTTAACATACGTGCAACATATATGGCACACTGATTTTATGGAAGGCACCCAATGATTTGGTTGCGCTTCGTCGTAAGGTAGTTGGAAATTGTCACTATCAATATTAGGTGGTAAACTGAATCTTTGAGCATTCAAAACCAAAGCAGCATCTGCTAATACAGCCAATGGATGCTTCGATCCGCAGCTTTCAATTAACCTTGATAATGCTGCATCATTTCGTGCGGATTCATTTAATGATGCATCCTAAATTTTTAAAAATTACAATAAAATAAATACATATTATTATCAAAAATTACAATAAATAAATAAATAATTATCAAAAAATTTCACCTGAAAAGCAAAAATTTTTTTAATTTTAAATCACGCGAATCATATTTAAATCATAATATACCCTTTTATAAGAAGCAGTTTTGTCCATCACTTCATAATGACACCGATTGCACAGCCATTTCCCACTGGGGATATCCTTTTTATCAATAGGGGGCTGATGGCACATTAAATGAAATGATGCCGGACAACGGTCACAGCACAGCAGTTCACCACCTTCCTGCAGATGATATTCCTTCTAATCAATTATATATAAGTGTAAAATCTGTTAAATTATAATTTATTTAAAATTATTTCATTGTTAATTAGAAAATTTTTAAAAATTTTACTTTACAAGAGCTGCAGTGCTGTGAATTCAATGATTTCCATCGACTTGGCGGCTTCCACGGTGGTAATTTTTTTACTCTTCCAGATGGAGGAGCAATTAAAGCTTCAATTTTCTAAATTTCTCACTATTAATAAAAAATAAAATAAAATGAAAATGAAATGAAAGATATATTTTCTTTCCCGAAATAATTAAACAAGATCGGTCCGTAAAGTCTATAAAAAATCTTACTTCAAGAATCGACTTTTCACCACCAGACACCATGTTCCCATTGAGAATATCAATTTAAGTTGCCAAATTTTTGTTGCCTTTAAATCAAATGCATAATAGAAAATAATAAAACGCAAACATTTTTTATCCTAACGATTGAAATTCAATAAATAATCTTCATTGAAAGCAGTCATTTTCAATGTAAATCATTAAACAATCTACAACAAGTATAAAATAAATTCATGAGAAAGTAAAACAATTATAACCGAAGAGCAATTCAATTTAACAATTTATTTAATTTCATTAATAAAAATTAAAAAATTAAACAGTTAATAGCAAATTAATCGCAAATAAGAGTAGCGACCGCGGAGAGCTTCGCGTCGCAGAGTAACGATGGCCGAGTAGCTTAGCGTCGCAGAGTGGCGATGGCCGAGCAGCTTAGCATCGCAGAGTGGCGATGGCCGAGCAGCTCAGCGCTGAACATTCGATTTCACGTCTCCACAGGAGTAAACTAGAGAAATGCGAAAAGCGCCCGCCACACATTTGCAACTCTCCCATTTGCAACTCTCTCGAAGAAATGCATTAACAGCGAAAGGAGTGACTCTAAACAGAAATTCCTATCTTTTAAATAACAATTAAATAAATTAATAAAATTAAATAAATAAATAATTTAAGAAAAAAATTAAGTTAACGGCGACAATAATCTGGAAACTCCAATTCGTCCACGGAAAAATAAAAAATATCACCGAAACTGATATCATTTCAAGTTCGCCACAGAAAGCTGATAATCGCTTCAAAACCCATTTTTCAAACGATGAGTGCTTTACAGCAGAAAATCAATGAAATCTTTGCACACTGTTACGTATCGCTGCGCATCGAGAGTGTAGTTTCTTCTTTCACTTTGAATCTTCCTGTTTGAGACGTGTCGCATATTAGCTTAGTTCAAGTATGGTCCTCGTGTGCATTTCCAGGTTACGGGTTGCTGGCGAATAGGTCTTAAACTGTTGGGTCATTGGGTCACTGTTAGTTGATTGATTGAGATATCATCGAATATCATCTCTGCACTTATCTAAATTTTATTTTTAGAGTAGTGCAATGTTAAGGAATTTGTTCATTCGATGCCAAATAAACAATGATATAATTCAGCGAAGATTGTCATCGATGATTATTTCGAATCCAAAATATTCGTTTTTAAAAGAATTGGGACTGGACGAAGAGAATTGCGGCGTATTTAGTGGCGAATGGAAGTCATCCGGAAGTGTCGTCGATTCTGTGTCACCAGCAACTAATGAGATTATTGCTCGAGTGCAGTATGGTTCGTTATGCCTTTCAAAATAATTATTAGCAAAAATTTATAAGAATTTAACTGTAAGAAAAAACTCACTGGTGATATTGTTTGCTTTACAATTTAGCGGTTTTCATTTATCGTTTCGATGAATCGGAGATTTCGCAAAAGAATTTCTTATTAGGAAATTAGGTGCGAGAATTTCGCACGTTTGAGCTGTGCTGCACCATCATTTGCATTATTGAACTTCGTTGAATTCATTTGCAACGTTTTTCTAACTCTCTACATGGCGGAGGAAAAAGACAAGAAGAGAGCCTTTGTAATGGAAAGGATCCCGTTTGGTGCGTTTTGTGGCGATGTGGAATGCACCGCGGTTTGCACTTATTCTGCATATCCCGACGTGGAAGTTGACACGATGAAAGGTAATAAATGGCATAAATAGTTGGAAATTTCGGATCGCATAACATTTCACATTAAGTGTTTCGTTCTTTTGCAGGACAAATCTGAACGACCTGATCACGTTTTTCTGATTAAAAACTTTCTTTTTTTAACTTTAAGAAGAAATTTATCGGATTTATATAAAATTTATTTTCATAAAATTTATTTATATTTATTTATAAATTTATTTGTAAAAATTTTAAAAAAATTAGATTCAAAAATTTTTATATTTTAAAAGTATTTTTTTTACATTTTCAAATTTTTAAGATCAAATTTTTCGAAAAGAAATACTGTTCTCCGTAAATTCAGGCAGTCTGGATGATTATAGCCGCGCAGCAAATATGGCGAGGAATGCTTATGAATATTGGGTTAATATACCTCCACCTCGACGTGGCGAAGTTGTTCGACAAATTGGTGACGCATTAAGATCACAAATAAGCAATCTTGGAAAACTTGTCTGTTTATTTATTTAATTTAATTTTCATTGAATTAATTTCATATTTAATTTATAGGATCCATTTCTTAATTGTTTTATAATTTCGATAATTTTAGATATCATTAGAAATGGGAAAAATAATAGTAGAAGGAATAGGAGAAGTGCAAGAATATGTTGATATTTGCGATTATGCAGTCGGTCTTTCTCGTTCCTTTGCAGGACAAATTTTACCATCTGAACGACCTGATCATGTTCTTCTTGAACAGTGGAATCCACTTGGTAATTATTTTACAATATTTCTTATTTAAATCGTTATTTTTTGTGAAATTCACAAAAAATTCCACAAAAAGTTTGTTGTAATGGATTCAGTTTTTATTTTAGGAGTTGTTGGAGTAATATCTGCATTTAATTTTCCCTGTGCTGTTTACGGTTGGAATAATGCTATCGCCCTAGTTTGTGGTAATTCAGTGATTTGGAAACCAGCGGCAAGTACATCGCTTACAGCTATTGCTATTACGAAACTTATTGAAAAAGTAACCCTGTTCTTTTTTAATTCGTTCCATTCTAACCATTAGTTGATTTTTTTGCTTCTCTTGGTGCTTAATGCGAATGATATTGGCTCAGTGGCAAGGCTGCCCCAAGAATTGAGGCTTGCGTTCGGATCTTCCGACGCACCACTCTTTATCACCGACACTGTCGCCTAAAAGCATAAGCAAATGGAGAATAGTGGCTCAATAGCTTGTTGCTTAACTCGTAGTGCCGATGCTAAAAGTTTACTTTCGGAAGGAGTAAACCTCTCCAAAAACGCGGTGCTGGCGACTCACCTGTATTTCTATCGCCAAGGGACTCCTTCGCATATTTGTTTAGAGTGAACCAGCAGACTAAGTCTAACCAGTAATGATGAGTGATGAGTTCAAAAAAAAAAAATAATTTCGTTTCGTTTCCGTTTCATTCTGATTTTTTCTGATTTCTGAAACTGATTTTTTTTGCTTTCTATAGGTACTTAAAGCAAATGGTATTCCTGGAGGTTTATGTTCATTGGTAACTGGTGAAAATTTTATTGGAGAAACGCTGTGCAAAGATTCCAGAATAAATTTGGTATCTTTCACTGGATCTACAACTGTTGGAAAATTGGTGGCACAAAATGTTCAAGCACGTTTTGGAAAGGTTTATTTCACTGAAATTGTTTTATATTTTAAAATTTATTTTAATGATTTATATTTCGAAAATGTTTATATCCTCAGACCCTTCTTGAACTTGGTGGAAATAATGCCATTATTGTTAACGAAGATGCAGATTTAAATATGGTCATTCCTGCAATTGTATTTGCAGCAGTTGGTACGACAGGCCAACGGTGTACAACCACTCGCCGACTTATTGTGCACGAAAAGGTATGGATAATTTTGCTACGGATAAAAAATTATTTTTTACTTTAATAAAATAAAAATTAATAAAATTTAAAAACGGTGAAAAGCATGGATTTTTTAAAATTTTCAAATTTTCAAATATAAATTGATTTGTCTATTCATTTTGCCTAAAAATTATATAAAAATTAAAATTTTTATGTTAAAACACCATTATTAATATTATTTTTAGCTATTTGATCAGGTATTAAGTAAGCTTATATCAGCGTACGGACAGCTGGAAAAACGAATCGGTGATCCATTGGACGAGAATATATTAATTGGACCCATACATAGTAAGATAAGTGTTCTGCAATATAAATCAGCTATTACAGAAGCAATCTCTCAGGTTTGAATTTTTATATTTACATTAAATCGTTTGAACTGTAAATATTACGATATCCTTAAATTCTAAAGTTACAAGAGCAATAGTCTAAAGTTGCGCGCATCAGAATTTAGATCTCAGCAGCTCCTATTTAAGAATAAATTACTATCTGAAGTGAGCTTCGATCCTACCATTTTTTAGTTATTAGATTGAAAACTATTTATTTAATAATCTAATGAATCCTCAGCTTTAATATGAAATATTTCCAGTTACTTTTGCTATTTTTATTAATTTTATTATTCCTTTTGCTTTTTTTTAAATCTGAATGTTTCAAATTAATGTTTTTTTTGCGCCGAACTCATGACAAGACTTTGTTTGATAATTTTTCAAACAAATAAATTAAATAAATAAAAAGATGTGATTAATTTTTGTGCAATTTGCATTTAGGGAGGCAAAGTTGAATTTGGAGGAAAAGTATTAGATGATCGGCCGGGAAATTTTGTTATGCCGACAATCATTACTGGTCTTAATTCTTCTTCTGAAATCGTTATGCGCGAAACTTTTGCACCTATTCTTTATGTCTTAAAAGTATTTTGCACTTTTTGGTTCAAATTTTTTAAAATTATTGAGTAACAGAATATCTTTTGATTTATTTATCTCACTTTTCAGTTTAAAACTCTTGATGAAGCAATAGCCATAAACAATCAAGTATCTCAAGGATTATCAAGTTCTCTTTTCACTCAAGATATTCGAAATATTTTCAAATGGATTGGGTAATTTTGATTTTTTAGTCTAATCAAAATACAGGAATAAACCTGTCTTGATATCAAAAAACCGGGCGGCTGCTTAAGACTCATCTGTATTTATATCTCCAAGTAACTCTGTGATGAAAGGAAGGTTTTTTCGACGCGATCCTCGTCTTCTGGCGCGCATGATAGTTCTAGCCTGGAGATGCATGGTATATAATCTGGCGTAGCAATAATAATAAAATAATTCCAAGAATTGACCATAGCATATGCTCATAAAGTGGGATAATTACTCAGAACCCTTCAAGAGAGACAAGCACCTCTCTGTTAACATGTTGTAAGTGCTGGCTATAGTTGCTCAGAACTCAGGACGTTGCAAGCTAAGTAATCACTTCCTTTCATCCTTTCCACATCCTTTCTGAGTATCATGTGAATGTAGCCTATTTGCCGAAAGTCCGTCTTCCTTATGTCGGCTCTCGATTAATTATTAAACCTGGTTCCGAACAAAGATATTGGCTATATCACAGTAGTGTCTCGGATAACTCGGGGCGAAATGGCATAGCAATTGTCATGTCTGAAAAGGCTCGATCCGCTTTTAGGAAACAGTAAATGACCATATAGTCTATGCGCTTTTCAAGGGAAAGTTCTGCAATATTTCCGTGATCAGTGTATATGCTCCAAATTTATGCGCAGATAACCTCGATAAGGATAAGTTATATGCGGAGCTCCAACTATTAACAACATCTCTACCGAGAGGTGACATGGTCATAGTCGGAGAGATCGGAATGCACACTTAAGACGCCGCTCACGATAAACTCGGTAACTGGGAAATATGGCATCGAGGTCTAGTACACCAATGGAGGATGCCTTCGTCATTTTGCCGAACAGCATAGGTTGTTATACTTCGTGCATCGGAGAAAACGTCTAATCACATGGAATTCTCCGTACAACCAACAACAATCAGATTTACTATATATTGGTCCGTCGCAGCAGTTCGTCTATATATTTAATGGTCGTTCTTATCGGGGCTTTGAAACTGGTAATCGTCATGGATCAAATCATCTTATGGCTCGAGCCAAGATTTGCATAAAATTGAAGTTGTAAGAGACAAAAAACGTAACCTAAGGCTTAGATGAGCCTCCAGCTTAGGTTTAGGCTTAGAAATGAACGTCAATGATATCTCTGGAACAGCGGATGAATACTGATCCCAATTAAAGATATGTTTATAAAAGTCAGCCACTTCCATACTAGGGTATACTACTAGACAATGCGCTAATTTGATCTCTGAAACAAAGTCTTTGTCCAGCTGTCTGAAAAAGTTGCCAAAGCCTGAATATGGGGAGACTATCGGGTGCTTCCAGGAACGACACCACCACGATGGGATAAATGGCTACTGGAACGATATGGTCTTAAGAATAGAGACGGTGGATTGGTTAGGTGATAAAAGGAAATTGTTTCGCCTTTTTCGAAGAGCAACTATAACTCAAGAAAGGATTAGTGAGATGATACGGGACTCTTGTTAAGGCTATTATTGATCGCCTCATAAGATGGAAAGAATTTTTTGAGGCCAAATTTAACCACGATGCGTGTCTCGGATATAGTTGATTCGCTAATCGAGCCATACATTTTCACCTATGAGCCTATGAGCCGGCAAAAGAAGAAATAATCTCTGTTTTACGTAAGGCCAATAAAACTCCTGGAGAAGATGGTCTTTGGGCTGGATTCTTCAAATGTTGTCCATCATCATAACTCACCTTCAATAAATGTGCTTCCTGGTATGGTAAAAGGAAATACTACCAAAAAACTGGAGCAATTCTGCTTCCAATTTTTAAGAAAGGGACAGGGCGTACTGCGACAATTACCGAGGAATCAGCCTACTAGATATCTCCGGAAAATTTTTGCTCTACTTCTGCTAAATAGACTTATGGCAACAGGAGATAGCAAAATGTCTCCTAACAAAGTTGGATTTAGACTTGAGCATGGTTGTACTAACCAGATATTTAGGATAAGAAGGGTGTTAGAACATCGCTTCAAATACCAGCAAACCACCGTCACTTGATTTATCGATTTTGCAGCCTTCGATTCAGCTGACTCTCTGGAACGGTGTCCCAAAGAAGATCATTCGGCTTACAAAGGCATTTTATCAGCATACTTTGATGATTTCCTTTACGTATTCAACTACGCAATAGATTGGATAATGGGCATTGCTTGTTGGCACTCAAGAGCTGTCCAAAGCACCGTATCATAGAATACGCTGATGTTGCTTCTTTTTGCTGACAATTATAATGAAATGCAAACAATGTTAAATAATGTGTCGACAGCGAGAATTGGACTCAAAATCAGTGTAAATAAAACGAAAGTATTTTCGTCTTATATTTTATATTTTCGTTTCGTCTTATAGAGTGGATTCAAAAAGCTGATAAAATACTTATTTTTATTAAATTATTGCCGGTTGAGGAAGTGACTGACTTTAAATATCTTGAATCCACTCTAATTTCAAAGGATAGGCAAAGGATAAAATTGTAACCCGAATAACGATAACTAGAAATTTATTTTCTGGTACAAGAAACCACTATGGAACCATCGTAAAGTTATCATAAAGACGAAAATCCGAGTCCATATAGTTGCAGTTCGTTCGATATAGCTTGCTATATGCCTGCGAAACATGACCAATGAAAGTGGAAGATATGAAGAAGCTATCAGCCCTTGACCACATATTTAAGATGCATTTTATGGGTTCGCCGAGTAGACAAAATCACCCATGATTGTATCCATCCATCTGTATTACTAAGGTTATCACAGAGTTGCTTTCGCTGGCAATATTCTTCATCGCCCACCACAAGAGTTTATACATATATCGTTACTTGATGAACTGTAATGTTGGCGTTAAAATCGAGGAGGGCCAGTCAAGACGTGAACCGATATTTTGAACGTATGGGGTGGACCGGTAATATATGGACTTCGGCGATGGAAAAGGAATGGTTTCTATTACTACTAGCGATGGCGTGAAACCGAGCAGCTTGGCGACCTCTTGATCTTGCCAGTGGAGCCAGCGTAACCAGTAATGGTGAGAGCTTTTAGAAGAAGAATAAAATCGGATCATTCGGATCGGTCTAATAAATTTAAAATTTTGCAACGATTAGTGAATTTTTAAATAATTTCAGATTTGTAGATTTTTCTTTCATTGTAATTGTATTTTAATTGTATTTTAAGACCAAACGGAAGCGATTGTGGAATAGTGAACGTAAATATACCAACATCAGGTGCTGAAATTGGTGGAGCTTTTGGTGGTGAAAAAGCTACAGGCGGCGGACGTGAATCTGGCTCTGATTCATGGAAGCAGTACATGAGACGCTCCACGATTACGATTAATTATGGCAAAGATTTACCTCTAGCCCAGGGAATACATTTTGGATAGATTATTTTTTTTCATAAAACTTATTTTATCTTGATACATTGATTTCATAATCTTTCATTCACAATTTTTTTAAAATCTTTCGAAGTATTTTTGTTGAATTCGTTTGGAATTATTTTTGCTTACAAAAATATCGTCTTGTACCTCAAACGATGCGAAAAATTTTCTCTTTATTTCTCTGTTAATATTTTGCGATTACTTTGCGCGATTACGTTTATATTGTTGATTTTAATGCCTTATAATTTTTATGCTTTGGCCTTTTTTCCCGAAACCCCATTTAATTAGTTTATTTGTTGGCATAGTTTGGTTATATTAATTAATGTTGTTGTGGTACTTAAATATTGACGTTTATTAAAGGTTTCACATTTTAATTATTCACCTATTGTTTTATACTTTTTTGAGTGATATTCTTTTCCTTTTATTTATTTCTTTTCTCTTATTGAACCCGATTACAGCTTTACTTTTTTATTTCATTTGTTTATAACACAAAAACGAAAAATAAGTTATACTAACAGCAACCATAACTGATAGTCAAATCGTTTTTTATCTATTGGTACTTTTTGAATAAGTAATTAAACATTGGTTTTTAATTTTATCTGAATTCAATGCCTTTTGCAAAGTATTGCTAAAAATCTTCGTAACAAAACTGTGTTAATTTCTTATCCATGTTTCAAAGTGCAATAATTTGTGCTTTATTCGAGATTAATTATAGGAGAAAAAGGAGATGAAAATTGGTCAGTATGGAAGTTGGGAAAGTGAAATCAACGCCGAGATGCTGGTCAGTGCAAACTGCAAGTCGATTTCAGCGATTCATCAGTACAAAGGTTAACTTGGATTTTCCAATTAATTGGCTAAGTAATTTAAATTTGCTTTTGCAAAATTTTCTTTTAGGGTCTGTTTTTTGGTTGGAACAACAGTTTAGCGATGGCCGTTGTATAATTTGTCAAAAAAAGGAAAATGACGAAACAGTCGTATGGACATCACCAAATATGAATGTTCGAAATCGAGGTTTTTTTTCTCATCTGGGAATTTGCTTATTTTAAGGTGTTTTTATATTGAATTGAGTCGCTTTGTTGATTTTATAAACTATTATTATTATAACTATTATTATGAATTTTTAAAATTTTATGTTTTTTGATTGAAATTAGAATTAAGATTTGGCCTTGCTTCTCTTTTGAATAATGAAATATTTGCTTTGGAAACATGGTGGTTTTGCATATTTTAAGTGAACGATATTAGATTTTCTCTTTCAACAGAAGTGAATCTGCTATAAAAATTGGAATTTTGGCGAATGTAAAAGATCCACATGTATTTTTGTTCATCCTCTGCTGCCTGACGAAAGCTTCTTAATTAGTGAAATCAGCTCAATTAAGAATGGTGGAAAGGGGGAAAGCCTTATTCTTTGTGGTATTTTAATTTAATCTTATCAGTATAGTTTTATCATTTCTATTTGGTTTAAATGAGTTATATTTTATTAAATTCTTCTATTTTTTTAACGATTAAAATGCATAAAAATCGATGGTAAAAGTTGTAATTTAAATAGTTATTTAAATCTTATCTTATTCTTATTTAAATCACCTCTTATAAATTTTTTAATCAAATAAGTCCTTAATTACCATAAGAATTTTGATTTTAAGTATATGAGTATGGCGGTGGGTCATTTATTTTTGCTGAGGATACGTTGTATTTTGTTACCGAGGAAGGTATTTTTCGTCAGTCAGCAGCGAAAGAGAAACCATATTTGCTTGTGGATTGTGCAGGAATTTTTCGTTTTGCCGATCTGGAATATTATCAGGTTTACCCAATTTATTTTTATGATTCTTCGAGATTGATTTAAGGCTATCTAAATTGTTCTAATATGGGTGCTAATTTTTTTGTCTTTTTTTAGGAATTTTATAGAAAATTACCTCTTAATTACAATTATAAAATTATCTCCAAACAAATCTCCGTATTGTTTTATTTAGGGTCTTCTATTCGCTGTATTTGAAGAACATTGCGAAATTGTCATGAATGGAATAATGTGTTGTAAATTGGGATTTGAAACGAATAATGGTGATATTAAATCAGAATGGCATCGAGTCAGTTTTCATAGTTTATTTATATAAGTATAGTTTACTTATATAAAAAGGAAAGAAAAGAATATTGCATGGAACATGGTAGTAGAGTAATTGGAGCGACCAGTATTCTTTGAAGAAAAATGTCACCGATAAAAATCTTAACTTGCGTTTCTTGCCTCGAGTTTGCTTTTGCTAAAGGCCAGAGGGATACGATCGCTTGGAAGGAGTGGATGGAACCATTAAATGAATCCAGTAGCACTAGGGGCATATCGTCACTTATATGTAAAATGTCTTATATGTATAATAGATCATTTAACGTTTGGATCAAATATAAGGTAAATGAATGGTTATTCAGTGAAAACGATCACCATTTTGCTCATTAATTATTTTGTGGGAAATGCCATTATTAAATAATTAGTCAAAATTGTTATAAATGAAGACATTAAATTTCTTTTCTTGTTTCCTTTCATCTGTTGAATTTCGATTATTTAAGCTTCCGATGGGCAATGAATCGGATTTCTACGGTTGTCCACGAGTTAGTCCAAACGGTCATTATTTATGTTGGTTGCACTGGGTTCATCCAAACATGGTTTAAATTTTCCATTTTATTTTCAGTTTCAGAATCAAAATTTTTTTTAACGCCTACTAAAAATTGTTGAAAATTCATTTCCTACATTATTTGTTGAAATTTAGATTTTAAATTTTCAGCCATGGAACTCTACTAGTCTCGAAATGGTTGAATTGCCAGTCGATTTTGATTCAGATTCATTAAAAATTCATAAAATACTTACTGAAAGTGAGGTGAATTTCCATGATGCTCAGTGGGGTCCCGATTCGCAGTTGTATGTGATATCTGACTCCACTGATTGGTGGAACGTATACAAAGTTATTTTTCAATTAAATTTAACTTTTTAAAAAATTTTCACATGTTGTTTTGTAAAAATTTATCGGAGTTCTTGGAAACTCGGACTCATTCGAACAGTACATGAGTATACTCGTATTTTTTAGGTCGATATTGATAATTGTCGTCTTGGTGAAAATGTTTACAAAGTGGAATCAGAGATAGGCCAACCTGCTTGGCACTTTGGAAATACTCAATATGCGATTAATAGTAGTGGTCCATTTTTATTTTGAGAATTTTCCATCTAAATTTTTATTTTGTTAATAGATTTAATTTTAAAATTTTTCTGAAAAAAGTGAAATGAGAATCCGAGAATCCAGAAACTTATTGGAGAGAGAATTTTTAAGAGAACAGAAGGTTCCAAAAGAAATTCAGAATTTTAAAGGAATTTAGTATGTTGAGCGGAAATCAAACTTTGAAGCTATTTATCATAAATTAGCAGCGAAAGTAAACAAATCCCTTCCCTCCAAAAGTGGATTCATCATCCATCAAGAAATTAATTTCAGGTATTTTAATGAATATGTCTGGAAAATTAGTTTACAAATGGCACTCCGGAGAAATATGTCTCATTAATATTGAGAAGTATAGTGATTTTTCTCATTTAAAATTGGATGAAAACAATATTGCATATTTTATCGCCTCTGGACCAAAACGTGCGACCTCTGTGATTGCCTATGATATTGAAAACAAAAAGGTGAACATGATTAAATTATTGTCTATAATATTAGGATTCAGTCCAAAGCATAATATCACAGACCTTAAATATCTTCACAATACGAGAAACTCCAACAAATATTAGACTGGATATCAACCGTAGCAATGAAATTTGGCCAATGAGAGCGGAAATTATTAGGAAGATCTGGCTTTGACCATTCTGGCCTAAGATATATCCTTCCTACGTACGTGGCCAATTTTTTTTTTTTTAACACCATTACTGATTAAACTTACTCCACTGGCTTGTCGCACTGTACAAATATGGCAAGGAGTCCCTTGGCGATAGAAGTATAAATCGGTAGGTAAATCGCCAGCATTACCCGGATTGTTGGACAGGTTTACTTCTGCGGGAAATAAAACTTCAACATCGAATTGAGCAACAAACCACCCAGCCATTCTATCACCTCTAAGTGGATAGTTTACATCCATATTCGCTCGAACATCTGCATTAAGAACTATGATTTGGCTATATTCTTCGTCGTTCACACAGGAACTGATCCAGAGGACCAATCAAGACCTGGCTTAATTAAAAGATTTTAAACAGACAAGCGACTCAATAAACAAGCATTGGAATAAAGAGTAGCATAAGTTATTTTTCAAAAATAGCATTGGACAGAGGGATTTGGAACTGCATTACCCTAATCGCCGGTGGAGCGAGCCAAACTAACTGAGAAATATATAAGAGTGAAAGGAAAAAATGCTCAAATCAAATGAAATGAATGAAAAAATCTAAAAAAATGCACACCTGAAAAAAATTCTTTCTAGACTTTTCGTCTGAGTTCGAAGTTAAAATTTATAAGTCCAAGCTAGAGTAACTGGAAATTTTCATAAATATAAATAATTTCGAATCATTTTATATAATTTTAAAGCTGAATGTTTTGCGTGAATCGCGTGATTCAAGTCAAATTGATGCATTGGATATCGCTATACCGCAAATGCTTTATTTTCAGTCTGGTCATTCAATTGTGAATGGATGGTTTTATCCCCCTTTTGTAAGAAATTTTCCTTTTTTTTCATTGTAAGTTCCAGATCATCGGCTGGTGGCTGTATTTTCATTTCTTATAAGTTATAGTAAATTTTTTTACTGGAGTACATTCTTCGATCGCAATTTTGAGAAAGTTAAATCTTTTTGAAGGAAACTTTTTTTAACGCGCACTTACCAATATTGTAAATTTCAGTCAAGTTGTTGGAATGCTTCAAAAGATTCATTACCACCAGTAATCATAATGGCACATGGTGGTCCAACAGCGAAAGCTAACGATACCTTGGAGATGAAGATTCAGTTCTTTACTTCTCGGGGTTTCGCTGTATTCGATATCAATTATCGGGGATCATCGGGTACATTTTTTCGAATATCGATCATCGAGTTGCTTCGCAAAGTATTGTATACTACTTATCATTACTTTCGAGATCGATGTATGTTATATTGTTTTTCATAGGTTTTGGAAAGGAATATCGCAACCTTTTGCATAAACAGTGGGCAGTTTTTGATCGAGATGATATAATAAATGCTGCCAAGTATTTACGCGATCAACGACTTGTGGACAGCAACAAAATTTGTATAATGGGAAGTTCAGCTGGCGGATTACTTGTTCTGTCAGCACTTATACACAGTAATATCTTTTCTGCTGCCGCATCGCTTTACTGCGTTTCTGATCTAATAGATTTACAAGTAATTTTTGTTTCAGAAATTTTAATTTCTCGACATTAGAAGTTTTATTGCCATGTACTTATCATGCACAAATAAATATTTGTCATTTTCCTTATAATCTAATTAATCTAATTTGACTTTACTTATTTTTTATTTTGAAGCGATCAACTATAAAATTCGAAAAAGGATACAATGAATGGCTGATTGGAAAGTACCCCGATGAGAAGGAGGTTTTTATTGAAAGATCACCACTGAATAAAGCTCATTTAATAAAATGTCCAATTATCTTTTTTCATGGTGGTAAAGATGCAGTTGTTCCATTGGAACATAGTAAAACTATTTATGAAATAGTTAAGCAAAATGGTGTACCGACCAGTTTCGTCACTTTTCCGGGTTATTTTTTCCATCTTTAGTTTTATTTGACTTTGTTAGTAATAAAAATAAAATAATAGAATAATAGAAAGATAAAAAAACTGCTCTACTGGTCAATACAAGTTAAAATGACCTAAGAATGTGATAAATGATATCGTCGATAGTTTCATTTTTAAAATTATATACGATGATACATAAACTAATTTATTACAGAAGTTAGTTTAGTTAGTTTTGCAAATCAGCCTCCTTATCTTCCATTCCATTACTTCTATTATTATTGAAATTTGAGGAGAGGCTTAAAAATTTTGTACATTCACTTTAGCAGAATCAAATATTTGATTATAAGTGTATATCAAATTTTATTCACTCTCAATCTTAGTACTCTCGATTCCTAATGAATTCAAATCATACAATTTGAATTTTTTCATACAATAATTAATTGTGGTATTTATAAGTACTTGCAAGTTGAATTTTGATTGATTTGTTGAATCTTTACAATAAGTTTCTATATATATTCTAAAGTCAGCAAATAAAATCTAAGTGAAAATGAAAAAAAAATTAGTGAGAAATGCCACAGATTTATTTTTAAAATTTGATAATTCTGCGAAATTAATATTATTATCATAGACCGAAATTAATATTATTATCAATTGTTATCAATTAAAGCAAGCGTCTAAATGTTATTATGCATGTCATTCTATTATCAGTATTATCAGAAAAAAGTCAGAAAAATCATCCTTCAGCCAGTTGTGTGGGATATTTCTTTTACGCTCCAAAAAATTTGTCTGTAATGGTTCTGGAAAAAATAATGGTGAGATCCTCAGTTTTCTTTTCATTTAATGATTTCAGAAGAAGGACATGGATTTCGCAGCGCATACGCGATCAAAGAAACTATCACTGGAGTATATTACTTTTTTTGCCGTATGCTTGGTATCACGACGCCATTTTGTGATCATCAGGTTTTTATTAGTTTATAATTTATAAAAACTCAAGTGAAAGTAATCATTTTAGCTTTTTTTTGTTATAAAATCTTGCAGAAGTCTGACGTTAATATAATAGCTCAGAATTAACTGCAAACGTGGTTGGTTGTAGATTATTATATAATATTATTACTTATTATTTATAAAATATAAAAACAGGTAATAACGATTTAACAACCAGTTCACGTATAACTAAATTTGCATTAATGAATTAATCATCATAATGAACACAAGAATGACCTTACAACAATAAAGATACTCACTAGTGCCCCATATTAATAATCAATTATTCCATATTTAAAATTTCTGCAAAAATTCAGAAATAAATGTATTTCAGACATGTATTAAAATAGATAACTTTGGTATGCCATGATGCAACTTGGTATGCATGATTCAGTGTATTGTAAAGATCGATGGATAAAGAATTCACTTCTTTCAGATTTTAAAGATTTAAATTTTTTGTACTCCATCATTTCTGTTATTTGTTGTTTATGCAATTTTTTTTTGTTTTTATTTTGTTTTATCTCGAAAAATAATGGAAGTAATTGGGAATAAGCCACAGATTCCGTATAGAAAAATAGCCATTAGCCATTTCATGAATTTATATAAATTATATGAACCTTATGCAACTTAAAATTCACTAATTACGCTATCGAATATAGCGGAACCACTCGCCACAGGATGTTTTATAGTTGCGAAGCAGAATGGGAAATAATCTCATTGAGGGTTACTGAGAAACATAAGATCAAAATTCTCAGAGAAGATGGTCTTCGGGGTGAACTCTTCAAATGCGTTATCCATAGTTCTTCATATCACACCTTCAACAAATGTTCTTTGGTATGGAATACCAGATGACTGGTGTTCCAAATTCTTTAGAAAAGTGATAGGACATACTATGATAGTTATCGAGGAATCAGCCGATCGAACAATTCCCAGAAACATTTCCCTCCGACTAAATGAATTTAAGGCATAAGACAGCAGGATGCGGGATATGGTTGTGCTGAGCAGTTATTCACGTTGAAAAGAGTTTTTGAACTGAAGAGTTCTTCAAATATCAGCAACCCATCAAATATCATTTGTTTCATCGTAACGCTTTGGAGAATGGAATGTGATAGTGAAGATACAAAGAGAAAGACGAAATTGTAGGTAACGGTAGCTAGGAATGCGCTCCTTCGATTGGCGAAATTTTTATGGAGTCGTTATCACAACATGTAAAAACGAAAGTGCGTCTATAGCTGCAGTTCGCTGGACCTTACTATATGGTTGCGAGACATGGCGGATGACAGGGGATAATAAATTAAATTGTCTATCTTTGACCACTCATGTCTAAGATACATTTTTCGTAAAACCTCAAACGATTGCATCCACTTTCACTCAAATACCAGCAGTATTAGTAAGATATACCGTCGTAGAGCGTCACCTTCGCTGGTAAGAGTTAGAACACGTCCTTCGTCCCCACCACAGGAGTTGACACATATTTCGTTACTTACTAGATCCTGCAATGGATGGTATCAAAAACAAGGATGGCCAACCAAGACTCGGATTGATACTGTCAAGAAAGTATAGGTGGATTAGATAAACGGTGAAAAAAGAATGGCTTCTACTACTATCAGCGATGGCGTCGGACAGCTTGGAGAAGTCTCTTATCCTTGTCGTTAGCGGAATCAGCCTAACCAGTAATGGTGAAAGTTTTCAGAATCCAAAATTTCTTCATTTAGGTATCGTGTCAAAAAGATTAAAAAAAAAATTTAGTAACGGAATTCTTAGTAATAAAAATGACAGACTAGTCATTTTGTATGGATTTTAAAGATATTGGTATTTTTGGTCGTCCACATGGTTCATTTATATAACTTAGAGAGAAAGGTCAATTTGGAAAATTTGCAACAGAAAACGTGAAGTCGAAATGAGAAAAAATGTGAACTGGATGAAGAGGAATCAGTACAGTTAAAATTTTTCCATCTTTCCATCCAAATGTATGAATAAATGTATGTACGATTTGTACATTCCCGGTGCTCGATTCGTCCAAAGGATTTTAACTTTTTTATAGACTCTTGCTTTTGGCAGTCCACTAAAGTTTTCGGATTCATCCTTGAAATTTATAGGCAAGCATATTTTCAAATGCAAAGCATTTATATCACCAATTAAAAATATTGACATACTTTTTCACTGATTGGCTTTAATAGGCGATGTGAGATAAATTTCAAAAAGTTCCATGAAATTTGGACCAATAAATGATGCTAAATCACATATATGTATTCCCTCTTTAAATAATGTCAAATGCCCTATCTGCATTGTTCCCCTACAAAAACAACATTGGACAACCGATCACCGCTCCCTTCCCTATGCAAAAATACTAAACTGCCTTGTGCCAATGGCCAAAATAAATGATTCTGTCGAAATAACGGTCAAAATAAGTAATTGTGAAGTCAAAATTAAATTATCTCCCAATTCAGTTATCGGCAATCATGCAAAGAAAAAATTGGTAACGTGGCACTTTATTGTCGAACTTCGCTTTGTGTCGCACCTTCAAACCTTAGTTTTAGTAAATATTTGTTATTTTTACAAATTGTTTTAAAAAACTATTTTTTAATGGTTTAATAAATTTAAACAAATTTCCAATGTTTTTTCAAAATAAAAATTAAAATTTAGTAAATTAGCGATTTTAATTTCTGAAAAAAATTTTTGAATATTTCTAAAAAAACTTCTTACAATCATTTTTTGAATATTTTATAAAAATTTTGATTTGAAATTTCCTAAGAATTTTTTAAATCGAAATCAAAGAAGTTTAAAGCAATATTAAAAGAATTAACTTTAGGAAAAAGGAAATGGAAAAATTAGCAAATTTTGACGAAAGAAAAATTAAACGAACACGAAATGCTATCTTATCATGCGTCAGTGCTAAACAATTAACGAATATATTAAAGAATTACGAAAACGTTAGTTTTCAACTAGTGCAACGTTCAAATAGAATAATTCAGGTTCTTTTGCTTGTCAGTTAGATACTGGCTTAGCAAGCGGTCACACTTCAGTCTGAGTTCCTCTCCAGAAATAAACCTGTTCGGCCAGAGCCAGGCCATCACCTTCATCTCTGCTCCCTCAGCCTGATCCTTCGGCCAGATGGCCTTCTTCTTAAAGAGTCGGCCAAATGAGAAATGGCGATGACAGAGAAAGCGCGGAAAAAAACAACCCTTTTTTAAGAGTCCTCACCATCACTGGTTAAACTCGCTCCACTGGCCTGTCGCATTGGACAATAAGCCAGGTAATTCCTTGGCGATGGAAACACAGGTGAGCAGCCAGCACCACCCGTTTTTTACTCCTGCGGGGAACCGAACCCCCGCATCGGCGCTCCCAATTAAACAACAACCCGCTGAGCCATTCCATCCTCAATGAAAGCGATAAAAAATTGATTTTAGAAGAGCGAGCAAAATAAAGAAATAAACAATTTATTTGTGAATACAAACAAAGCGAAAATCGAAGAGAAAACTTCTCAGAAAAACGAAAAACGAAACTTTCACAAAATAAATATTTGTGCACAACGCGGTATTGATTTTCTCTAAGAGGCCGACAAATAAAGAATAGCGGCTTCAAACTCGTCCTATTCTGCGGATATATTTTTTAAAATCATCTTTAATTTTAAGCTCTTTTGTTTCATATTTTTCAATGAATTTTCCATAATTTTACAAAAAATGTTTAAAAATTGAAAAAACCTAAGAGGTAACTGCTTTCAGCGAAAAATTTACGCGCTATGAAGAAAGATTCGCTCAAAACTTTCGATGTTTTTGCTATTTCTTTTGGCGATTTCTCCGTTTGTTTCCTTCGTTTATTTTCCTCCAATATTTCTATTATAAGCAAATTTTGGATTGTAAAAAAATTTTGGATTGGCGTTAGATTTTGCAGCTGTCGCAAATAGCTGATCGCTCGCTTCGTAAATTTCAAAAGTTTCTCATTTTTGTTTTATGAATTTTTATTTTATTTATATTTCAAATTTCAGGTAAATAAAGAATTTAGTAGAACAACGCAGAGTTTCGTTCGATTTAACTTTACTCGTCGAAATTTAAACTACGACTTTATTGTGGATTGTGGTGATGTGCGTTATAATGTTGGATTTTCGATCAGTTTTAATTCCATCCGTGCGATTTATTTTTATAAAAGAAAGGAAATCTATTTGCGGGTTATCTTTGGCTTCTTTTTCAAATTCTTCGCGTAGTTTTTTTAAAGGCTGATTTGCATGTTTGCAGTCTGAGCACTCTCCTCGCACAGCCCATAATGCCCACTTTTTATTGATGAGATTGAGTTATTAATGATATTATAATATTATATGATTATTCATTGGATTAGTGTTTTTAAATGTCCGCAAAACTAGGTCGCCTTTCAAAATATCCATGAAAAAGCCCTCTTTGTGCGAATAGCCAATAGAAAAAAAGCGATAGATTTATAACCGCTCAATGTGAGTTTTCTTTATTCTTTTTCTTCTCTCAGCTCACTCTATTACTGGTTAGGCTGGCTCCAACGGCTAAAAGGGTAAGACTTTTCTAAGCTTCGTGATCTGATGCCATCGTCGACAGTAATAGAAGCCACTCCTTTTTCCATCGCCTAAGTCCACATATTGTTGGTCCACCTATACGTTCAAAATCTTTTCTGACTATATCAGCCCAAGTCTTAATTGACCCACCTCGTATTACTTTTAATATTATAGCTGGTTTAATTACCAAATAAATGCTCAAAGAACATTAATTAATTTGAATTAATGTATCATTTCGTTAATAAGAAAATAAGATAAAATTATTCGATTTCAAAGATGCATGGTTGGAGTTGTCTTACCCTTGTAGCCAGTGGACCCAGCCTAACCAGTAATGGTGAGAGAAAACTATTAGAAAAAGATACAAGACTTTCGATTTATTTATATTGATCGGATTCTCTCTACAATTCTTGATACGTTATTTAGCATTATTTGCATTTCGTCATAACAAATCAGCAAAAAAGGCTGTATCATTACCATATTCAAGATCTGTGATGCGATACTCCGGACTCATTTGTACATACACCTCTTGAGTGCAGATAAACGATGTCTGTTGTCCTGTCTATCGCATAGATGAGGAAAGAATGCAGTTTTGATGACACCAGTTTTTATTCCAAAGGATGTTGTGACATAGATATAGGATAGTGCGATGGAACAATTATAAATAAATTAGATGGCGAAACATTTACGATAAAATATCTGCCACCAAAACTTCATTCTTCAAAAATTCTTGGAAGGTGCTATGAAAATAATGCGATTAAAAATTTTAGCAATTCAAAAATCGAAAAAAAATTTTGTTGAAATTACTTGGAAGAATTATAGCAAGAATTATAATTTATGACAAATTATTTCATAATATACAAGTTTTAATGAATATATTGAATATGAATGAATAAATATATTTAAAATTTTCAGAGAACAATTGGAATAGAATACTTTTTTAGACCTATTTTTTTTCTGTGAACTTTTTGATGTCAGCAATTATCCATGAAATTCTTACGTTTTATTCAGTCCTTTTTGCTTCAGTGACCACAGTCCCATAAACTTGCCTTCTGTCAAATCATTCCTCTTATAATTTGTAATTATAATTTGCCATGGATAATTTTCTGTTTTATAGTCATCAAAAGTATTTTAAAGTTAGTACCATATAAAGGTTCAATTTTTTCGCTATTTTCTGTTTGTTTTCTCAATAAACCATAATAGAGCCACGCTGTATCCATTTTAATCCATTAAAGTGATGAATTTTAATGTGCAGTGTATGATAGAATATTTTTATATCATCACAAGAAAATGGAAATATATACATTGCTCAATTTTTATTTTAGTTATTGGAACCGGCAAAACGTGAATATTGTAACTGTGAAAAAATAAATGGCAATTCATTCGTCATTGAATCTTGCGATGATTTTGACATAACGAATGGCCATTGTTCAACATCTTTTTTGCATGCAGTTTTTTTAAAAAGGTTTATTTAATATTATAGTTTGAAATTGCTTTATGGCTTAAAAGTTGTTCCTTTAAATCCCTTCCTGTTTTTCCTTTAAACGCCTATTTTTTTACTTTTCAAATAAAAATTTTTGAGAGATCAGACGCTAACGTGGATTCGTGAACTTCTAAAAGCTGATCGAGAATTTTTTGAACCTATTATTGTTAGAATTACAAAAAAATTGAAAGGAATGTCAATAATTGATTATATAAATTCTCACACAATAAGTATTGGCGATAAGTATTGTGTTGATTTTAATGCATCACCAATAAGCGAAGAATCACTATCGAATAATGAAGTTTATGATCTTAATAAACAGGTTTGCCTTCTTTTGCTGGTAAGAAGCTGAAATCGTTTTTTGGTTCATTTTAGTTGTTTTTTCTAAGCTCTACTCAAATATTTGAATTTTTTATCTAACTTAAAAATTTATGTTTTTCATAACATAAATCACAAAGTATAAGCCTTCGTCATTCTTAATAAGTTTTCAGAATTTTAGGAGGTTCTGGACGAGAATAATTTGGGGTGGCAAAATTTAGGTGATAATGATTTAGTGTTAGCTGATAACATAAATATAGCGAGTAATTCGTTGATTCATGTTCAAAAGATCAATCAAATGTCTTCTGTCGATTATATAAATTGTGGAGAGACGATAACTTTTTACGGTATAATTTTAAAATGGGTTATAGGTTTATATAATTTGTTAAAAGATTTTTATGTTTGGCTTATCTTTATCTTTGTCCTTTATTTATTTATTCCTTCTTGTTGATGATTATTTCTTTTTAGACGTTGTTGTTGTTTACAAAGCATAGGTTAGGATGAGAATCATGGGTTTGGTTGGAGACCTCTCATTTTCTCTGCTGTCGCAGTTTGGTTCTCTAAAGGAACTATCTCGCGAACCACTTGAGCTGTCAATTAAAATGTTTTTTTTTCAGATTTAGACACGCATGAAAATTTCATGGAAAATGAACACTGTATGATCCAGTCGGGTTGGCAGGGAATTTCTAATGAATATATAGCTACGAATAATCCAAGGGATTCTAACGAACTTATTCATTACCAACACAACTGCTAAAGAATATGTCTTTCCAGCCAAAAAAAGAAAATATGCTAAACCACTATGGTAGTTAATGGTTATTTTAAGTTCCAGCTAAAAGTTTCATTTTATTTTTCATAATTCTTACCTTTTTCACCACATCATTTTAATCTTTTGATCTTCCCTCTTTGTTTATTCCTTGATGGTAATACGAATATGTATTGTACCTTTCATTTCCTTTTTTTTATTTTTTCTTTTATATAACTCAAAAATTTTTGCAAATGCGATAAAAATAGATATAAAAAATTTGTTATATATTTAAATTTGTAAAAACAGATCGTATAAACGAATTCAATAAGAATAAAAAAAAAAAACAATTTTATCTTCATTTTCCACTAATTTTACGATTAAAAATTCTTCGAGAATCCCATTTGATTTAATTCATTTTTTAAAATCTCATAATTCAGAATATATCTCTGGAAATATATACAAAATGGAATAAGCAAAAGAAAGAGGTAATATTACGTAATGAAAGTCGGATATAAATAATCATTATGTATAATGATGATGATGTATAATATGTATAATGAAAGTCGAATACACGTAAAAATTTTGCGGTAAGACTGGCCGTAAGCAAATATAAATGATCGATGAAATGACCTAAAAATAAAAGTTTGATTGAAAGATAGGAAAGGAACTGATAAGAAAGATGAAAAACTGGGCATCGAAAAGCACTAAACCATAAAAAATTGAAGTTTTCGCTAATTCTAATAATATTTAATTGCAAAAATATGAAGTAAACAAAAACTGAGTGCAGATCGGTGATCGAAGCAAATCCTTTCTTAAATAAACCATCGCAATGTCCCGCACATTAAATAAATTGACCTGAAACAAAAGTTAGCATAAAACAACCTGTAATAATGTCATTTCTCATTTTTTATGCTTTATCACCACTGACACATACTGATGCTTACTGAGTACTGATGCTTATTTGCTTAATCTTCTCGTCCTAAAATATCATGAAGACAATATGGCTCTTAACATATGTGAATGACGTATATTATATATATTACATTAATTACCTGCGATATCTTAAGAAAAAGGCAAAATATAAAGATTGTTGATAAGAGTAAATCATTCATCATAGATGGAATGAAACGATTAAAATGTTATTAAATAAATAAATAAATGTTATTAAATAAATATTAAATAAATGTTATTGTAAATGAATGTAATGTTATTATTAAATGTTATTATTAAATATTAATATTAAATGTTATTAAATAAATATTAAATAAGCCCACCTGGTGGCTGATATCGTAGATTTTTTGATGGCAAAAATCGTTCCGTCGTTCCCCGACAAAATTTGGAACACAGAAAAAATCCACCGCATAATCCGACTAACAATATTATTCTAAAATATTACTTGATAATTTTAAAAGTTCTATTATCAGAAAAATCAAACAAAAAATAAATAAATATGGATGCCATAACAGCTGTATATAACTAAACAGCTGTATATAGCCAATGAAAATTTTTTTTCATCAAATCACTTGTGAAATTGTGCATTTAAAATGAAATTGTATATCTAAAATTGCTGCAAATAGATCTAAATAACCTAAATACAATAAATGCTTTTCTTCTTTTTCTAGCCATTGCTGGTTTGGCTACTGCAATTTTTTCACATTTTTCATATTCAAATTTAAATTTAATGTCTAAATAATCCACCAATGCGGGAATAAACTTGTCCAAAAATCTAGGCAGGAGACCCTGCACATCTATCGCCAAGGTACTTCCTGGCATATTTGTCTAACGGGATAAGCCAGTGGAGCGAGTCTAACCAGTAATGGCGAGGGCTCTCAAAAAAATCGACCAATATGCAACAAATCGAAATATTTGGCAAGTTCACTGTTATTGTGTACTAACTGAACTGCTAAAATATAATTTTTAATCACAAATTTATTGGAAAAAATAAATGGCCAGAAAAGAAGAAAATAACGAAAAACCAGTAATTTGAAATACATAAAAATACCAGCAATAATGCATCAAAAATTTCCATCGTTTTCATCCATTTCCATTAAAAAAGTGCAGTAAAATAAATGCATATCATGCATAGGAAAAGAATATGTGCAAAAACACAGATATTGAAAAGTTTTTAAATTCAGTCCGTAAGTGCTATAATAGAGGGGTTGAGTTAGCCAGCCAACCTATTAAAAGTACAGCTTGTAACGGCCATGTCCTAACATATATTACTGGATGTAATCCAGCTGACCATGTAGAAGGAAAGTTTCAAATGAAGGACATCCCAGTAAAGGAAAAAAATTACCCAAGATCTTACTAATATTTACTAAAAGATTTCTACAGGAAAGATAGATGATTCTTATTTGACCTATGGACTTCTAAATAAGCCACAAGCACTCGCACCATCTTTTCATGGATGGGAAAAAATAGCAGAAGGTGAAGATTTGCTTGTATTTCGTATGCACCATACCACATATTACAGTAGCATTTCAACTTGATTTAAAAAATATCTAAAAATTTTTCAAAGATAAAAGTGCTGAACAAAAATGTGAAAATGAACAAAATGCATTTGGTGAATTATGCGATCATTACAATTCGTAAATAACCAAGAAATATAAAAAATAATGATAGCTGAAAAGAAATTTTAAAACCCAGCAAAGTAATTTTAAACGCAACTGGCTAACGCCTGGTTCTTTACATTAAAAAATTTACTTAATGTAAAGAACTCTATCTAATGCAATTCACTTTCAATTCGGCAGATCGCTTTTACAACTTTTATAGTTTAACCCTAGAAAATATGATAATAATACAGCATACAGTTCATGCAATTTGTCTACTAATGGCCTTAACTTTGTCTTCATAAAAAGTACTGAAGTTGATTCTGATTCGAAAAATGATGCTAAAAGTAAATTAAAGGAGGATGTTCAACTAAAAATGCAATGCAAGAATGCATACTATAATAATCAAACAGGAAAACCTAGAGTTTGTTTTCCTTTCTTCTGGATTATTATAATAATAAAATTATAATAATTATATAATAATTATAATAATAAATGTATAAAAAATAGTATGCATACGATGACGTACCCGAGACCAATTCCCCAAAACGACGAACTTCCTCGACTGCAACATTCATAACCACAACAATATTCATAATAACTGCAACTCCAAACTATTTCACGCGGGCGACTAGTTCCATCTTCGAAATAAACATTTCCCAACTGTGAATCAGTTGAATCGATTGGCATTCGACACATATGTGATCCACTACCCATACCACGGTAATACCTTGAATCCCAATAGTAATGGCGATTATTCCACCTAAACAATTGATTATTAATTACTGCAATAATATAGGTAGCTGTATTCGACTGGCCGCCATTCGATGAAAGGAACTCAAGGAAATCGCAAAAAAAAGGACGAAAGCTATTTGAGGCAATTTGCGTTACTTAGCTTATATAAGACATAAAAAAATAAATAAAACCAAATTTATTAACATCATAGGAGCAATAGCACTTCGTATTAATGCTTTTCCAGCTTGATATGTTAAATAACCAGCTGCCGCACCAACAATAGCATTTTTGAACTGATTTGATCGAAGAACTGATCCGAATTTCGATCTATATTAAAATTTATTTTTTTTATTTTTAAAGCTAAAAAAATTAAGATAGGCCGTGTTAATTCATTGTTAATTAAGAACATAAGAAATCTTCATATATGCTTAAAAATATGAACCTTGAAGAAGTTGGTTTGGACCTGGATGGGGACCCCCATGTACCACGTTGATTGCCAAAGCCACCTTGAACTCCACGGTTCCAACCACCTCCACCCTGAGTTCCACGGTTCCAACCACCTCCACCCTGAGTTCCACGGTTCCAACCACCAGCTGCACCAGGCAAACGCATATTTGAAGTTCGACTTGCAGATGAGCCTCGTCCAACTGGAATACGACCTCCACCCCCACTGCGTTTTGTTCCACATTGTCCAACGATTTGCAACAAAATAAAAAGCAATAAAGTCGATTTCATTTTTTTCTTCGTCTTTATTCTAACATCCTGAAATTCTAAAAAAATCAAGCCATTTCAAGAGAAAATAGTAATAGGCAAAATAATAGCTCATAATTTCTGGCTATGTTTACTCGGGCATTATTAATAAAATGAAAATTTTTTGTCAACGAGTTACTTGGCGGTACAACTAGAAGGGAGACGCCAGCATTGCCCAGATTTTTTTGATAATTTTTACTTCTTGGAAATAGAAGCCGGATCTTCTCAATATGATAATATGATAATCTGAGCCACTACTTGCCGAACAGCTATTTTTTGAATCACTTTCCTAGTTAGGTTCTTTTATGAGTTATCAATTGTGTCATTATTATTTCAGTTTATTTGAACTGTCTAGCTCGAACTTTTGATTTGCGACCTCATGAACTGTCTAGCTCAAACTTTTGATTTGCGACCTCATACTAGCCACTCGGCTATCCCATCCCCAATAGGCAAAATAATGATTATTCACTGATTCACTCCAGTAGCTACAGGACCAAGCCAGGCCAAACAAGTAATGGTGCTGCTCCGTGTTAGAAAAAAAGAAATCAAATCATGAATTATTTGTAGAGAACATTCCAAAGGAAAATCTAATAAAATTAACTGTGAATGAGAATAACAATTTGAATTTTCAAGACGAATTTCTGGATAAAGAGAGCTCCTATAAGAAAATCTTCCTAGCTCAAAGTTCCCTTCTTCTTTAAAGAGTGGCAACCATTTCCGAAGGTGGCAATTTTACTAATTACTAAGTGAGAGAATTTCTTCTCCAGAAAATCACTCCAGAAGGACACAAGTGGACTCCCAGAAGCCACAAGGATTTTACTTTCAGAATGATAGATTTGGTCGAACTAAAACAGCAAACAGTCTTACTGATAAAAATGATATGCTTAATTACATATCATATAAATCATCCAATAAGCAATCTTAGAAATCTCAATAACGACGAACTTAACAGAAAATAACAAAGTTAGAGACTTGATGTTTGATTTTTCACATTCTTATAATCGATAAACATTTCAACATTTTGAAAAACAATCCTCAGTTATCACTTTGGCATTATCAGCATTCAGAGAATTTCTACCTGCTTTCTAATGGTGCTTAGCTTGCTTTCAGCATTCAGTAGCTTCGGTGAAGCAGACTGCACTCGTGCGAAGACAAGAGAGCTTCGCCATCACAAACGTGCTGCCGTGCTGCTGCTGACACTGACGCTGACACAGCTAGAAATTCGCCTCATTACGTGGCAACCATTAGAAGAGGCAAGCACGTGTCGTCAACTGCAGCTGGAAGTTCGCCGATGAATGGACTCCAAACTGGCGAATTCGCGAGAGAAATGTGGCGATGGCGAAAAATCGCGAACCCGCGATATGAACTGCAATTCGATGGAGCGATAAATGGCTTCGACGACGCGAAAACGAGCAGTTTAGCGGTCGAGAGGCGCTTAAAAAGTTATTCCGAGGAATCAGCCAAAGCAATTTTTACAACGTATAAACGCGCAAAAATATGGCGCAATTTTATTTTGTCAAATAAACTGAACAATTATCATAATTTCTAAAACCACTCATATCACTTATAATTAATTAAGCGAAGCAGAGACGAAAAAAAATGACTGGTCAGCTATCTTTTCTTGGGAGCGCCTTCCTCAAATTATTGCAGCAGAAGCTTTCAGCCGTCATGGATCCCCTCCTCTCCGCTTTTCTTCGACCTGAATATTCAACCAGTACCCCCACCCCCCTCTCCCGTCTCTAATGAAAAAAATGGCACTTGCAACAACAGAAAATTTGTTCTTTCGAAAAGAAAACGAATGCATTCTTTATGAAAAATTTGAAATTTTATGAAAAATAAAAAACTGTTTCAAGCGAATTTTTAGAGAAGCAACAGCCACTTCTAGTTGCTTCCTGCACGCATCTAATTTAATTAGGATAATCGATCAATTAGCTTCACAGAAACATTCCTCTCACCTCCTTGCTCACCTAACCCCGCCGATTTCTTTTCCAAACTTCCTTCCCCATTCCTCGAGTTTCCTCAACCCTCACCTTTACGTAATCCCCATCCACTCTTTCCCTTACTTCCTATTCTTTAATCAGTATTACACACAAAAGCTCGGCTATCTCGGCTCGGATTCTTTTCTAAAAATAAGCAAATCCAATAAAGCGCTGCTAAAGAAATAAGCAAAACATCACAGAGCGTATAAATAATGGAGATACTGGGAAGTGCAACGAATTTAAAAAGCACAATATGTCTAAGAGAAATTCATCGAAGAATGAGTGTTGGACAAAAGTAAAATAATAATGCAAAACATTGTGGATAATGAGGAGAGAGAAAAGAATGAGAGGAAATAATATGTTTCAGTAGAAATGCAAAAGGAATAAGCAAAAAGAAGAGAAATTTTTATTATTATACATTTATTATTTCATTTATTCTTTTTATAGGATAATTTTCTTTCTTGATTTTTCTAGGATAATTTTCGTTTCCTGTAAATAAAATTAATCCCAAAGAAATTCTGAAAATCCTTAAATTCCGACAATCATGCAACGCTGAAGGCTCTGATAACGCCGTAATCCGGCACTGATAACTCTGATAATAATCATAACTCGACAGTCGTGACAACCCCGATAGCTCTGATAACCCTTAAAAAACCGAAGCGACGAATTTCATAAATAGAAAGATTGGACACTGCTCCGCCACTCATTTTGTTGATTAGGTGTTCGTGGCATCGGCTTTGCCTTTTTGCAGGTTCCTAGTTTATTTTGCCATGAGAATCCATATAACCCGTTTGTGACCCATTTTAGCATAAAATAATTCGAATAGTAAAATGTTTGGTCAAAGCATTTGTTGAAAGCAATCACTTAACCACGAGGCTTGTGGTGAAAAAAGTATGGAGAAATCCTTCCATACTTTTTGAAAATCCCCTTCCAAACCCCGTCAGATTCTCACACAGCACCAGCACCTGTACCTGTTGCACTCCTTTAATGTCGCCTTAATCCCCTAACACCCCGTTATACCTCACGGATCATTTCTGGTGCGGTGAGTTATAGAGCAAATTATATTTTGGCCAGAAGTAATGAACTCAACAGGACGAGCTTTAAAGGTCATAATATACATCGGATAGGTGACGATTTTCGTATATCCATAGGACGTGTCTTCTTATTAAGCCCATACAGATAAAAATTTACAAATCTATAAGTAGACCATACTTTAATTGCCAATGAAAAATGCTCGGATTTTAAGAAGTAATATGGGAAACATATGGTAGAAATTTTCTTTAAAATCTTAGGTGGCACAGATCTGTTTAAACATTTGTAGAGGGAGGAGGGAAAAAAGCAATTTGGATTCTTCGTTCTTCTTCTATCATAGGTTTAAAATATCGAAAAACGAGGAAAATGAAAATAAGACAGTGTATCTATATTAATAAATCAGGGAGCTGAGCCATATACAAAACCCGAATGAAATAATCTGATAAGCAAAATTATCACAAAATTATCATAAAATTTTTCTTATGAAATTTCCAGCAAAAAAAGTTTTTTAATAATAATTAAGAAAATTAATATCGATATTCAGCAGAGAAAGAAAATTAGGAAAATTAATAGTTTTGAGGCGGTTGGGATGGATACATGTATCCCTGAGGCATTTGCGAATAACTGTTATAAGGTTGCATAGGATAAGTCGGCTGCTGTTGTTGAGGATAACCACCACCATAATCTGAAAATTCGCACCATTTTAGATTTCCATTAAAATTTCCTTTCTTCGTTGATCATCGATTTGATGAAATCATAAAGAAAAATATTTTCGGGTTCCAAGCGACTTTTTTTTCTTTTCAAAGGCAGAAACGGAACCTTCATGCTTGAAATGATAAATTTGGGCGATACAAAATAGTAAAAAATAAAGATTACTTTGAAATTGATCTGTTTTAGTATCAGAATAAACCACACTCGCGTCGGTTTGGGCATTCGAAGAAGGAAAGCAATAACTGAATACGGATCGACAAAATATATATGCAAGGCAACAGCAGCAGCACATTAATAATAGAATCGTAACAAGGATACTGAAAAACTGAAATTAAACGCTTTCATATGGTTTGGCACGATTTATGAATCTATAATTAATACGCTTTTATAATGAGAAAGTGGAAAAAAAGCGTAAAGAGCATGGTCCTCTGGATAAGTGCTAGGAACTTATCAAATATCACTATTTCCAAATGACTCTCTGGCGAAAGGGTTTTGCTTTACTTGTCAGCGAATCCAGCTAAGCCAGAAATGGTGGGTGATGCCATAAGAAGGAGAATATCGTTCTAACTTCAAAAAGACCTCTGATTTTCAGTACAACCATGATCGATAGAAATTTGAAAATATTAAATACAAAAAGTCTGAAAATGAGAAAAGGACCAGGTTATCGCTCGGTTATAGAATCCTCTTTCTACCTCGTTCGTGTAATGGGTTTGCAAGTAGGTTCCAACTTTTAAATCTCGAAAGGAAAGAGAGAGACTTAGCAGAATCTATAATAAAGAAATTAACTAAAGTAAAAAAAATTATTACCCGAAGAGAATGGTACTAATCGCTGGACGATATGAAGGTTGATTATTGTTATTATTGGAATTAAATAGTGGTACAGATGCTGGACAACATTCAGTGCCACAACATACTTCTGAACCACTCTTACAACTCCAAACAATTGTCTTCGGTCGAGTACCATCTTTGAATTGAATCTAAAATTTTCTTGCTTTATCACTTCATTTCAATTGTTGTATTCATCATAATCAATCCAATTTATTGTAGTAAATTTATTGTAGTAAAGAAAATCCCAAGAATTCTATAAATTATGAGGATACCAAGAATAACGAGAAACAAGGTAATAACGGGCAGACCAGTGCTGTTATATGAATAAAAGTATATTAAGAGACAACAGTACTGCTTCAGTTGTCTCACATAAGCATAAATGGTTCTCGTCTTCTTGTGAGATTTAAAAAAGTGAAATTTAGTCAATGCTGGACAACTATTCGTATCCCAAGTGGTTCTTCAGAAAAAGGATTTGATGGCCGCAGTGAATAATTCACTAAATCATAAAAAATGGTGAATACTCTCAGGAATAAAAGATGAAGAGAAAAATGAAGAGAAAAAAAGAGAAATTATTTAGCCTAATCTATGCCAATGGTCGCCAAACTTTTCTTTTCCATGGACTCTTCTAGATTGTGCAGTCAAAATTCATGAGTACCAACGGAAAATTTTCAAATTTTAAAACTTTAAAATTGGAACTTTAAAATTAAATTTTTCCACCAAAAAATACAAATTAAATGAATATAATATTTTGAATGAAAATAAAAGATTAAAAAATTAATAATGATTTACAAGGAAATAAAATAAGGATATATAATCAGAATTGGGCTCGCCACGGACTTAAGGGGTTCCGCAGCAGGAAGTTCAACAGCATTGGTGCATGAGGTAGTTTTCAAAAAAACTGCTCAATAGACTGGAACCAGCAGTTTTTAAATTGGTCTGGAATTAGGGTTTAATTTTTCGGGAACATGTCCAGTTATCTCACAGCCATTTTCCCCTATCGTTGCTTACACAAGCAATTTCTTTTCTTACAATTTCCATAAAAATAATAAGCCAAATACAACCTAAATAATGTGTCATCAACACATTTAATGCAATTTTTTGCATGATGTAATAAAAATTTTTTGAATTAAAACGACAAACATTCGCCAATAGTTGATCGGGTGACGGTGTAGTTGAAGCCAATGAATTGTCTCCTCCTGGCGCCACCGTTGATATCTAAAATATCTAATTTTTTTCAAATAGATGCAAAATTTGCCCAAAATTTTAAAGCTTCCAGTGGTTCTAGCTAATTGTAATTACGTCCATGATGAATAAAAAAATTCCAATTTAATCTAATTCAGCTATATTCAACACTGGGCAAACTGGACACTGGACTCAACTCACTTTGCTTGATGGTAGTGAATATGCAGCGAAATTCGGGCAATGCTCGATGCTCGAAACCCACCCCTACTCCTATCGCTAATTGACTCACTGGTAAAGGCGCTAGTTCCAGCAATCAGTGGAACCAGCAAAGATCTTATTAGAAGATAAACCTGAGTTTGGTTGATAAGATTTTGAAGAGGCATTGAACACATGAAGTACCCATTCTTTTTTTGATAATTTTCTTCATCAAAATAATATGGCCTGTTATTAATATTAACCGGAGTAGTTGCTGAATGGATTATTGCCTGAAATTGCAGCCGCTGAATTTCATTTTTAGATAATCATTCGTGTTTTTTCAGATTAGAATGGGATGGATAATTTCTATTTCTTCTATGCAAATATAATTTGTCGCTGCCTGTTTGATAAATTAGTATTACTTTCAAACAAGTAGATTAAAATTTAAGGCTTACTTTTCCAGCTTCGTAGATGAGTAAACCAGATGCAGCACCCAATAAACCACCAGCAAATGCAGTTTTAAATTGACTTCCTCTTGACATTGAACCCAGTCCCGTTCCACTGTTGAATCTTAATATGCATCGTTATTAGTACATAAATAAATAATAATCAAAATGTTATCGTAGATAAAAAATATATAAATACTGCAAAAATAAAAAACTGAAAAAGAAAACTTCGAAGGTCCAAGTGCTTGATTCGCTTGGAATCCAGCAGGCTGATGAAAACCACCAGCCGGTTGAGGACGATATCCGCCAGCCGGTTGTGGATGAAATCCGCCACCTTGATTTGGATAAATTCCTCCACCTGGCTGAAATTATTCCATCAAAAATATTTCCAGAAATTTTGAAGCATAAATTTAAGATAAAAAGAATAAATTTATTGGTTCAACACTTAATTCATTCACAGCATAAGAGAAACAACCTGGAAGCCACCAGCTGGACGATAACCTCCACCACCGGGCTGATTCCCTGCACTAAGTCGTGCGCCACTATTTCCGCGATTGTTGCTGCCTAATCGTATTTTTCGACATTCTACTGAGAGGAAGAACAGAAATATACAAAAATATGCGCCTTTTTCAAACATAACTAAATCCTTCTTTTAAATCAATTGCAAATAACAACAGAAAAGATGGAAAAGACGAAAAGTGATAAGAACGCGAATTATTTCAGTTGGAAATGCGTGGGAAGGTTAAAAGTATTTAATGCTTATTTAAGTATTTAAAGTAAGCATCGAAGCATCGAAGAAATACAATAAAAATGGTTGTGTTTTGAATTTTGCTCATATTTATAAAATATTTTATAAATTTAATACATTCGTGACATTCAAATAATTCTCAAAACCGCAGAATTAATATTCATTTCAAACAGAAAAGCTAAGTAATTTTGAAAAAATAGATTGAAAACGAATATTCTAAATAGACTACGAAGCAGAAACTGATTTGATGAATATTAACACTGATCATTTATGAGGACAAATGATTGCGTGCTTAAATCTCTACTGTTATGCACCTCCATTTTTCTCTTCTTCAATATTCGTCATTTCTGGTTTGGCTGACCCCTACTGAGACCTCTGCGAGTAGCGAAACCCTTTCGAGATTTATAGTCATAGATTTATAGATGAAAGCTTGCCACTTATGGATATTTCCACCTCATTATAAGATACTCATGAAGCATGTAAGCTTTTCTCTCGTTGGCCATTAGCCATTGCTACAGATAAAACCTCTAAAACGATTGTAATCGCGATGAATTCAAAATTCACTATTTCTTTCGCCTATTTAAAATCGATTAAATATTTTACTAAACAAATAATTCAATAAATAACCATTAAAATGGATTAATATAAATATTATGTTAATATAAAAATTTAAAATTCAAAAAAACTAAAAACGAAACTAAAAAAATTATTCTTTCTCAGTCCATGTCAGATGGGCCATATCAGATCAATCCCAAGGGGCTCTCAAGTGTTACCATTCTAATGGTCATTCTGATAAGCCTTATCAGAGTGCTGAAGAAAAAAGATAAAACAAAAAAAACAACCAAAAAAAGTTGAAATTTGGTAGGCAAACGCAGAAACTGCGTTGATTTTAGAGACAAAAAATAAAGTGGAACGAAGAAAACCCGTTCCGAGAAATTCCGAAAAATTTCTTGTTTTTTATGGATTAGTTTCTCGAATGTTTTATTTCTTCAACATTTACAAATTGTCCTATGGAACTAACGTCGTTTAAAATGAATAAAAATGGCCAAAGATTCATTTCTTTAAATGGTCACTTCAAGAAAATTCATAGAGAGTATTATTTTTGGTTTCCTTGGTTACTAAAACGAGAAATATTAAGTTGAGCTACTCTGGAAAAAAGGTAAGGATGGGTTACCACCTATGGGTGGCCTCATTTTTCTTTTCCAATGTCAGATTTATTCAAAAGATAAGAATTAAACCTACGCTGCTTGCCCTTAACAAAAGCAAATACTATTTAAACATCGTTTCATTAGGATTATGAGAAATGATAGAGTGGTGGAGGAGTACGTTGCTTCGGCTAAGTTCAAACCATAAAAGGCCCTCTGATGGGACTGAAGAGTCACCATAAAAGTGCTGTGAGCCGACTTTATCTCAAGCAGCTCCCACGAAATAGTCAAATTCTAATGCCCGTGAAATCAAAACAAAATTTCTGAGTGGTAAAAGTGGTAAATGCTGAGGAAAATACGAAAAGAGTAGAAAATATTTTTAGAAAAATTCATTCGATGAATAATTTAAAAGAGTATTTTTCCATTCCAAAGCATCGCTGATATCATGCGATTGACATCAAAAAATTTACAATCGATGAACCTCCAACAATGCATGTTTCTTAACAAAACGTTTAAATCGCAAAAGGAAAAATCGCATCGAGAATATTAGATTTTTGAATTTTTATTTTTTATATAAATCTCGACTAAATCACATAATTCTCACTGGTCACTGGTTTGGTTAGTTCCACTGACTATTAGGGTGAAATCTTTCTACCTGAAAGCCGCTTAGAAACAGTTCCACTGACTATTAGGGTGAAATCTTTCTACCTGAAAGCCACGTACCCTCCACTCGGTTTGCTAAATTTCAATTAAAAGTTAAACAATGAATGGCAAAATGAAAATATGAAGCGATATATATGAAAGCCAATTCATAAATATGGCACTGAAGCCGTAGAAGGGTTTGATTCAGCATAGAATTTATTAGATTTCGAATTTTAATCGATTAAAACTTAGTAGAACCAAGGAAGTTCAACTGTAACAATGGTAGCCGCTAATTATTAGCCTTTTTTTAGCATTTGATATTTACAGGAAATTAATTTAGTTAATCACAAGTAATAAAAGTATTAGAAAAAAACTTACGACACAGCTCGAAATAAAGAATTTCAATAAAATAAAAATGTTTAATTCCGAAAATTTTCAAATTGACTTAGATATATATTTAAATGAATAGGAATGAAAAAATTTCACACAAAAAATTTCAATTTTATATTCCAATAATTTTCAATTATTTGATTAAATTACTGCTAAATAATTAATTTAATTAACTTTAAATATTTTGAATAGGAAAGGAATTAAAAAATTCTTTTGTTCATATTATGAATACCTTATAAAGGAATACCTTAACAAGTAAGTGATAATAGTGATAAGTAAGTGGTAACAAATAATAATAAAGTAAGTAAATAAATATAAGTAAATAGCGGAATAAAAATTGCCTAACACATCGTGGCACTGATAAAAATAGAAATTTTTTTCTAAATTTACCAAGCAACACCAAATCATGTTATTACATATGACAAAAAAAAGTATAAATGCTAGCTGACAGGTGAAAAAAACGATTCACTAATTTCTTTTGACATATTTCCACGTTTCCAAAAAATAATAATGATACCAGGAAATAGTTGAAAAATGGCATAAACTCGTTAAGCTGGAAAAGAGACCGGCGAGAAAAGGAGGAATGGAGGAGGGAATACGATTACGATTAGAGGAAGAACAAGGTAGGGGCGAAGGGAGGGGGAGAATACGGTTACGATTAGGATGAAATAAAATGAGGGGAAAGGGGAATATCGTGATAATTAAAATTAAATAAAACTGGTTCTTCACTCGCTGTAACACGTCCTTTCCCCTTATTTATGTAATGATCAGAATGACAAACCAGCGATTTTTATTTTCACATATATTAACAGTAATAATAAAAATTTTAATACCATACATTCCATAACATCCGAAGTGTGCAGTTAGTAAATATGCAGGTGCGCATAGATAACTACCGCACTTTTAAGTTTAATAATGCGGAATTATAGTTGAGAAGAGGTGAAAGAAAAAAACCATGGAAATGGGCCTTGAAAAAAAATAAAACGTAATAATTCTCGCTGCAAAAACGAAAATAAGTATTAGAAGCGTAGTTAGAAAGGTGGCCCAGCCTGACTTGCTCGCCCTACTTCGCTTTAGTTAGAGTCGCTTGAGGACAGAGCTGTTGCAGTTGGATCTCTAACAGCTATCCTAGAACCACAGCTTTTAATAACAGATTTACTTCTACCAATGGACAAAAATTGACTTTTTTTTGTTCGCATTTTGCGAATTAAATGGCCTATTTTCAAAAGAAAATTTCTAAACGACACAACTCTGAGTTAAATCCACAGTCGATCCATAAAAATATGAGCAATTGATGCAAATAGTGAAATATAAGAAAAATTTTCATTTCTTTTCCCTGTCGAATTGATCTGTTATAATCAATACAAAAATGTTACAAATGATTAAATAACGATTAGCAAAATAAAATTTGTTGGGGATGAAAAAAATAAAGAAACAGTTAAAAATGAACGTGAAGTGGCAATAAACACTCATTTGTTCTATAAATTCGACCTCTGTTTAGAGAAGTTTTTACTTAAAATTGCAACTGAGGAATATCACTGGATGTGAGCTGAAAAATTGAATTAAGTGTCAACTAAAGCAGAAAAAAGTGGAGCCAAATAAAGGAGGAGAAAGCAACTATTATAACCTTCTTGCACCACTGTTGAAGGCATTCTTCTACTTCTTCTCGCAGCATTTACCATTTTTGGTTTGGTGTGCTTCGCTGCCTCTTTAGTATCGCCAAAGGGAACTAAGCAGAAATGCGCCGCGGCAAGCACCAAACGGGTTTCATTTTAAATTACACGTTTATTATCATCAAGAGACAGAAACAACGATCAGCCTTTTTTAAAGGATTTCGAATCCAGAAAGTCGCTGTCCATTATTGTTGGCATTTAGGGACATCGCCTGTGGAATTTATCTAATTAAAAAAATGGCTGAAAAGCACATTTAAAAATCGTATTTTCAGGAAGAAAGAAGTTAATTTATGTGACCAAAAATTTTTATTAATCATTTCGGTTAAATACTGCAAAAAAATTCTGAATCGCATCTCATTGGAAAATCGGATTTAACAACAGCGATTTCGTCTGTTCGCTTTTCTAAGCATTCAGGAATGTCTAAGCGATAGCGAATAGTTAAGCGGTGTACGGTGAAGAGGAGGGAAGGGAATAATAGGGAAAGGCGACCGAGTTTCAAGCGCTGGGGGCTTCAAAGCGTCTCGTCCTTATGGCGAACGAAACCGGTTTGTACGACGCAGAAGAAGCAAATGAAGGGAAAGCAAGTAAATACCTAAAAGTAACACACCGCGTAAAATGGCAGACAGGTTAAAACGATCGCCGCATCGCTATTTATTAACTGCATGGTTTCCATGGCAAACAGGTTAGCTCAGTCGCCGTCAATATTTCGCATTATTTCGCTGTCTTCAATTTTTATACAAATGACAAAATTTTCATTACAAATACTGTTTGTTTGTTTAATGCGAAAAGGGGGAAAAATTCTTTTCGCTGAAATTTAATTATCGTAATTTTATTGATTTATTACTAAATATAATTTTTGTTGCATAAAAAGAATAGTTTCATCGAATATTAGAGAATATTTCAACCATGGACGACGTATGCATGTTTCGCATCGCATAGATTTTGGCGGATTTGCCAACCCGAAGGTGCCAGTCCGACGACTTTGTTCACGTCTCTGACCGTGCACAGTCGCTGTCACAGCCATCCTTCATTCACATAAGGCTCCCAACATTCATTTATTGTTTAAAATTTTTAAAATTTATTGAAATGGAATTCGCAGCACAAAATACGCATAATTTCTATTCGCATTGGTGAGTGATATCGCTTTTCGACAGGGAATTCAAGCACCGCTACCCGATTTGTGGGGGAACAGCTGCTGCATGGAAGCTCCTATGGGTCTACATCTACTCTGTCTTGACTCAGTGGCTCCGTGCTCCGCACAGTAACATTTGGCGTCGCACAGGAGTAAAGCCATCATTAACCCCACGTAGATTAATAACCTAATTTCTATGCACAAACGAATGGCAGATCCCTGGCAGAAATTGCAGCAATAGCCAGAGAAGAGAGCTCAAGCAGAAATGGTTAACACCAGCCATTTATTTGTCAACACATGGAAAATTTTTATTTATTTATTTTTGCACATTTCTAGCAATAATTAAAGTTTATGTCCTTATCTAAAGTTTATCCAAATTCTCTTCAATTTATTTAAATTAAGATTTGACAGTTTCAAAGATTCAAAGATGATTTATTTTCTCTCGTATTATCATTATTATTCTTGTATGATGTGTGATAGAGCATTTATGAAAAATGTAACAAAATCACTTTCATAATAATAATAATAATAATAATGATAATAATAATGATAATCATAATAATAATGATGATAATGATAAACATACCATATATGTTTGCATTGCATCCCATAGTTAATTGATAAATAAAAATTTATTGAAATACTGAAGTTAAATATTATCAATGTACAATAACAATAAATATAATTAAAAATCATTTTCATTATTATGATTTTGGTTGCAATGTATGCCACATCACAACTGGTCTTGAAGTTTTCATCATTTCAGTCCACTGTTTTTGTCCAGCAAGGCTTATAGCTGGATTATAAAAAGTATTTGCACCGAGCAACACTTCGCCAATAAAATCATTCTTACTCATTTTGTCATAATCCCAAACACTTAAGACCAAATGTACTTTCTGCAAGAAAATTTGCATTACTGAGATTGTAAAAACCACTGCTTCGCAACATTTTTTGTTCGCTGCATCATGTTGAGAAGCAATAACCCCAAGTAGCAGACTCATCACACCTGTACGACCTGTACGGCTCGCAGGTCGTGTATATTTATCTATTTCCCTTGAAATCTTAAAATTTCTCCACAGAGAAGGAAATCCCCACTGATTGAGAATCTCTGGTAAAGATTTTATAAAATACTGAAAAATCATTGTATGCATTGTAAGAGATTAAAAATCCTCGGGCCCAATTATCTCTCAAGAATCATTGAAAAGTCCCATCCCTATATAAGTGGGAGACAGCCAAACTATATACCACTGTTAGAAGATTCAAAAATGTGAAGACTTTTGGTGTAATTAACGGTATTGAAAATGCGATGATATCGACAAAAATTATCGGATTTTTTTTAGATGATTTTCTTCTGATAATTGCCATAAAATGTTATATTCGATCAATCGTGGCAAAAACAATGATAATTTAGTGGCATAAAAAATAAAAGAATATTTGCTGAAATTTATAAGATGAGAGAATGGCAAGGGAAGTTTATATGAAGTTGACACGATAGTTATTTTATGATCCCAGAAAGTTAAAATCTTAGAAAATAACCTCCACAATCGATGGTGGCACTTTGAATTGAAAGCTTTCGTTATAATATGGATTAAGAGTTTTGAATTTTTTAGTAGTCTTCTTCTTAAGCAATAATTTTTTTCCATGGAACAAATGTAATTTAACATAAGGATCTGAAATTAACAAAAGTGTAAAAGTTACATCGTCTAAGCAAACTTGAAGCAAGCCCTTTCATATTTCTTTATTTGACAGCAGCAGTGTATTAATTTTATTTTGCAATCATTCTTTATCGAAAATTAATTAAAATGTGAAAATTTGATTGTGATTGTAAAATGTGATTCTGTAAATTATAAACTAAATAACTAAAATGTACAACGTTCAAGCTTAATGTTCATAAAAAATACTGGAAAATTATACTCAGAATTTAAAGAAATTACCTGATAATCCACCCACATCCATTTTTTTCAAATTCCTTGCTTCCATTACTGTAACTGTAAGAGTTCCCGTTGCAGATCGATATCGTGTAGAAAAGCAAATATCACCCAAACGTGATTCCTGGAAAAAAAAATATGATTCCGTCAGATAACATAGTGATAAGCTTTTTATATCCCCAGATGGATTTCGAAGAACAGTGCTTGTGAAAGATGTGCAGAAGAAAACCCGCATTCTACTCATTCCACCTCATAAAGGAAATATGTTGAGGAATTTATGGATTATCGACCAGAAAAATACTTCATGAAGACCATAAAAAAGTAGCATTTACAATTTTTTTTAACCTTTTTTCGAGTTTTTTTACTTATAATTTATAATTACTCTTAAATCATAAGAAGAATTTATTATATTATTATTTTACATTATAGAATATATTATTTTTGCATCCACCAAAAATAAATAATCGTTCTGCTGTAAGTTTAACCTCTCACTTGAAATGGCTGAGCAAAAACTAAGTACGAAGGTGAGATTCCAAAACTGGATGAAAACATTTTATTAGCATAGTATAGTATATAAGGAAAGTATGAAATAAATAATTTCCTTATGGGGAATTTATAAAATATCATAAAATTATAACATCACCGATTTGTTATCTTCTTCAGGTGAATTTAATTTCTGCCATTTTTCAACAACGAAACCAAAATCAACACTATCGAGTGCTATTGATATTTGGCCAATACGATCGTCTTTGCTTATTCGATCAAAATCGTACACTGCTATTAGCAATGTTTTACGCTGCAATTCTGCGAATGGCACCTGTAAAATACCCTAATGACATGAAAAAAGAAAAAAATTTTTCCTGGAAAATTTTCGAAGTTTTTTATTTGCTGCTAAAAAATTGCAGGAGACTTATTAGCTGCGTATTGAAGTATATGATTGACTTCTGTCTGCCACAGCAGTAAACTTATTCTTGAATAGTCCGAAGGGTGCTGTTGATTTTCTACTAATATTACCGAACCACGCACTGACAAAATTTATAACCATACTAATAGCAAACGAAATGTGCTTAAGCAAAAACGGTGAGCGCCAACCAATAATAAAAAATTATCAGTTCATCGTTTTTCCGCCAATTTCAAATTTATAATTTTCCATGAATATTTGCGTTTATTTTCATTATTTCTTTTAATTATCATTTATTTATTTATAAATTATTACTTTATTCGTTTAAATAAAAAATGTAAATTTAAAGTTCTATTAAATTTTATTCGAGGATATTCGGATTTTATTTATTTGATCCAGGAAACCTCAGTAATTTTCCGATTCTCCATCATTCTCCTCAATTAACTAACTCCTAATTCCTAAATTCCTAATTAGTTTTTCCTCTTCTTCCTCTTCAACTAAATTTTTTTTTAAAAAAGCTAAGTTTTTAAGCTTTTTTTATTTCCGTTATTCTAGCAATTATTGTCGAAAATTTGACATGAATTTTTTTCTTATTCTTTCTTTCGATTTCTTCAATTCTTTTCTTCTTCTTTTTTAAGCATTCAAAAAAAATTGAAGATTATTGCATTGAAAAATCATAAGAACTCTATCGATGCGCCGTAAATTTTAATAAAATTTCCTGAACATTATCAAATTTTTATGGATTTAAGCTTACGAAATTAAGAAATTTATGGATTTGACGAATTCTATGGATTAGGTTTATGGATTAAAGTGCTGGCCAGAAGAATTCTTAATAAATTTTTCTTAAGTCTTTCTTACTAAAATGTTTGACAAAAAAGAGAAAAATAAAAAATACGTTGCATATCTTTTAAAACTTATTTTTTATCCAAAAAATACTTTGACCTTAAGTTATTTTTAAAAAATATTGCAAATATAATAAATATTATTATTAATAAGGAGGAAATTTCACCATATTCTCCTCCATTTCTTTTTTAATATCCATTAATTTTTTTAATTAATATTTAGTTTAATTTCTTTTTCAAAAAGAAAAATTATAAATGAAACTTTTTTCAAAAAATCTGTCAATATACAAATATACAAATTTCAGATACTGTGGATTTAAAAAGGATTAAAGAAAATAAAGTGAAATGGTTAAGGAAGAAAAAGTGGAAAGTAAAAAATTATGCGGAAAGATATGAGTAATGTTCTAAATTTCCTTACACTTTTGTCTTATTTTGTAAATTAAGTAATTTGCAATTTTTTAAAATTAAACTACACTCAATCTTGAAAAAGTAACCCTTGAAAAATCATACATTAAAATTCCACGAATTTCCATTAGGATTACCAAAATTTTTATTCTCTTTTCTTCTAATTGCAGAAAATATAAAAATTCAGTTCCATTTTCTCTTACACTGCAATAGATATGTTCATAAAATGAAAGAGTTAAAATAAATCAAAAATTGGCGAGAAACGAGAATTATTGGTAAAGTAAGAATTATTGTTTTTAGATGAAATAAATTTCAAGTGAGCTAATAATTAATGGATCACTCCACTTATGTGAAATAGGCAACTAGGCGTAATGGACCCCTCCACAGTAGGTAACTATGCGTAAAATACCAGTCCACATGAAAAATTGAAATATTTGATCATTGAAACTTACATTAAAAGAAAAAGTTTCATTAAATATTGGACTGAGATTTTTGTATTTTATTTTTGTTTCATATTTTTGCTTCCCTTCAGGCAACAAATATACTTTAACGTATGGATCCGACATACCATTCCGATCCATTGCTGGTAAATTTTTACATTCAATTATCGTTACATTCAGCTAAAAATAATCCATTATTTTTAAAAATTTGGCTATATCAGTAAGTGATAAACACCATTTTAGATTAGGCTTTGCTGGCTAAGAGTATAGAATTTTTGCCAGAAACCAACTCCATCGCCACCCGGATTTTTCAGTGACATAATTGCTCCTGTCAACGTCAAGGAAATTTGGTCATACAAATGTACTAAACAGAATTTTCACTAAGTTTCTTATTCCTATCATATAAAATGCATTATTTATATATTTGTTCATAAATAATGTACTTTTTATTTAATCTATGATTAAAAAATTGGAATTTGCAATAATTCAGAAAGTTGAAGTTACAGAATGGTCCCAAAAATGATCCGAATATTATAGCCAATTTACTATGTGATTTTGAACAAGCAATCTGAATTGGTAAATTGCATTAGTTTATTAGCAATCTACCGCAAGGAAATTAGTCCATCAATCAGCCTAATAATTGCGACGTTATCTAATGTTCACTGAAAAGATGGAGTAGAGTAGCTCCAGTTTGGTAGATAGCAAAACCATAGCAGTTCTTCTTACAACTATAGTAACTCCTAACCAATTTGCTTTTTGTTCATTTTTCGTCCAGAAAGAAGGCCTTGAGTGAAGGTTCGGAGCTCTCTTCCGACAGCAATAAAACGGTCATTAAAAAATCTGAATGAAGGTGGCGAATCATCCGCTTTTCAAGCGAATCCCTGACGAAAACTTTATATTCTACTAATAGCTAATGAAATCTAAAAAGAAACGAGCCACTTAACCACCTTTCGTCCACTAAAGGCTTCAAAAGGTCTTCAATGAAGATAAGTAAAATATAAAATCGTAGATGACAGATGCTTTAAATTAAATGAAACCTTATTTGAGCCGAAGTCATAGTCGAGTTTGTAATGAATATCTCCATTAGACGTCGCCGATCCATCGTTATTATTGCAGTTATTGTTGATGTTTTTATCATTATTATCATTACAATCGGTGATTGGTTGTACAGTTAACGTTCGTGATGTTGTTGGAATTGGTTTATCGACGAATATCGCCTTCTCGATATCTCTCTATAAAAAATACTTAAGCAATTGAATTCGAAATCATTGTTTTAAGTTTTCATATTTAATCAATTAAGCCTTAAATATAAGGATAGAGTGGCCGAGTGAAAAGTGACTTCACGTTGCGAGGCGAATCTCATCTCTCAGGAGTAAACCTGAAAGAAATCCAGGTGGTGCTGGCGACCTACTTTTATCGGTATCCGAGTCCTAAAAATTTTAAACCGCACTCAGCCTTTAGAACGAGCCTGTCTGCTTTCATTAGTTATTCCTGAAAGATGGACAATAGCTTATCTCAAAATTTTAATTTATTAATTGCTTTAAAATTATTAGAACAACAGAGCAATTTTCAAGCCATTCAAATTATTCATTATTTCCAATAACTCTAAAAAAATTTGAAAATGTTAATTGGAAAATAAATTCCTAAGAATTTTAAGAATCAGTGATAAGTTTTCGAATTAAAAATTTGTCTTTCGTTAATTTCGTTCTACTACTTATCAAATTGTTATGCATAAAATTGTTATAATAGCGGAGATCCGCTTTTTCTTCTATTCTCAAGCAATTCTCTGGCAGAAAGGCCGAATAGTCGGTGAAGCCGGCGAAACCAGAAATGCCGAATGATGTGGAAAATGCAATCGAGTAAACCAAAAGGGCAAAATTAAATGGAATTACTGTTTTAATTTTTATGTATGAGTATTTCTTAATAAAATAAATTTTGCGTTTGTTAATAAAACAGGAAACTTAGCAAAAATTTTCTCCAATATATAAAATATAAAAATTAGATTGCCAATTGATGGTTGGCATTCATCATTTTTGGCTTGGCTCGCTCCATTAGCAGCCGTCAGTAAATTGAAAGCGGGACATTGGCGAGAGAGTCGCTCAGAAGCGGAAATACAAGTGGACCCCCTCTTCTTTTTCTTTTCCCTGTACTACAAATTAAAACGAAAAACAAACATAATTATTTGTTTGCTTTTGTCGGAAAAATCGGTTGATTAATATGTAAATCGGTGCACAACGCAAGCAATTCGATAACATTTATTTATTTGCTAAAATAATCTTCCGAGGAGGATTAAAGACGTTTTTTCTTGCTTTTTTTAGTTGAAATTACAATTATAACTGTGAATCGATTTCGATTTGATATTTATTCGTGAGGAACAACGCCGTAACGTTTTGAATTGCCTAAAAATATTCGGCAAATAATAAATTTCGACTGCTGGAAAAAGAGTCGATTCCTAATTCTTGGAACCATATAAAACCTTAAATAAATCCATTAATGAGGATTGAAGAAACTGCAAGTCGAATTCTCTCTTCGCTCGCTGCCAACTATCACTGCTGAAAGTCGCTGAGCAATTCGTCGAGAAACTTTTTTAGTAATTTTGTTTAAAAAAATTTTACAAGAAATTCTAGAAGAATTTTTAATAACGCAAACTCGATGTTGCGTTTTGACCATTACAGTTAGTTATTCTCTTTAACGACCGAATAATTTTTATTAATAAAGATTAAAAGAAAGCATTTAACTATGCTGAAAATAATTTTAGGATTTATTCATAAATGAGAATCGTTCGCGGACGGAAAATCACTTGGAGACAGACTGAGATTCGCTACTTCGCTATTTAATAAAAGATGTCCATCAAGGAAAAGGCACCGACTCTCGCTATTATCAACTTTTCTTAACGAGATCAACTATGATGGCTCGCTATTATCAACTTTTCTTAACGAGATCAACTACTATTAATGGCTTCGACATAATGAGGCAGAAATATTCTCTGCGATCATTATCATAATCATTATCACTACGATCTTTTATTCTCACAAAATAAGATTCTATGATCATCCATCCCGTCGTTCAAATGAATATCGGCAAGCATCAAAATACTGCTGAAGGATCAAATCTCCTCCTTCAAAGCAATTAGCGAATATTAGCGATTTTTTATTAAAAAAATAAATAAAATACAAGCAGAAATATTAGTGTGAAAAAGCACATACTAGTGCAAATAAAGTGATTAAACGGATTCGGTAAAATACCAATTTAATAAAATTCAAAAAAAAGGAAAATAAATGGATTATCATTAAACACAATGGCGTGTTTCCAATGTATTTTTCATGCGAACAAATTAACGATAAATTTCTTTTTCGAATTTTCCGATAATTTTAGAGTCGAAAATAACGATCCGTGTAATTGAAACCATTTTTCTTTCTTCTTCTTTCTGCTTCACAACATGAATAATCATGGAATTTCTTAAAACTGAATACAGTTTACGAAATAACAATCATCATTTGTGATTTGGTTGGCATCACTGCTTTGAGATTTCTTTGCCAAAGAGCGATTCGATGGCATAAGATTATATATATGTGAAACTCAAGAGCGACAGGGTTTTTACCCAGCAGGTGCCAGCATATCTCCCAATCTCGAGAAAATTATATCGACCTTTAGAAATAAGGCATCCAGAAAAAGCTTTAGTAGCAAAAAAATGTTAAAAATTCATTTTTTATCAATTTCCATTTCGAGCGTCAATCGTGCGTGGTGATAAAAATAAAATTATTAACGAATAAAACAAGCAGAAAAGCGGAAAAATTTAAAAAGATTTTAAATTAAAGATGAATAAGAAATTACATAGGTTTGTGGAAATTATCCGCAAAATGCCGGAAATATATTTAAAAGGCTTAGAATAACTAAGAAATGTCTATTTAACAATTCATTAAAATATAATTCCTGGAAAAAACTATGAAATTCATATTTTACGAAATGAAAAAAAAGTTCTTTTCGAAAACTGCAAAAAAATTCAAATTTGATTTAATTTTCAAAAGAAATTACTTCTAAAATTAATTATAATCATTATTGGAAAAAATATACTTGCGATAGTGAATAAAAATATTTATCGAAAATTACAATTAACGATAATAAATGAAAATAATTATTGAACACATTCGAGGTGAGCGATTGTGCTTATGGAGACTGTTTAGCCAATAACTTCCGAAAAAAATGCGAATATGGTTACGGGAAGAGGTTAATAAAAAGAGCGGATGTAGGCGAAGGACGAGCAGTTAGTCAATCCCCAAAAAAACATAGCTCCTGCTGGAAGCCATTCACTGCACAATTCGGTTGGGCTTACAAGAAGTGGGGTGATGATGGCGTTATTTCCATCGCTATATGACTTCCTGGAAAAAAATTTCTAACTGCACTATCAGCTAATGGAACCAGTGGAATCAGAAGTGGTGAATGCTATCCACAACAATATTTAAAGTATTTAAAAAAACATTATTACTTTGAAATAATTGCAATAAAATTTTATTAATTATAATAAATTTTACGACTCAAAAAAATATGTAGAAAAACATATTAAGACAAAAAAATTTTTTCAAATTTTTTTGATGGCATAATAACTGAATTGTTTTTTAGTACCAATGAATGCTGAGAGTAGCATGAGCTCAGACTCTCTTCGTTTGACAGAAGCAAACCTGTTATTATTATCAAAATTCAGGTAGTTCTTATGGACCTCTATCCCCAAGCGCCTCCACCACTCATTACGAGTGAAACCGATGCAGTTATTAAAAGAAAAGTTAATTTCACCCAATAAATCATGCCAATATAGATTGACAATATTGCATCAGTAATATTGAAATAAATAATTCAAAAAAAAGAACGATCATAAAAAATAAGGTTTAAAGAATGATAAGGTTTTAATCGAGGAATTTTTTTCTGGGCCACTGATAAATGATATGAAAAAAATCGATTAAATCGATCGACACCGACACCAAAATCAATAAATGAATAAATTAACAAAATGAATTATCGGTAATAAAAAATAATTTCCTTTTTTAGAAAAAAAAAACTCTTAGAAAAAAAAGAAGAAAAAAGCTCGCATGATTAGTGCTTTGTCCAAGGATGAGATATTTCGGTGCAATGCGACATCTGAGAATCCATCCCTTTTTTAAGGGTCTAAGGTCACACATAGTTATGCGTTGAAAATCTTTCCCACAAGATTTGGCGTCGATTCTGAGAGCCCGCGCAGGTCTGAGCAGGCTAGGATGGCATTCAGACTGCAGCCAAAGGCCAGCGGTGAAAGCAGCGGCGAAAAAAGCTGGCGCCCGACAGTTCTATTATGAACATAACAGTAATTTTATGAGATTTCAATATAACACTATTCGGATTTGGGCATATATTAAGTTAAAACAAAGTTTTAGATAAAGCGTTTTTATTCGATTTCAGAAAAATCAACATTTCAGCATTTTGGAGCACCTTGAGATGCTCTCTGATTTGAGGAAACATCTATTGCAAAATTGCCCAGATGACACATTCGTTGAAGGTTTTTGAACTGTACTGGCCAGGAGCGGAACTGCACTGAGCTTCATCCTTCATCCATCCTTTTCATTCCACGCTTAAATGTACTATCTTCTCATTGTCTTATTCATGAATGAATGCCGGGCCGGCAATTCATCAATGAATCCACAGTTTTGGCTCGTTTTGAATTTCTTAATCATTCAGCAAATGAGTCAGTACCACTAAAAATTATTGCGTTGAATTAGTGGCTGGAGAAATAGAAAATGAAACATCGAAGTGCACAACTTTCTTTCTAACAGCTTTCACTGCCACTGGCTAAACTGGTTGCACTGGTTAGGCTAAAACGTCACCAAGCTGTTCGACGCTGTCGCTGAAACTCATTGAAGCCATTCATTTTTCAACCGCCCAAGTCCACATATCGTTTTCTTTATTTTTTTGATTGTAAAAAAGAAAAACTTTTCGTTGTTTTTACAGATTTTTCTGATTTTTCGTCAGTTTTCTCGTGGTTTTTGTGCTTCCCAATTTGTCAAAAATTAGTCTTGAAAAGAAATTCAATACTCTGTAGAAATTTCATCAATTTTAATTATATCAGCGAAATTTAGAAAAAATTGGGGGTATTTGCGGTTGTTAATTGCTGGGAAAATTTTTTTCCTATTTCTTTCAGCATCAACCATTTCTAATTTGGTTAATTGCTTAGAACCATTTCGCTAAAAATTCATGTAGGGAGGCAAGCATAGATGAGCCAGTCCTCCTCCTCTCTCACTCAGTTCAGAGAAGAAAGCATAGATGAGCCAGTCCTCCTCTCTCACTCAGTTCAGAGAGGAAAGCATAGATGAGCCAGTCCTCCTCTCTCACTCATTTCAGAGATGAAAGCATAGATGAGCCAGTCTTCTCTCACTCAGTTCAGAGAGGAAAGCATAGACAAGTGTCCTTTATTTCAGTTAATGCTAAAAAATATTTTATTAAACTGTATTATTTTTGCTTTTTATTGATTTATAAAATTATTGTTCATAAAAATTTTAATTTAATTTTAATTTTTTTAGCAACGTCATTCTTAAAAATTCGTTTTTGTAGATATAAGGCGATGTACCGACGGGTTACGACAGCACCACATCAGTCTGTGAACGTAATTTTTTTATTAAACGTAGAAAATTTTTACCAAAAATTTCATTTCTCGGTTTATTTATTTATTAGAATAATTAGGTTCTTATTCATATACACATTTGATTTATTTACTTTATTTACTTTGTTTATTAGAATTATTTACTTTGTAAAAGTTGATTTAATAAAGTTATTTGTTTCTTAGAGGTTTAAAAGGTTCAAATATTATTATAAAATATTAAATTTCAATCTTTTTTTTGTGTTTTTGGTGGAAATTGCATTTGTTTTCGTTTTATTTATGTTTTAAATTTTATACAAAGTATTACTCATGATTTTAAATATTATTTGAATTTCTTTGTTGTCCTTCATCTTTGATCTTTATAATGATTCAGGCGGATGCAAATTCTCTTAAACCACCGAAAGCACCTGAACGACCACTCGTACCATATATGAGATTTAGTCGAAAAATGTGGGCAAAAGTATCTAATTTTTTCTCTCATTTTGCTATATAATTATTTTTGCTTTTTGAAATTTATTTTAAATATAAGCAATTATTTGTATTGCAATTTATTAAGGTTCGTGCTGAAAATCCTGAAAGTCAGTTATGGGATATCGGTAAAGTGATTGGACAGATGTGGCGTGATGCCCCAGAGACTGAAAAACTGGCATATCAGCAGGTTAAATCTTAAGTGAATTTTCTTCTTTTTAACATAATTCTTCATAATGAAATTTTCCTGTATTGATATTCATTACGAAAAATGAATGTTTTAATAATTCTCTTATAGTTTTATCTTATAAGAATATATTTTAAGGAATATGAGATAGAAAAAGCAGAATATGAAAAGGCATTGAAAAATTATCATAATTCATCGGCTTATCAACAGTATCTTACCGCAAAAAATCGTGCCAAAGTGGCAGATAAGTCCAATACTGTTGGTGGAGTAATTGCAAGCAGTAAGTTATTTGAAATTGGTTATATTGTAATACTTCTAGAACAATCCAGAATAGTTCATTTGCAGTCGTTCCGTGCCAGATTATTACTATTGGTACTATTCGTCTCGTCTAAACTCAATATGATTATTTATACCTTTAGCGGAAGATCATCATATAAAAGATAAAAAATTTGGCGCTTTAGCCATAAAGACAGAATCTTAATTGAAACATAGAATGTAAAGATATGGTCGATATTTTGTAATCATATTATTATAATTATATTGATAAGCATTAGTTATTAGGTTATTGAAATATTTCAGGTAATCGAGCACGTTATGAATCTGGTGGTGTTGTATTGCAACCAGTAGAAGATGAAGAACTCGGTGATATTTCTTCAAAACGTGTTGCTGCTATGCGGTAATTTGTTTGCGTGTAAATTTTATTTAATTTTTTATTAATTAATGATGTAAATTTTGTCCTCTTAGTTTTGATCGGAATCACCGATTGATTGCCGATTTATTCAGTGGCACTGTAGTCACAGATACACGAACAATTGTGGCACAGAATCGAGTGGACATGCTTAGAAAACAAGCGCAATCACTTACCACTCATCAAGTTGCTTTTTTTTGTAATTTTTATTAATCAACAAAATATTCCTATATATAAATGTAATTAACCATTATTAACAAAGTTTTGGAAATTTTTAGAGCAAATTGGAAGACGAACTCAAAAATTTAAGTGAAGTTTTCGAAGCGAAAAAACGCCAAATCGAAAAATCATCTGAAGAATTTGCAAATAAATTAAAGAAGGCTTGTGAGGAAAAGCCTCAAGTGCGTCTTAAAATTTCATTCCTCACGTTTTTATATTCCAAGTTATTCTTTATATTTGCTCTTTTCCTATAGTTATCAATTCAAAGCTTTTCGGATTTCTCAAGAACTTTTTGTTCAGAAATATTTACGTTGTAAGGTTGGAAGGTTTTTATTCATATATAATGAAGTTAACGATTTCAGTTTGATAATGCAGCAACCGAAAATTTAATCAAGACGTGGGAGAAAAGGCTGTTGACTGCATATGAAGAATACAAAGCAAAGCAAGAAGCATTAAGGGCACAAAAAAGTGTTTTATTCATATTTATTCATTTGTTGAAAAATTTTATTATTTTCTATTACAAAATATTTTGAAATTCATCAATTTATTTAGAACTTTCCATTTTATCCTTTTATTTTATGTTTGATTTATTTTTTTGTTTATATTAAGAGAAAAAAGAAATAACGCTAGATTTTTATTAATTTTTAGTTGTGGAGCGAGAACATTTGGTAGAAGAAACTCCTATTTTGTATAGGTTAACTGTGGGTGATTCATCTCCGTCACCAAATGAACAAAAGACATCCCAGTCACCAGAAACTACAACAAACGATTCAGCAAATGAAAAAACTGAATCGACCATGTCTTCGAATATAGTTCCATCTATCGGAGATGAAAGTGTAGAATCATCCTAATTAATTTTCACGTTATAAACACTGTTTCAAACTGTTTTAGAGCAAGTTGAAAGAACTCAAATTTAAGCGAAGTCATGTTTATTTGTAAAAAAAATGCTTTTAATATCGTATTGGTTTGTGTTTTTTCAATTTATTCCTATTATTTTCTCTGTTCTTCCTTAAAAAATTGGTTTTGGTTTCTGAAACTGTGGAAACATGAAAAAATTGATACCTTATTTGATGTGTTATCACGTTTCGTACATTTTTTATCTTGTTTTTAGCAAACAAAGAGATTTTTTAATAACTTCAAATAACTTCAAAAATGTTTATAATTTTTTGTTTTCAGAAATTTTTGGAATTCAGAATTTTTTATTAGATTTTAACAAATTAACAAGTTATTTTATAAATTTATTTATTTGTTTTTATCATGCTTAAATAATTAAATAGAAATAAATCATTCCACTCTACAGTAAAGTAATAAAATAAGAAATTGGAAGAATTTTGGTTTGTTTTCAATTGTTTGACAATTGTTCAATGACCATGAAATTCCAAAAGAATTAGGGTCGTAATCGTAATCTCTTTAGGCTATAGCGTTGTGTTTATCGAAAATTTGGTTTTATATCTATTTTAATTTAAGAAGAAAGGGCTTGGCAAGGAAAATTTAGTCAAGCTACTAAGTAATAAGGAAATAGTTAATTTAAATGAATAAGTAAAGATATTGAGGAACAAAGGTCAGTTACTCAATGAATTATAGGGAAATTGAAAGAACCCAAAAATTTTAGCGAAGTCGTGGCTAAAAAAAATTTGAGTGGAACGGTGAAAGTAGTAAAAAGAAAAAGAAAATTGGCTGGAGCTTGTAATCTAGATAAACAATTGTTGCCATCTAGTTTTAATATATTCCCATTAAATACGGCATTACCTTGTGAATATTTTCGTTATGTTAACTGCCATTAATAATTTTTGCGATTTCGTCTAATTTTGTGTGTGTTGTCCAGCAAAATTGTTGAGTTTGGACTTTTTACAAGTAATTTCCAATATTGTTTTTATTTCTTTATACAATTCTTTGCTGACTGCTTTGCTGATAAACGACTATTTTTTCACTATTGTTTTTAATTTACTTCGGTCTTCATTGATCATTATTCGAACGGAATTATATTGTGTTATAATGTTCTGTGCTCGTGAATCTGATTTTCAGATGTGGACTTCGTGGGACTTGAATCGATATCTCTGACAGCTCAAGTTCAAAAATATTGTGTTTATTAATTGGTGGCTGTTTAGAAATATTGTTGAATTTGTTGATGGCAATACTGGGACTTGACGAATTTCTTGATAGGAATTCAGCGAAGAAAATTGCTTTAGTAACCGTTAGTAACCTTTTTGTTTTACAAATACATTTGGTGCAATTGACGTTATATGTTTTGATATGTTTTTATATGGGTTTAGAGTGGTGGTACTAAAGTGCCTCTTGAAAAGAATACTGTTCGCTATATCGACAATTTTTCACTGGGCAATAGAGGTTCTGCAAGCGCTGAGTAATTTTTATCAAAATTTTCACTAATTCAATGCGAATTCCAATGAAAGTTATTTTGTTTTTAGAAAAAAAATTTTCTAATTTTGTTATCTAATTTTGTTTCAGTAACTGAATCCGACAAAAATGTAATTTTTTATTCAACAAATATTAATTTCAAAAAATTATTTTCAAAGCTATAATCATTTTATTTTAATGATGAAAATGAAAATCAAAAAGGCTCGTTAATTTAACCTTTCAAGATTCAAATTTAGATATTTCTTAAAGTCGCAATATGCAGTAATTTTCTTTCACCGGGATAACTCTCTGAAACCATTCAGTAGAAAATATAAAGAATTATTTTACAATCTCAAAATAGATACGGATGGTGCGGTTAAAGGTAATTTCAATATTTTTTTTATTTTTTGGTTCATATTTTAATTCAATTCATTCGGGCAATAATTTCAAAAAAGGCCGGGAACAAAGGGAGTAAACGAGAAATTGTGGTGAATAATATCGAATGGTATGGTCGGTCAAAAGTATTGCATATTGTACTGGTGATAAAAGTCATTTTTACGATCCTTGCCTTTAGTTTAATCATTGAAATGTCATAATTTTCATTTCTTAATTGTATTTTTATTAGGTCATAATTTCAGTCGAACATATTGATGGATTGTCAGATGCTGTAAGGCTATATCACGAATCCAAGGACTGCTTGTTCTTCATTCCATTTGACACAGTTATGCAATATTTATCATTACTGCGAGAAATATGTTTGCGGTTACAGCCGATGAAGTCATCTGTTCTTATTTATTTATCCGCAGCTGTTTCTGATTTCTATGTTCCGGACGAAGATCTTGTAATTTTGCAACTTTATTTTTAATTTGGCGATTCTTTTCGAATGTCTGTCTATCTTGTATTTCCAGCTTTTTTTCGTCATTTATTTGTAGTTTCTTTAAGAAAGTGATACAAATGGATCATTATTATGGTGTTAAAGAAACGAGGTTCTATATTTGAAAATATTTTAACCTTTAATTTATCAATTTTTTTTTCAATTTATTTTTAAAAGTTGTGCTTTAAATAAATGGAGAATATTTTCGAACATCCGTAATAGAAAAAAATCATGCTTATTTAACTTTCCATTTTAGCCAACCCATAAAATTCATTCAAATAAAGGTACTTTTAACCTCACGATGAACATTGTTCCGAAAATACTCGGTTGCTTAGTAGAATTATGTTCCGAGGCATATATTGTCAGTTTTAAGGTATTTTACTTTTTTATTTTTGCAATCTTTAGTTATGTTAATACTTTTTTTTCAGAATTCGAAAAGAATAGATCTTTTTCTATTTTCAAAGAATTCTTTTCATGATAGATAATTATTTCAGCTAGAAACGGACGAATTAGTACTTGAGGCCAAAGCACGTGAAGCTCTTTTAAAGTACAAACATCAGGTACAAATATTTTTTTATACTTCTTTAAAATATTTTTTCAAAGTACTTGAATAATTTGGTAAACAGCTGTTTTAGGCATTAGACAAATTTTAAGTCCTGTTTTATTACATTTCCTTCATTTTATTTTATCAATATTTGATTTTTTTGATAATTTGTTATGCATGATAATTTTTTCTCGCTATTTGAATCTTATAAATTTAATAAACAAAAATAAAATGTTGTAACAAAAGCAACGAGCGAAATGTCACAAAAAATGAGTTGTTTCGGCCTAATAAATCTGTTTCAAATACTTATGGGCCTCTATATAAACCTGGACAACATAAATAGAATGTGAAGCAAAATAATCTCAATTAAATTTTTTGTTTTTGATATTAAATATTTGATATTTGATATAAAAAAAAAGAACTATTTAAGAATTATTTCATGGACATTGAATAATTGTTTATTTTTAAATTTTCAGTTAGTGATCGGTAACATACTTGACACAAGAAATAAAAAAGTCATTTTCTTCAACAAAGATACAGAGGAGGAAATCAAATTGACGAAGGAACAACAAGAAAATTGTGTGGAGATTGAAGATCTCATTATCAGCAAACTTGTCAAAGAACACGCTAATTTTATGAAGCGACAGTAATCATGATTTTTTGCATCTTATTTTGATTTATTTGATAATTTGTGGTTCATTAGTTTTATTATATGGACTTGAAGAGTATTTCGAATCCAACGATGCAAATTTCTATAAAGAAATTTTAGATCGATATTGTACTGTATTTTGATTCAGATTTCTGATAACTATGCGATATTATTAACGCCTATCACTTAAAATATGCATTTAAACATAGTTTCTTTGTACAGATGAACCTGTCATTGACTGTTGTTCATAGATTTTTTCACATTTTTTCAGTCTCGACTTTGAAGCATACCATATAATTCTTAATTTAAAAAATTGATAAAACATCAAAATATATTAATTAGTTCAAAAAAATCAAAATTTCCATTTTAAATCAATTCCATTTCAAAATCAAAATTACAAAATATTTTTCGATAAGAAATATCGCTAATCATTTAAAAATATGTTTCCTTTCTAAACGAAATTCTGTGGTTGATTACGAGAACGAATAAAATTTTACATATCTCGTATAATTTTCTGACGAAAACAAAGTGCAATAATTCTCAAATTTAAAAAAAGCTAGATTTGGAACCATCATTATACATGTTGTATGCCAATTATGGCAATATCGATGCCTTTAACGATCGAGATTTATCCAGCAATAGGGGCATTCTAAAACCAATAAATTTATTAAGATGATCAAATGGATCGTTAGAATTCATGCTGTGTTAATTTAAAACATTCAATATTAATATTAAAAATTACTAATTCCAAACTTATTTCTCAAATAACACTTAATGAATTTTAATTTTGTTAGGAATTTGAAAAACCTTAGGAAACATGCTATTTATTCCAATCTCATGCGATCAAAAATATTCTTTCCAAACCGATAAACCGATATATACTTCAATTTTAAAGCATGCTTCACATGAATAATTTAAATAGATTGATCAAAAAAAATTATTGAGAAAGTGCAATAAATCGCACAGAGAAAATGATAATGTAACATTTCTATTAGCAGATTAAATGAAAAAGAGCATTTAAACAAATCTTAAGCTAAATTACCCTGCAATATTCGATAGAAGCCTGAAAGAGGAAGGAAATGATAAATTCAAAGTTAATCAGGTTATTAGGTCAAAAAAACTATTTCCCTATATTCTTAAACTTCATGGAAGCCACAATTAACGATTATTTTTATATATTTTCGCATCTTTTTAAACTTTTTCTATTTTTCGAATATTTATATTTATGCTTCCATTTAATAAAGATTTTGTAAGATATGAACTATTTTAAAAGAATAATCCAACGAAAGATATATAAAATTTCATATAAAATTGATGAAAAATTAAAAACAAACCTTGATATCCCATAAAGCGATAAGACCATCGATACCACATGTAGTGAATTTTTGTATATTCTGTTGACGACCAGAATGAGGTAATATTTGCCTAAACACTGAAGATTAGAAAAGATTATCTAAGTATATCAGTTTGCATTAGCCTATTTCAATCTTTAAAAATATTTCAAATCAGACTCACTTTCCTTAACTTAAATTTTAGGTTAAGGCGAAATTCATTAAAAATAAAACATTTCTTAACATGCTTCTTAAGATCTTAATAGAATCAAGAATCAAGACAGAAGAGATAATGCTTCAGTGGAAATACTAGAAATATTTACATTATGGCATTCTGATGAAGTGTTTTTAATTTAATGTTTAAGGCTTCGGAAGCAGCGTTTCGATCAATATTACGGAATTTTTGCATAGCACTGTTGGTGTTAGTTGATTTCTGCTCAGAAGGTATATCCAGCTTTGTCACGAACTTAAGAGTCTCATTTGTATACATAAATAACATTGGCGTAGAGTCATGGCCCTGAAATTCCCTAAAATTTATAAAACAAAATAAAATAAATAAAAACAAAATAAAATAAAGGCATAATTTAGAATTTTGAACCATAATATAACCATAATATGAAGCTCAAATAATCTCAAAACCAGAGTTTTTTCCAGATCGACAATGTTTCAGAAAAGAATGGTATCGTCATAAATTTTTTAATTAAATAAAAATCTCAATATTTGAAATCTCAATATCATTTTGATTCAAATTCGAAGGTATTGCTAATTAACTGCAAATTTAGGATATTACTTAATCTGTAGTTGTAATAATGGCACAATAAATGTGATTATGTTTTTTTACTTAACAGTTATCGTTTTTTTAATATTCTATTTTTCTCTTTGGATATTACAGAATTCAGCAAAAACCTTTTTTACTTTAGAAAAAGCTAAGAAGGAAATATGGAAAAAAACCTTACTGCAGCTATTACACTATTTTCAGTTATCCACTGAACAGAAGTAAAAGGAAGAAAAGGTGTATTTAAGACAATGGGTTCATCCAATGAATGATTTGTATCGATCAGGCAGATCGACGATCCATGATCAACATATATAAGGCGACAACCTGATGGTGAAAATGCAACATGATGCACCCATCCCAAGTTTTTCACCTATAAACAAACAAAAAAAGAAACTAAATAAAGGAAAATAATTCGATGGTTAACTCATTTTAAAATAAAAATGTTTCAAACTGAAAAATGGAAAATTACCTCACAAAGTAAAGTACCAAATGGCATCTTCATTCCCCATGGATTAGGAGTAGGTTTCTCATCGACTTCCTTTACATATGCCGAGAAAACACGAGTCTGGCATAGTTAAACGTTAAAACAATATAAAAAATTAGCCTCTTAATGTATACAAGAATATAATCAAAAATCTAATAATTTTCTTCACCTTCATATCACAAGCTCCTACTGCTAAAATTATATTGTCAGGATGCCAATCAATACAAGTAACAGTAGAGCGCAGAGGCTTTTTGATTTGTTTCGAAATCCACCAATCGTTTTCTCTTCCATAATAACAAACTGAGACCAATTTTTCACTACTTCCAACAGCAAATTTATTTTCTACAATTTTTAAAAAACCATTAATTTCAATATCTGCTGCTCATTCAATCTATCTGGAGATCAATCTGCTGATTAATCTATAAAAAATTCTGGTCTCTTCAGAATTTTATTTCGACTTTAAGGGACAAGGCCATTAGAATAAAAAATGAAATCTACCTACCAAGTGGTGACCATTTAACACAAGTTGCAGCACGATTTATCCGAACCAAAACAAGCTCTGGTTTCCAGTTGGTTCCATCAAATGTCCAAACATAAGCACTTTTATCCTAAACGAAGAAAAGAAGATAGAATAAAAGATAAAATAATGAAGATAATTGCCTATTTCTCTATGACAATAATTCGGTATTTTCAAAAAAAACCTCTAGATTGTAACAGCAAAAAAAATTTATTAATTCATAAAACATATTAAAAAAATTAGCAATTTGGTTTTGCAAATAGGCTTATGATACTAAAATTTGAAGATTTGAACGAAAATTATGATACTATAATCTAAAACAATAAAATCTAATATTTCATGAGCAAAAAACATTTTCTCTCAGGCAATTTCCTCAAATTAGTTGTTGGATAAATCCAAAAAATAAACTACACTAAAAAAATGCTGTGTGAGTATTTCTTAAATAATGCGATTTTTCAAAACTGCGAATGTTTCGTGGTTAATCTCCTCTATCAAAAATGTCGCTATATCTTTTCTTACTTTTCTAAACAATCTCGTCAATCTCGTCAAAAAAAAATAAAATAAATATTTGCCTAGTAACATATAAGTATTCGTTAACTATGAAAAAATCTCTGAAATGATAACAGCTCTGATCTTTGAGTCAACTTATCCACATTGCTCTGCGGTCATTTCGTTCATTGTGATTAATTTTGTTACAATATTTTCTAAATTTATCACTTGGTTTGCTAAAATAGACTAAAACTTATACCAACTATGGTTATCAATTCATGCGGAAAAGACTGTGCTTCCTTTTCCGACTATATTTTACCTTTCGGTTTTTTCTGTTCTAAATCGACAATTCACCTCAGTGCATATATTTAAATATTTATACTTTTGTTAGAGCTTTGCACCGCAGAAGAAAAAATTAGAGAGAAACAGAATATTAAATGAAATTGATCATATGATCTTAACTGACGCACCTGCGAGCATGAAACAATACGATTTGTATTTGGAGCCCAATCCAAACCAGTAACTGGTAAGTCGTGTTCTTTTAACAAATGAGTTAATTTCCACTGACCTTGTTCCCAATGAAAAATATGAATTTCATTACTTGACGGTGAAACAGCAATACCTCGAATAGAAATTTGATATATCATAACCATGAATAACATATAATTTTGAAAACTGGAAAATAAATGAAAAATTTATGATAAATTTTTGTGCTAAAATTTAAAATGAAACCAACAAGTTCTATCTTTATTCCAAGCGTGACACGTTATTGGGCCGATACCAAAATTCCAGTGTTGAACAGGAAATGAAGACATTCTCAGGGTCCTAAAACAGATCACTTATCTTACTTTGCTTTTAACAGCACTCATTATTTATCGTTTCCACTTAAAAGCATAGCAGAGGACAGGCGACACCACCAAAACTTCGCCCTTAATAACAGCTTTTTAGTCTCCGCTGTAGAGCAAAATCAGCCTTATTTAAGCAATTTATTTAATAAAATTGCAAAAATTACGAATAAATATCAAAAGAATTTAAGCCTTTTAACGTTGACTTTTCGCAAAACTAATTGGAAGAATGTCAAATAATAAAAAGCTCAAAATAATTAATAAAACGCTAATGAATCTATAAGAATGACGAATTCATTTAAAATTTACCGAATTTTTTTAAAAAAGCTTTTTCAGTTAGAAAATAATTTTAGCGAATATAGGCGAAGAAAAAAACCAGTTTTTTCCGTTTTAAAAACTGCGAAATTATGGAAAATAGTAAATTTAAACATGAAAATAATTAAATAAATACATTAAATAAATACATTAAATAATTAATTTAAATAAAGCAGTAGTTCTCTACTACAAACAATTATGAAAACCTGGAAAAAAACAAAGGGACTCACTTTTTAAAATTAGTTCCATGCGAAAATAACAGCCCAGTTGAGTAAAAAGGTGGCCTTTTATGATTTAAAATAAATCGCACGAAATAAGTACGGCCCAGTAGAGTAAGAATTGTGGCCCTTAGTAATATTTTATTGGAATGACGAAAGAAAGAGCATTTTAAGTATTGATCTAAAAACACTGAGTATTAATTAATTTCGGAACAGTTTCCGCTGAAGTCAGCACCAGCATCCAGAGCGACCGTCGCTATTCGTAGACTCGATAACGCCGCAATTTTCACGCTTCAGTCGTAGCATTTGCAATCTGCATTTTAGCATAGCAGCCGATAACATTTGCTGCTATTATTTCAATGGGCAAGTGGGTCGAAGATGTGGAAAGGCGAGGGAGACAGAAGTGATTTTTCAGGTTTTCTTTATTGGAAGCAATAACTGAGAAATCGCCACCAATAAACCGAAAGCATTCATTGCATTATTTAGCGAAAGTTCATCCTTTCCGTCCGTTTAGCCATATTTAATGCTTTTCGTACTTCCGCTTTCATTGTTTTTATAATTTTTTTTGATTTGCATTGTTGCAATTCGCTTGTTCATTAGCACAGAAATATGTCTGTCCATCGGATTTTTTAAATAAGTGAGTGAAAAGCTAATTCTTAAACGTTTTGAAATTTGAGGCATTTGAAAATTTTCTAATTAACATTGTTTTAATTCACTGGGAATACTATCAGATTTAAGCAATGCGACGTATCGGAGAGGAAGCGAGGTAGCCGAGTGGCCTTCGCCTTCGTAGGCTTTCCTATCAGATGTCCTTGCTTCTACTTCCCAAATATGCATCTATGGCTAAAAATCCGTCTTTTATAACGACCTATCTATTTACTAAGAAACAAGGTTTTCCCACTAAATCCAGCTACTAAATCTTGGGTCCTAGAACGATTATACGAATTACGGTATTATTTTAACGGTTATGCCGCACATGCCGCAAACATTGAATTTTATTCATTATTTCATTAGCACGTTTAGATTTTGTTACTTATTTGTTGAATGCCTAAGGAACGTGGAATAAATATTTAGCAAGTGTACTAGGGTGGGTACAAATATTTCTTTAGATCGCCATTCTCTAATTTGGCTACCTTCACTGGCAACTAACGCACTTCCAAATCTCCCAACCCTGGACCTGAAGTTAGCTATTTCTTAAGTTACATAAGTAAGCGTATTCATTTTAAATTTTTCCAATATCAAGAATTTTCAGAATTTTCAAAATTATTTTTGTTTTCTATTTTTTTATTTATTATCTCCTCTGTCGATTAATTCATTTATTTTACTTTTCGTTCTAAAATTTCGTCTTAAAATTTATTTTAATTACTCACAATATTTTAATATTTTTTTTTCTTCATAAAAAATTTGGTTCCAACTTTTTTCGTTGAATGAAATTTATTTTATGGTTTTATTTTAATTTTAATTTTACTCCAGGTGAATAACTTTCTATAAATATTTATTTAAGGAACGAGGCTTATAGGCTTATTCTCCTTCTGAGCATTCCTGTTTCTCTTTTAATGGCTCCTATTATCTCTGGTTTTACTGGTATGTTCTTAGTTTTTTATTCAGTTGCATTTCAGAGAGAATGAATTTAAAAAAAAGAAGGGACATGCAGTGATCTTTATCTTTAATTGCAAGTAATTCGATAATTTTTAATTTTAATCTTTCATCTTCACTTTTACGGCCTCTTTTTTCTTCTAATTATTGTCATCTTTTCAGGTAGCTTGTCCCCAGTCTGATTTATTGAAAATATTTACTCATAAAAATCATTAAAATGTCCGAATTTATCGACAATCAAGCTGAAGAATCTGAAAATTCTGGTAATACGACGGACACTTCAGTGGAATCAGATGATGAACCAAGAAAAGCAAAACGCGCTAGAAGAGATAAGAAAGAGCGACAACGCAAAAAACGAAAAATCGAAAGGTTAGTTGAAAGAAAAAAGGGAAAAATTTTAGATTAAAAATGTATATAAATTCATAAATTTGCATTTGTGAAATTGAAAAATTCGGAGAAAGTTTGGTAGTTTGGTACAAATAAAAGAACAAATATCATATTTTGAAGTGATGACGATGATGATGATGATGAAGAAGAGGAAGATGATGAAGCGCGTATAAAAAAAGAAATGGCTGGATTTGTTGTAGATGAAGACGAAGAGATTGATGAAGAAGTCGATGATAATGAAGTTAGTTAGCGCTTATTTGACTTAAATTTTTATCTGATCTATTTTATGTAATGGAATCGGGAAAGTTAGTAAATTCAATTAATTATAGGATGACGATAAAAGTGATAATGAGAAGGATGATGACATGGAATTGGATGAAGAAGATCTAGATTTATTGCATGATAATCTTGATATGCAACAACGTCATATTGGGGGTCGCGTAGTTATTGAAAGTGATGAAGAAGAAGATGATCGTGAACGAATTAAAAACAATCTCTTCACTGAGGTTTGTATTGCTTATTATTTCAAAGAACATTTATTGAAAAAAAAATTTGTCGAATTATCCTCAAGGACAAAACTCATGTTTCTTGACTTTATTCAAAGCAAGATTCGACTCCAGCAAACGTCTTGAGTAGACTTTTTCATTTTCCACTATTAATAATTTGATGTTGAGGTTAAACCAGCTATTTTAAGGACACTTTGGGTGAGGATGAATCTGAACGTCAGGCACTAGAACGCGAACATTACGAAAGAAGTGAAGAATCGGGTTCTGAATCAGGTCATTCTGGTATGTCCTAGAATATGAATTCTGAAAAAATAAATTTTTTTAAAATTATTGGTAACATTTTTTTTGCATTTCATTTGAATTCATTTTCCAGAAGATGATTTCATAGTAACAGATGATGGAAGTTCGGCGAGGCGGAAGCATCGTCGTCATCATTTATTTCCTGGAATATCCCAGCAAGCTGTTGAAGATGCCCGTTGTATATTTGGAATAGATGATTTCAGTTCTGCTTATGATGCAGTTCTCGAGGTAATTTCAGCTTTGTCGTAAATTTTTCTGCTTCATTTCTTTTTTTTTCTTGTTTATGATAGTTATTTACCATCATGTTTTTTTATTTTTAAATTAAGTTTTGTAGAGTGAATTTTTGTTAGAATAAATTTTTTGTTTAAAATAGTTTTTGTTTAAAATTGAATTTTCGTCAAGAATAGAAATATTAAGGTAAAAAAATTTTTTCTAAATATAGTTATTCAGAAATTATATTTTTAATTCATTTACAGCCAAGCGATGAGGAAGATGAATATCCTGATGATCGCGAGGAAGGTGAAAGTGATGCAGAACGAACTCCTCGCAATCGAATACGCGAGAAGAAAGCTACATTATTGGATACAATTGAGCCAGCTGAATTAGAAGAAAAATTGCTATCTGCAAATGATAAAAAAATTCAGTTGGAAGATCGGCCAGAGCGCTTTCAGGTAATCAGAAAATATTGATAATATAAGTGTTAATAGATATTGATAAAGTGTTGTTAATATTTATTTTTGTTAGAATGTAGAGGGATTCCATTTAATAATTTTTAGTTACGGAAGACTCCTGTTACTGAAGCCACTGAACAAGAGTTAGAATTAGAGTCAAAGTGGATATATGAATATGCCTTCGAACATGCAACTTTATCTGTTCAGGTATCTTTTTTGGTTGTAATAAAATTTTCATACTGTACAATTCGTCTTTAACGAGAATAATTCAAAGAAAATAATTATGGTCAGTTTCAGTTATTTATACCTGTCCCATTTATCTTTAGGAGGAAAGCTGTTTAACTGTGTTAATGAATCATGATCTGCGTGCTGATGAAAGAGCTAAAATCAAAGCTGACGCTCCAGAAAAAATTCGTCAAGCATTGACGTTTATAAGAAATCAGTTATTTGAAGTACGTTAATTCAGTAATTCAGTTTAATTGTTAATTGACTTATAAATAATTTTGTTAAACCACTTATTTGTTGAAAAATGCTATGATCTTCATGCAGGTTCCTTTTATCGCATTCTATCGGAAAGAATATGTCGAATCTTGTCTCGTGATCAACGATCTGTGGAAAGTCTATCAGTGGGATGAAAAGGTGAATCATTTTCATCTGATAACAAAATATTCATTAAATCTATTTTCAACATGAAATTTTTCTAGAAAATTTTTTTTTGAACTTATTCTTACTTTTTGGCATATGTAGATATTTCTAGTGGTGCCATCTGCAACAGCGAAAGAAACGTTTGCTTCAATTAATGAATAGAATGCTTAATTATCAAATGGAGAATGAGAATGTAAAAATTCTGCGTATGGTTACGGAAAACGATATGAACGAGTAAGACTGGATATAATTTGGATTTTTCTTTCTATTTTTATTATTGAATGAAAAAATTATAATTCAGAGTTCATGGGGTTCAAACTGTTGAAGATTTAATGGATGTATCTGAAAAATTTCAACTATATTATGGACCGAAAGTGCCTTATATGATAGAGTATGAAAAAAGAAAAGCAGAAGAAGATCCTGAGTTTGAAGCACCGGACGTGCACTTTCGAGCGGCTACACGAAGCGATAAATATATGGTACATTTTTTAATAATATTTATTAACTAATTAAAATTTTTATCTAAATTTAATGAAGTTTTTCGCTTTTCTTAAATTTTCAAGTTTTCAAATGCCTCAAAAATTATTTGAAGGATTTAGAAAGTTTTTTAGTCTCTTTCTATAAATTAGTTGAAAATAATGCTGAAATTTCAAAAATCAAGATCTGTATTCAAAATGGAATTGATCAAATGGCTGCATTATTCGGATTAACACCACTGCAGTTCGCAGAGAATTTGGAGTGGAAACGGCATGAAGTAGCACAGCATGATGAAGAACCGTTGGTCGTTGCAGAAAAATATATTTGCCCGTATAAATTTTTATTTCATACCATTTAAACATAACATTAAATTTTTTGGCTTTTCATTCACAAAGTTATCTTGGTTCTTCATTTTATATTCATTATTTCCTCGATTTTTTTGTTAGATTTGTAGAGCTTTTCCGACAGCTGAAGCAGTTCTCGCTGGCGCCGTTCATGTCGTAGCGAAAGAAATTAGCAGAGAACCAAAAGTACGTGCTCTGGTTCGTTCAAGATATCGTCATCGTCTGAAAATTAGCGTTCATCCAACCAAAAAGGGATATGACGAAATTGATGAGAATCACAGACTTTATCCTATACGGTTTTGACTTTAAATTATTTGAGTTTTATGAGCTCTAAAATAACTTATGATTTGGTACAAAAAAACTGGAAAGTATAAAGTATTTTCAAGAAATGTTTTTAAACCTTTATTCTGTTTCCATTTCAGATACATTAAAGACAAACCAGTAAGTGCGATACGCCACGAAGAATATCTTTTGTATGACCAAGTAATTTTTTAAATTACTTACGGGTTTAGGTGTCGTCTTCAATTGTTTATTTTATTTTTCTCATAATCATGCAGTTGTTTTTTGTTGATCAATTCAGTAACGATTTATAATTATTTGTTGGACGAAAGAAAACTGGTGTCCTGATCCATTTGTAGAGAAGAGCTACATCTTTTGGTACATTTAGCTAAATTTCTGTTGTTCATCCTTTCTTTCTTTCCAGTTATGCCACTTTAATACTCTTTGGTAGACTTCTGTGACTTAACTGACATAGTTTATAGCTTTTATTTAAAAATTATACAAATAAGACGATTTTCCTGGACTCATCCACAAATTTTCAGAGAAAAATTAATGTGGGATTTTTTGTGTAACTTCTTTTGAAAACAGTTTATCTAACTGTATAACTGACAATTAAGGGAAAGGCTGGAGGTCTTATTGAATTTCGCCTGCATTGCGATACAGATGAGGACGTACGATTGAAGCGCACATTACTTGAGAGTTTTCTCGAAGAACAACATTATTATAAGTATTTTTAAAGATATTCCGTTATAACCGTAAATCACTTTAAATTCTCCTTTGCTATCAATAAGATATGCTTATTTTGTAGAGACGAATTCTCAGCAGTCGTAGATAAGTGGAACAAAGTGCGTGAATACGCTGTAAAAGAATGCATCAATCAAATTTTAATACCAGTTTTCGAAAAAGAAGTTCATGAAAGATTGCTTCGAGAGGCTAGAGATTATGTTATAAAGGTTATATTTCCGTAATCGCTAACCAAATGTTTAATTTTTTTATATTTTCGAAAAATTTATCAATTTCGGTGTTCTTTTTTATAGTTTTTTTTCAGCAATGCACGCAAAATTTGTACGAGCGCATAAAAACTGCTACTTATCGGTCAATCCATGAGGATGATGACGAATATATAGATGATTTTAACTCCGGGACGAGGATACTTGCTATTTCTTATCCGGAAGAAAGGTTACCTTATTGTATACTATGGGTCTGCATAGGATTTGCCAAGGATTTTATATTTCTTCCAATTATTTATTACTGAAAAATATTTAAGAATATCCACTTCTCATTTAATCCAGCGGTGGAACTTATTGCTGAAACAAAACTAAACTAAAAGTAAAAGTTTTAAAAAAACGATAAAATGTTTAGATTTTGAAGCGTTAATTATTTTGATGGTTTTAAATGGATTCTCTTGGCTTTTTTTGTTCTTTGTCTTATAAAATCGTTTGAAATATTTTTTTTTATTTGGCTTCTTGCGGCTTGTTATTTTTATTGAATTATATTTCTTATCACTGAGGGATTTAGATATATGTAGGCCTAATTTGCTGCATAATTATCAAGGTTTCAGAGATCAGGTATCATTTGGTGCATTAATTGATCAAGATGGCCAGGTAGTTGATCATATTCGTCTGGTTCATATCAATAAAAGCATTTTCTCGAAAAAACCGCATGAAGCGGATCTAAAGGTTAAAAGACTAGACTAGTTATAATACTTTAATTGATTTAAATATTTAGATTTATCATGGGCCTCATGATTATGAATATGAATATTGAAGATTGAATTTTAGCGTCAAGATATGGAATTGTTGCGGAAATTTCTCGAAAAGCGTCATCCGCACGTCATCGCCATTGCAGGGGAAAATATGGATGCATATTATCTAAAAAAAGATATTGAAGCTATGATATCATCGTTCTTTTCCAGAAGTGATAGTTTTGATACAGCAGTGGAAATCGTCGACAATGAAGCTGCAAAAATATATATGCATAGTAAACAAGCAATGGTGCGAATTTATTCATACTGTTTAAAGAATACCAAACAGAACGTCGTTATTTCCTCATAGTAACATCATAAAACAAAACAAAATATATAAAATAAAATAAAATAAACCTATTTTTAAGTTCTTTGGAAACTCTTCCGTTTTCGATTAGTTAATTTAATGCTTCTAATAAAGAAATCAGTTAATGTTTTTGATTTATAAGTAAACTCTCAAATCATTATCTTCAATAACATTTCGATTTTAACTCTCATATCCAGACTGTACTTATTTTTTCTTATCTTTATTGAATTTTTTTTCATTTTTACTTCAGAAATGTTTATTGGAATGCATAAGTACGACGTCCAAATTTTAAAATTCTTCCAAATTCCAGATCTTTCACGTGTCAGTTAGAGCAGTAAAATGAGTCTAGTTATGAGTGTTCATAAGTAGATAATTTCTTAATATCCTCCATTTTCATTAGCCATATCTGGCGGCTATATAGGAAGAGCATCGAATTGCAATGATATAGAATTGCTGTGGATTTCATTACATAAAGATTTTTCCGGAAGGCTTTATAATCCGGAAGAACGCATTTTCGCTATTTTTATAAGGGATTATAATTTCGTATTTCGTTTGGCCGTTTAAGATTAGAGTGAATTCAAGATATTTAAAGTCTGGCGCTTCAACCGATGAATTGATAAAAATAGACATTTCATCAGTAGATATTTTATAATTTCTGGTATCTATGACGAAGTTTTTCATGGTATACTTTTGGCAATACATTTGAGTGCCGACAAGTGGTATCAATTATCTAGTCTATCACATAGTTGAGTATTGTATGGAAGACTCCTTGACGGACACCTGTTCTTATTTCGAAGGTTCCCCATACACACATATATACCGTCTCCATATATTTTGCAGATATATGCTGATAAACACCATCATCCTCCAAAATGCTGCTTTATCAGTTAAGTCGAAAGCAGTTGTAAAATCGATGAAACAGGTGATGGTTGGTTGACAATATTTGAAATTCTAACATCCTCTTAACAGCTTCGTCAATATCTGGTTAGCACAGCCGCATCCTGATCGGAATCCAACTTGGTTAGAATGCATCCTGCTCTGTCTCGTACTGCTATAAGTCTTATCCTCTCAGCGAGCCCCGTAAAGTGGATCATAGTTGTGAGTGCTCACAAGTAGATAGGATGAAAGTGAAGGTTTTCTCGGAGATGTCTAGTAGTTGATTCCTCTAGATATTTGTCCTTGTATGTTTATGTCACCTTTCTTGAGAATTGGGAGCAGAATTGCTTTGCTCTAGTCATCTGATATTCTTCCATATTGGCGTGTTTATTTGTTGAAGGTGTGATATGAAGGACGATAAGGGCTTATACCTTAATCTTCTGAATGAGGAAGATTATTTCCTGTTCTACTGCGATTCGCAACTGCAAATATATGGCTCGATGAACTGTTCAGCTCAGGAGATTTTTGTGAGATTTTCTTAGCAATGTTCATTCATTCACGAAAATTTTAGATGGAATTTCCTGACTATCCACATATACTGAAACAAGCAGTATCAGTGGCTCGTCTTTTATTGGATCCATTAGCCGAATATTCTCATCTTTGCAATGTTGATGAAGATATACTTTGTGTATCATATCATCCGCTTCAAAATGAAATCAATAAAGTTTGCATTTTTTTTATTTTTCCATTACAATTTGATTATCAAGATTTTCATATTTTCATGGCTATGAATCGAGGTTTTTGTTTCATTTCTACATTCTTCAGTCATTTTTTAAAAAATTGGAAGTTTATTTTGTTAAAAATTTATTTTTTTGCATTGTTCCATATTGAAAATTTTAAGGATGATTTATTGAGTGCATTATCTTTGGAATTTATTAATCGTGTGAATGAAGTTGGCGTCGATGTTAATCACTGTTTGGAATTCCCACACACGGCTTCGCTGCTACAGTTTGTTTGTGGTTTTGGCCCTAGAAAAGCAGTCCATCTTTTAAAAATATTGAAACAAAAAGATAATTTACTTGGTAGCAGGACAAAATTAGTAACTGATTGCAATATGGGACCAAAAGTATTCATGAATTGCGCAGGTTTCATAAAACTTGATACTACAAAAGTTGGAGAAAGAACTGACGCATATGTTGAGGTTTTGTTTTCAAATTTTTATTTTTATTGTAAAATCTATTGCATTGAAAAGAATTCTTTTTCTTATATGAAATATATTTTCGCAAATAGATTGTATAAGCAGTGATTATGAGGTTGATCTTTGGATGGGTTTGATGTGAATACAGGATTAAAGTTTTTACTCAGGTCTTGGATGGATCTCGAGTGCATCCGGAGACTTATGAATGGGCTAGAAAGATGGCTGTTGATGCATTAGAAATTGATGATGCTGCTGATCCAACAAGTGCTCTCGAAGAAATCCTGCAAAATCCTGACAAATTGAAAGTATGAAAGATTTTTACCGAAGATTGTAGCGTCTTTCATTTCAAATTTATTTTACATTTTTTGCTTATATTAAACAATTCTTGTTTATATTAATAGGATTTGGATTTGGATGCTTTCGCCGAAGAGTTAGCTAGGCAAGGTTTTGGTAATAAAAGCATTACACTTTACGATATTCGAGCTGAATTAAATCGTCGCTACAAAGATTTGCGAGTTCCTTATGAAAGTCCATCTGCTGAACGAATCTTTACTATGCTAACTAAGGAAACTTCAGATTCGATTGGTAGATAGTTACTGTCTTAGCATTGCATTTTTTATTTGATTTTTTAAAAAATTATAAAAATTATACTTTTTGGCATTTAGGTTATAATTTATAATTTATAAAATTCTAATTCTTTTTTTTCTCGTTTTTGGTTTGTTTTTCTTTTTACTCTTTTTAAAGATTTCTTTCATAGGCAAATTGGTGATGGGTCATGTTTTGCGTATAGTCTATCGTAAATCGCACGACCCTGACAGAGAAAGAGTCCCTCCTATTCGGGATGAAAGAACGGGGCAATGGAGGTGTCAATATTGCTTCAAGCCAGACTTTAGAAATACAAATGAGGTTCGTTTATTAAAATATTTCGACTATTTCTCCAAAATTACTTCCAAATTTTTTTTTTTAAATTCTTGATTTAAATTTTAGGTTTGGCAACATATTGATAGTTGTCCAGGGCAACCGATTGGTGTTAAAATTCGGTTTGATAATGGAATTACGGGTTTCATACCAAACAAATATTTATCGGATAGGCCGGATTCTTTCGTTGATCCTGGTGAAAGAGTTAAGGTAGTGGATTTTTTTAATTTTTCAGAATTGCATCAATCGCAGTAAGAAATTTTTTATTGTTTAATTCGATTTTCTAATAATTTACTAATAATTTACATGAGACAAAATGACTTAGTGGGCTTCACGAGGGTGATGGTGGCGATTAACCTATATTATGTTTCAAGTGGTTCACTGGCAAAATTTATCTGGTCCGACAAGCCAGCGGAGCGAAGGAATGATGTGCACTCTTAGAAAAAATTTAAAAAATGAATGGGAAACATTTTTCAAATATTTTTCACTGAATATCATTTTTAAATATTTTCCATTTTTTGCCATTTACACTGCAGATTAATATGGCTGTATACTGTCGAATATTGGAACTTGATCCCGACAGGTTCTCTGCTACCTGTTCATGTCGTAGTTCAGATTTAAAAAATCTTCGCCCGCAGAATTCTGATCCAGATTCATATTTTGATCATTTAGCTGCTGAAGTAAATTTTTTGGATTGCTTGTTGTTTGAAGAGTTAAAAATATATTCCATATATCATTGGATGGGGTCGTTTTATTATTTTTTTTAATAATTATTGTTTATTCATTTATTAATTTATTTATTAAAGCAAAATGATTCATTTTTAGGAAGATGCAGAGAAATATAAAAAAATGAAAGAACAGCGGATAGTTAATACGAATTTTGTGAAACGCGTCATTTCACACCCTGCTTTTCATAATGTTGTTTATAACGATGCTGAACGAATGCTACAGGGTTTTGAACAAGTATGTACTATATTTTTGATTTTATTTTAGGGTCATGAAAAATAGTAGAGGAAAATGGATTAAATTTAAATGAGATGGATATCTTTTTTTGGGATTTTAAGTTTGGTATATGAGTTTTACTGATCAAGTGAATGTTTATTTATTTTATTATTAATGCAGATTATGAACATTAAATCAGTATTAAATAATTTCTATAATTTTTAGTTTTAATAAAATTCATGGAGACATTGTCTGGGAAATATTATTTAATTTTTTTCGCACTATTCTGTCTCTCAGAAGATTGTGCAAAGGAGAAAAAGAATTCTTACCATGTGATTGGAGAAAAGCACAATTCTCCAGAATAGTTAGGGTGAACTATGGCTACTGTCGAGAAATCATCACACTGAAAATTTGCATTTCTTCTCCTGAATAAACTTTCCACATGAAGCGACTTCCAAATTAAGTTGACTTAAGGCAAGTTTGCCGTGTAAGGGCAGTTCATTGTCTTTTGTATTGGTGATTTTTCTTTTGCCTTCCATTAAAGGCTGCTTGTGTGACTTTCATGCAACCTTATTTCAGAGATTAAGACTGATTTCTTTGTTGCAGTGTTTATCATTGATTATGTTACGGATAGCTTGTAAATATCACGGATCATGATTGAATAGATGAATTTTTTGTTTCATGATAGTTATGAAAATTTACAGTCGATATATTGAGCAATGAAAAATCCGGCTTCTTATTCAGTTGACCAAGCAAAATAACTACCTGTAGCTAGCATAGCTGTACCTGTAGCTAACCGAATACCTGTAGCTAGAAATGCTTTCTTACATATGATATTATGGAATGACCAAGCAAAAGACGAAATCCTGAATACTTGTAGCTAGAAATGCTTTTTTACATGTGATATTATGGAAACACTTTTAAATTAACTTCAAATCGAAAATTCTACCACACTATAGTACGTTTAATCCATTTATGAAGTTGAAAAACTTGGCTAATGAGAGTGGAATTTATCAAGATATTATTAACCTTTAATCACTCGTAATCTTTAAGACATTTTAAATATTTTTAAAATACCTATTAAGAGAAATTCGCACAGAGTTGCATTCATCTGCATCTGCATTAATATTGTCATCTACTTGTTTCTTTTTCATCTAGTAGCGTACATCTTTTTTTTATTCTAATGGCTCGCATCACAGTAGATATAAGTGGCTCCTGCTTTTAAAAATGGCATCGAATTAAGAAATTTAGAAATAAATATCTTACCGTCTAGGTGGAGTCGGTGGAGTCAGCCTAGTTAGCAGTTTATGCTATTAGAATATGGAGAAGGTATTAGAAATGTCCATATTGCCCATTTCAGGGTGAAGCGTTGATACGACCCAGTTCAAAATCTACTTCACATTTGACAGTTAGTTGGAAGGTTGCTGATGGAGTTTATCAACATATCGACGTCAAGGAAGAAAATAAACAGCATTATTTCAGTATAGGCAAAACCCTTTTGATAGGATCTGAAGTGAGCTATTTCTTATCGATCAATTTTGAACTGAAAGCGTCGACATTAGCGAAAACATCGCCATTGATTAGAGATTTGATTAGAGATTTCGCTTTTGATAAAATTTATTTGGATGTGATCGGTCTATTTGCCGATTTATTTGCGAAAATTGCCAGTTTTCATTTTCCTATTTACTGGATTAAATTATGAAAGAATTTAACTGATGATTGCAATGAGGCTGTGCTTTAGATCTGGCTTTTTTACATATTTTTCTACCACTTTTTTAGGAATTTGAAGATTTGGATGAAATTTTGGCGCGGCATATACAGCCAATGGCGGCTTTAGCCCGTGAAGTTCTATCGCATAAGTATTTCGTAGAAGGTGTAAAAGCAGAAGAAGTGGATAAAATCAAAGCTCATCTACAAGCTGAAAAAAAGCGAGTGTATCCACGAATACCGTGTGTTTCATTAGCATTATATTAGATTATTAGATTTTTTTAGCTTTTTTTCTCTGTAAAATCTTTGCAAATGAAATTATAAGTTTTTACATTTATTTTTTACAATTGCTTTTTTGAAAATTAAAAAGATTTGAAAAATAATCAGCTTTCGGCAATAATCGACTGTTGTTTTAAAGATATTGTTTAACAGTATCAGCCAAACTGATCGGTAAATTTTGCCTTTCATATTTACCAAGAAGGACTTGCATGTATGATTATTTTACTATCACACCAGACGGATTTCGATATCGTCAGCGAATTTTTTCTTCTCTAGATAATCTTCTTGCCTGGTTCAAGAAACATTGCAAACCTCCATCTGGTTAGTTAGTTTCTGTTAAAAATTAAGAAATACTTTCGTAAAAAGAAAAAATCTTTATTTTTTGACGAAGTTTACTATTTGGGAGAAAACTTTTCTTATATTTCTATATAAAGAGAAGTTTAATTCGGTAAAAATGTTTGTTTCATCCAAAATTTTTTTATCATGGTATTTAATTTTTTAATTATTGATTTCATTTAAATTAATATTGTTTTTTATTTCATTAAAAATATTTTACTCATTACGTTTCACTGAAAATTATTTTATTATTTTATTTTATTAAAAAATTATTTTACATTATTATTTTTCATTTTTTAAAAAATAATTTGTTTTCAGATGGTATCGAAAATGTTATGTCAATGAACTAAGAATGGATAGTAAAAAAATTTTTATTTAAAATTTACGATTAACTTGAGGTAAAACTGTAATAGAATATTTATTTACATATTACATATTTTTTTTATTATTTTATTTACTGATTTTCACTCTTTATTGCTGTTTTATTTCTTTTATTAATTTTATTTATATTTTTATCTTTTAGAAAATATTCGTTTAATATTATTGATAATTTATTTCATAATTCAAATATTAAGAAATTTATCACCAAGAAAATTTAACATGTTATGATGACATTTATTCTTATTATTTTTAAATCGTTTGAGAATGTTTGTAATTTTTCTCGCTTTTGTATTGTATTTGTACAGTTTTATAATATTCTGGCAACTTGGAAGTGGAAAGCGAAAAATTGTGATGCGATATATATTTATTTTTATTTCACTTAATATTTTTATTGTTCAGATCATTTTTTTGGTTCTCGTTAATTGATTTATAGGTATTCTGTACAGTTTTTACGAAACATATTTCTTTTACTTTCTAATTTAATCTCTTTCGTCTTTCCACTTCTAATAAAGTTTTATTCGGCTAGCGTTATTATTTTGTGGTTCCCATAATATTTTCAATTTTGTTTTGTTTGTCGTATTTATGATATTTTATTTATAATAAACAAGTGCTGTCTCTGCAGCTCTGAATTTAAGGAAACTGATGAAAAGCTACTATTGACGAAATTCTCCACTAAACACGTTGTCAAAGCAAATGTTCTGCCGTCAGCCAAATATTTGGTGGTATTTTTATCATCATGATTTCTCAAGAGTAGCAAATGTGAACATCACTCGGCATCGAACCCCAATTCATAGAAGAGAGTGTCGAATCAATCCTTTTGCGTCAACGTTGCTTACAAATTGTCGTCAATTAAAACTCTTAACATTGCTTTTTTCGAGCAAAGTTTGAGTTCCTGCCAGAGTAGGAACAAACCTGTCATTAAAAGCAAAATTCGGTTAACTGCTGAAGAAGTTGGTGATATCGCCGACTTACATCGGGTGTGTCTTGTTCATAGTTAAATAATCAAGGAAATGATTTTAACGGTCCCACCCAAGTAACTTGGAGGAGTGAAAATAACAGGTTCAAGCAAAAATCCCTCAGGAGTTTTTAGATTGCAGATAGAAAGGATACCAGCTTTTTCTTTTTAAACTCAATACTTAAAGCATGGAATATCGTATAGTCGAAGATATTTTGGGCAAATATGCTTAGTGATAATTTCTGGTAAGGGTTCCAGTGATGATTAGGAAGTAAAGTTTGAGGATAGGTGGGTCTCCAACTTAACATGGATTTTTGAACGAAACCCTTATAATTAGAATCAGAATCGATGTCGTGATGATTAAAACGATAATCTCGGCTCACCTTCTCACCTGTCGTCAGCACTGTTCATGAAATAGCATTTGAGGTAGCATTTTTTATTAGGCGGATTTTCATAAACATTAGCATTATCTTAGTTGCGAAATAAATATTGAGAAGAATTAACATCAGCAAATAGAACTGTACTAACCTCTCCTCTCTTCCCCCCCCCCCCTTCCACCCCGCTGCATAACCCTCTCTCCCTCCCCTCCCAAATTCATCAAAATATGCTTGCTACACTCATCGAAATCTCGAGAAGTTTTCTAAGAGCGCCGATATATTTTCATCGAAAATAAAATTTTCAAATAATGAGAGTGTTGATTTATTAGTCGTTCGGGAATAATTTTATTAGTTTTTTATTTATTTATTTGATGTTTATTTGAAAAAAAAATCGAGTGAAGAAGGGCCTAAGCGGCGATCTTCTGACGCTGATAAGTACTATCGAAGTGAAATCTTTTTCGTTTGAGATGGATTCCCGAATTTTAATATTTTTATCACAGATTCACTTTTATCAGAGGGCAGAAGACGAATAATGATGCACAACACAACACGATTTTTTTTAAGAGTCCGCACCATTACTCTCTCCACTGGCTCGTCGCATCGGGCACATGCCGAGGGTCCCGTGGCAATAGAAATACAGGTGAGTCACCGGCATCACTCGGTTATATTGGCCGCTGAGGATTAGTTTAAGCGATAAGTTCTTAAAATGATGAGTTAAATGTTTGTTAAATCCATTTGAACAACTGCAGTTATTAAAGAATATTATATTGCGGAACAAGAAAACTTGTTATGAATAAAATGTGGTTTGGAAGTCGATTCTGGTTGGAATTATGTCGACCAAAACTCTCTGCGACAACATTTGCGACGTTTCGCGATTGGCATTTCATCTATCATTTCATTCGCAACTATTTCAACGAAGTTTTTATGTCTATAAACTTTTTCTTTTTTCTGGTTGTTCGTGTATTGCTATCGAAGGTTTGCAAATAAGTCTGAAGGCCTGAAGTTTCACGTTGATTTTACGGAAAAACTAATTACTCAAAACATTGATAATCAACCAGCATATTTATAACAGGCTGCCCATCTAGTTTTCCCCTTTTTGGACAGTTCGGCTAGTTCCACTAACTATTAGGAGTTTTTTTCACAGAGTCGCTTGAAGTATATGTCGATCTCCACCACTATCCGGACTTGACTTTTGACAGGTTTGCTTCTGTTAAGGAGAGGAAATCTTACCTATAATTCATAATTTGCTCAAAACAATATACCTCGACCATATTTTCCTTACCTGATGGTTGTAATATGACCTAATGGAAAAGATGAAAGAAACTTGGCAGTGGCTCCAGCAGCACCAACTTTTTTTGTATCTTTTGGTCATCTTTTCAAAATTTTAATTTCTGTTTTAAAGAAACAAATGATAATACTCATTTTCTCTTACACTTATATATTTAGAAGATGGCCCCAATTATGCGGCATTTCCATTGGAAGGCCAAAGGGAATAAAGGGAACCAGCTAAGCGGATAATATGGATCACTGATACATAAATGGATAATATGGATAACTCTAAAATTTTCTGAGCATATTCCATGAGACAAAATGAAAGTAGAAATGAATGATGAATGAGAAAATAAGGAAAGGGAAGGAAATGATCCTTTATAATTGATGATTGTCATTGCCAATTGTTTAGGGATAAGAAAATAAATTTTACGGCAAAAATGGAATTGAATGGTCGAATTAATAATTTTTTTCGGGTTTCCAGGAATCTAAATAATGTGAAGGAATATAGCAGATAAACAGATAAGGATTATGGATCTACCTGAAATTTATAACTACCATATAGCATTCGATCCGGCATCGTTTGATGTCAACCAAACTACAAAGTAATTTATATTATATTTATATTATAAAATTTCTTTTTGCCCCTCATTTATGAAATTTTTTAGGTGCAAATCTAATTCATAATTTGTTGCTTTTTTTCCTCCAATAGCATTGGCTATTTCTGGTCCAACTAGTTCTTCTCACAATAATCCTTTGGCCAGTGGTATGTTTAAAGATAGAAGTAAAAGTGGACTTTCACTAGCCATTAAAATTGTGATGAAAACTTACAGTTGTCGGTGAATCGGAGCCATGTTGCTTGCCCTTAATCCACACATTAAAATCCACGTCGAGGTTAATCTTTGCAATGCTGTTTATAAAAAATAAAACAGCAAAAAATTTGATGAGTCGAGTTAATGTTTTTATAGATTGCTTGATGTGGAACGAGCTTGTCGAGGTCGTCCACGACGCAAAATTATTTCAACCTCGCTTCGATATGAATCAATCCCATTTAATGCGCATTTGGCCCTTTCAGCTTTAACTTTGATTGGTTTTACTTTGTTATTTTTATCATACTGGATTTTCGCTCACGTAATTACTTGGTAATATGTTGCATAGTGAATTTAATTTTCAGATCATATTTTAATATTTCAAATCGACAGTTATAAAGAAAAGCCTTTAAGCCCTCTTTATTTAAGTGGACTTTTTTGAATGAATAAATTGTTGCACTTCGATGGAACAAAAATTTAATACACAAAAAATTTTGTTTCTAAAAAACTTAAATAATTGTATGGCGTTATTTTGCGTTATTGTATAATTGTGTTATAATGAAGCTAACCAAATTAGAAATAACTGAGTACTGCTAGAAAAAAGAGGAAAGGTAATGCAAATGGTCAGCCACCATAATCCTAACATTTCTTTGCGTTTGCCCTTAAGCCTTAATTTAAATCTTTATCACTTATCACTAACCTAATTTATCACTGATTTCACTGATTTTGAATAATTAAATTCTATTTTTTGAATGATCGGTATTTATATCGGTAATTTCGACTTTTACTAGAAATGATTTAACTTATGCAAAGACTTACAAAGTAAAAATCTTTCATCTTCTTCGGTCAGAATTTCACAAATCCATTGGGAATAGTAAGCTGAAGTCTTCGCTGAAATTTTTCGCGGACGAGAATTGTCAGAACACGTTTGGCTTCTTATTTTATCATTTTGCTTGCTTTCGAAAAGCTTTATTCAATACCTATTTAAACGAATCTATCATAAGTTTAGAAATTAAAATTAGAAAATAGTAAAATTTTATTTCAGATAATTTTAATAATACTTAAGGAAGAATTGACGAAAACAAACAAGCCAAAAATTAATTTTTAAATCGTTTCCCGATCCTTTTTTTGAATTTTCAAATATTGTGTTTATTAGTTTCCTTCTTAAATCTCTCTTTGGTCAGACATCTTTCAAACGAGAAAAATTTTTTTAAACAAGGAACTTTTCTGTTTGTCGTCTAAAAAAATCGTTGTTATTTCCGAGAAATAACGAAATTTGAAAAAATGTCAACGAATTTGTGCTCTATAAATTGAAGAATAAAAAGCAAAAGTAAAAAATTGGAAGGAAAAATTAGAAAAAAAGGATGAAAATAGTAGTAGGGAAATTTGTAGGGAAGACAACATTATGCAATCAATTTCGCCTCGCTTAAAGGAATAAAAAATTAATTTATGAAAAAACTTTATAAAAAATTAATTTATTTTTTAATTAAAATATCTGGAAATAAATTTTAAATTGACGTTGCAATATTTATTTTTGAGAAAATTATCGATAAACTTCTGATAAACTGATAAATTTCTCGATTGAAGAAAGATTTAACGTTCAAGCAATATTCTTTTTTTTGACCAAGTTTTAAACAATTGATAATGATTTATTGGCGTGGCATGGACATAAATTTTGCAGCAATTCGACAGAATTTCGGAACCCAATCTTGCTTAAAATTAATGACGTGCTTTAATTTTATTTTTTCTTATTATTTATATTTATTAAGGCTTTTTCAAAATCATTTTACGCTTGCCTTTTCCTTCATTGCCTTTTATTCGGAATTTGTACTGGCTCATCAACAATATTATCAAAAGTGGTACTAAAAATTAGTAAAGTAAAATACATGTAAAGTAAAGTAAAGTAATGAAATGAATTCTATTTCAGTTTAAATGTACTTCTAAATCCTTTCTTTTTTACCCATTCCTTGTCAATTTTATAATCCATTTTTAATGAAAATTTTCAATAACAGTGATAAATCTCAGAAGACAAACGAAAAAATTCTATATCTAAAAAAATTCATTTTTGGAATCGAATTTGCCATATCCTCTTAGAAACGGTGGTTCAACTTTATAATGGCGTAAATCTGTGTAATCGCTAAAAACCACTTTTTCGAGTGAATTTAGGCTTTCAGGGAAATTGTTAGAAAAACAATTTCGATGATCTAAGATTCGCTGTATTTATTGCTTTTAATTCTTCTTCTTTCTTCTTCTAACAGCTCTTACCATTACTGGTTAGGCTAGCTCCAACGCTACAAGTTTCCATCGTTTAAGTCCACATATTGTTGGTCCACCTATACGTTCAAAATCTTTTCTGACTATATCAGCCCAAGTCTTAATTGACCCACCTCGTATTGCTTTTAATATTATAACTGGTTTAGTTAGCAAATAAATGCCCAAAGAACATTAATTAATTTAAAATTAATGTATCATTTCGTTAATAAGAAAATAAGATAAAATTATTCGATTATAAGGATGCATGGTGGAACTAGACAATTCGTTTTTATAAAATTAACTTCCTTAGCGACTAAGCTTTCTAAGTTTCGTAATTAAATTATTTATTACCACGCATTCTCTTTAATTTCTTATTTTAGCTGATTTTTCATCATTTTTCTTCCTCAAAAATATGTTGTAAATCTTTAAATTCTTGCAAAATTCCCTTAATCCTGCCTAATTTCTCGTCATAATTGTTGAAAATCGAGCAAACAAATGGAAAAAATTCAAAAGGTGTTTCCGTTTGCTTTTTTAAGTGTTTCTTAAATGGTGCAGACAAAATGATTCTTGGAAAATAAAGATGCAGATTTGAAATCAATTTTCAATTCTTCTTTAAATCCGAACATGCATTGGAATTTCAAGCTATTTCATCGATGAGATAGCCTAAAAATAACGTCTGAAGCGACTAAAAACTGGTGAAAATACGATGGCACCCATTTCCTTTTCGGCAGCAGTTTCTTTTTGCAAAGAAAGCAAACTTCCTTTATGGAATGAGTTAAATTAACAGACTTTAAATAAAAAAGATTGGAAAAGGCGATTACTGAAATATTTTGCCATCCATAATTATTATTTTTTTACTGACTATTCAGTTCAGTAACTATTGGTTTATTAAAACCTGAAAAATTTTGGTGATTTTCATGGTTTTCTATTTTGAAATTTCAAATTTTTAAAGTTAAAAGTCTTTTTAAAGTTCGTTAGTTTTGGTAGTTTCTGATTCTAATATGTCTTCACATTTTTTGACCTTATTTTGTTATTTTTAGGTTATTTCTGTGAAAAGCTTGTTGCAGTCAAAGACTGCGCAGGACCAAAGTATATTTTTATTCCCATGTGACACACAGCCACGAACAGCTGATAGAGGGAGTTTGGCCAGAAATGCAGTGCTGACCACTTACTTATTGTATTACTGTGTTGCTTCATTTTGGATTACAACTTTAGTGTTCTCTAATGCTAAAAATATGTCTTAAGCATTATTCTCTTAATAGACCCATTCTGTCGCAGTAACCCGGCTCTTATCGTTTCTTATAGAACTTCATTTTTAATAACTGTTCGCAAGTGGAATAGAAATGCATCTCGCTTCGCCCTCGCTGAAGCGATGTGATACTCAGTTTTATTCCTAAATCTACTTTGAAATAACGAAAGAGGCGAAGATAAAACTGAATCAGTAGTGGCTTATAGAAATAATGAAAACTGATGAAATCAGTTCACAAGTGCATCTTTTTTGCATGATTTCTAATTCATTAAATATACACTTTCCTCAAATTGAAGCATTTCTCTGACCAATCTTATAATTTTATTTCAAAAATTTCTCTTGCATTTTCCTATTTTGACTAAAATTTCCCTCAAATTTTCTAATGAACAAAACGAACATGTGTATATATGTTTTCCAGACATTTTTCTTGTAAATCTCTCTTATCACAATCATTATTATCGTAATCAATAAGCTGCAAGCAGTAGCAGTAGGCTGTAATAGCGTTATTAGCAACGATAAATAGCAAATCCGGTTTAGTTATCATAATCATTAACGGGTAAAACAATTTAGCTGACGCATTTCAGAAATACGAAAACTATTCAACGATTCGATTTGCAGTAGACAACTGTTATCTTTTAAAATTAATTTAATGTATTTTACGAAAGCATTCATTTTCATTTATCCACTCATCCTTTCTTAATCGACGATTAGTTTTAGCTCCTTCATTTATTTTTATTTTAAAAACTTTCAATTTATCAATAATTTTTATTTCTTATTAAATGCTTTATGAGCTTCTAATCATTTCGCATATTATAATTAGAGACACAATTATTTTTAATTGAATTCTAAGCGACAATTTAACAATTGCTTATTGAATAAATAAATGCATTCGATCATATTTATTTTTTCTTAAACTTTTTTCATTTCGAATTTTGTTTTAGAAAAAGGTTAAGCAGTGCAATGCAATAAATAAAAGCTATAATGAAGACAAATGAAAATGAATGCGTTTTCGCTAATTCTGTTTGGTTTGTACACTTCTGAAAAATTAGATACCACAACTGATGGAAGTGCTGAAGAAACTACTGCAATAGGCAATAGCCAATGTCATATTTCATTAAAAATGTAGCCTGGTTTGTTTCCATGTGAGAATCGCTGTTGCTTGCCAATAATCCCTTGTGGTAACTTTGGTTCTATATTCTTTTCAAAATTCTATTCAATTAAATGTGTTGTTTGAAATGAAGTGAAGTGATATTTTCCTTGAAATGACCGGTCAACTAGCCAAATGAATAACTAAAAGAATATGTACCCATTTCTCTGGTATTTGTGCGTCAGTTTATTTCCCAAATAGCACACATTTTATCATTATGGCGTACTTTCGAAGATGGTACCAAGATGACACTAATGCGCCAATGGACGCTGCATTTTAGTGACACCAAGAATGATTTGCACACTAGTCTTTTGCTTCGTATTTTCTGTATGTGTGTATCTTAAACATTTACTTTTATTGGGAAAGCTCAGAAATACTGTGGATTATTTGCTAGAATTCCTAATCGAAAAATTAGTTCAAATAAAATTAGGCAATAACGAATTACGGTAGGGCATATAGCTTATATATGTGGAGTGGGTCAACCGAAATTGAAATGGAGCATTTTTTTGAAAAATTCTTTCTTCGGCAATTAGGAACTTTTAATATCTTTGCTTTTCAGAAAAAATGCTATGCCAAAAGTTTTGCATCCTTTACTTCTGATTAAATTTAATTCTTCTGTTCGAAAAAATGGATTTCTTCCTATAAAATTGATGGATCTATGCAAACAGTAAAAATAATAAAAATCTTC